ACCGCCGCACACCAGGTCCACAATCCATCCATCCCCGCCAGCTTCAATCCCAGAAGGTTTCGAGTCAGCCGGTGCAGGCCGTCTGGTAACCTTCACCGAGGAACAGCCGCTCACTACCCTGATCGATAACATCGCTTGTGGAATCGGCCTGCCCGGCGGTATCCCCATTGCCATCCCGCAAGGCCAGTCTGTTGACGATATCTCCATCCGTACGGTGGGTATGTGTCCCGGCTCGGGCTCTGGTGTGCTCCTCAAGGGTGATGGCGAGCTCCCTGATCTCCTCCTGACCGGTGAAATGAGTCACCATGAGGCTTTGGCTGCCACGGAGCGTGGGTCTGTTGTCATTTCGCTCTCGCACACTAACTCAGAGCGTGGGTATCTGCGTTCAGTGATGCAGCCCAAATTGCTTGCTGAGGTTACGGAGCAGTGGGGTAAGGCTTTCTTGGATTCTTCGAAGGCTATTGATGATCTAAGTAAGTTTGGTGGGATTCCACCACCAGCGACTGCATACCGAATTCGGGACCTTTTTAAGGATCAAGGCGTTGCCTCCGTTTCTGTTAGTGAGGCTGATCGTGATCCCTATGGCATTATGATTTGGCGTGGTAACTAGCTTTGCTCTTCTATGTTGCCTTGGCTTTACGCTTGGCGTCTAACAATATAAGAAGCAAAGTACAGAATATAGTCACAATTCGACATCATGAGACCTTTGTGATCACACACATCAAAGTATTCCAGCTGATACCCAATCAACTTGACTAGACTTGTAACCACACTTGGACTATAGCTATGCAGCATGAGGGAGTCTGATAAGATGTCAAGAAAGTTGTTTGAAATGAGAAGGATATCCTAATAGCAGACAATGAAAGAAACAAAAGAAAGTGTCTTGAGATAATACAAGACAAGATGAAGGACCCAGGTCAAACCTCAAAGGAATATAGGCTATCGAAAACATGAAGAAAAAGAAAGCTTGATTTTTTAGCCTCCCCTTCACGGCTTCAAAAAAAAACCCACGGTTCATAGATGTAGGAAGATTGTGGCGAGTATCGTGGAGCGATAGGGATAGAATCGAAGAAGAACAATGAGACCGGGTAAAAACCAGACGACCAAGCCCCCGAATGACTAAACGAGAAAAAAAAAGGAAAAAATAATGAGATAGATGGTATCCGCGTGAGTGGCCTTAGCGAAATCAGGAATGGATCAATAAAGAAGAGCCTCACGAAACAGTGACTACAGATCAATCAGGCTACCACCGCGCTGTTGCTGTTGCTGACCTCCCCAAGGGTTGCTGTTGGTAGGCTGTTGTTGCTGCTGTTGCACATAGCCGGTCTGCTGCGGCATGCCTGTGAATTGTTGGCTGAAGAATGGGTTTCCGGTGGGAGCAGCGTGTAGGCGGTCCAATCCTTGACCAGCAGAATTGACAAATGTGCCAGGCGCTGTGTGCTGTGCGGGGATTCGGAGGTCTCCAACATTGCCAAAGGTATCCTGACCTTCTCCTGACCCGAGAAGGGCGTTGAGACGAGCATGGTGAGGGTCATGTGGCGGGGTACTCTTTGGTGGCTGTGGGGCTTGGAAGCCGGAGATGGGGTTGGGCTGAGTGGGTTGGGCGAACAGCGAGCTTTGGCCATACTGCGCATTGTTCTGGGCAAACTGATTCGTTGCACGGTCCTCCGACAAGGAATTAAGTGTTGGTGGCCCTGTCTGCGCAGGTTTGTTGAACTGTGTTTGAGTACGCTGAGCGAAGGGGTTGTTGGATCCTGTCGGCATGGGCTTGAGGGCATCAGCAGGCTGCAGATGCTGCTGGGCCTGGTTTCCGGCCCATGGGTTGTTGCTCCCTGCGTTTTGATAGTTCTCCTGGGGCTGTTGCTGCTGTTGCTGTTGCTGCGAGAACATATCCCCTCCATAAGGGTTGTTGGGGTTGAATGCGGTGTGCTGGGGTTGGAGGGTAGCCTGCGGTTGCAGAAGGTTATTCTGCTGCTGGCCGTAAGGGTTCTGATCAAAGGCCGAAGGCTGCGCCTGATAGCCATTGGCATAAGGGTTACTCATGCCGGTAGGCTGGTTCTGGAATCCTGTCGGCTGCGCATACTGGTTGTTTAGGTAACCAGTTGTCATGGGCTGCTGCGCATTGATCGGGTTGCCAAACCAGTCCACGGCGCCTTGCTGTTGATAGCCCTGGTTGTAGCCGGTTGGCTGGACTTGAGCTGGAGTGTCGTCGAAGAGAGACTGGGCGTTGCTCTCTTCCAATTCGCGTTTTCGGAGTTCCTCTTCTTCCCTGCTAAGCTTGAGGGCCTTGGCAAGATCCTCGTCGTCCTGGGTTGCCATTGTCTCCTTAGCCCGGCGCTTACGCTCATCCTCGGCTTCTGCCTTGCTAGCTTCAATGGCTAAGCGGTATTCAGTGTCGGAATCCTCATCCCCGTTGCGTCGGCGTCGGTCTCTGCGCGGTGGTTCCACGGGGGAGTTTCCGTAGCCTTCATCGAGTCCGCTCACGCGAGTCTTCCACAGTTTGCGATCTGAGCGTTCACTGCGCAAACGGTCTTCATCCAGTACCAATGCAGTCAATTCCTTTGCTGCCACCCGAACTACAGAACAACCTGTCAATTTTGCAACCCTCCCGATTTTCAAAGAACAACTTACCATTTTGGCCAACATCCCGTCCTTCCTCGTCCACATATGTGAACTCGCGCAATGTCTTGATAATATAGACGTTTTTGCGGGCCCATGTTACCACCAGCTCCGAGCCTTCGTGGAGACAGTAATCCAAAACTTTCAGTGACTTCAGCACGTGGCGCCAGTTCTTGCCCTTATCATTAAGTCGCTTGTCAAGCATGTCCATGATTTCGTAGAATTCGTTCGGACTATTGTGCCAATGGCGTTAGCGGCGCCCACACGGTAAATCGTAGCCTCAACTTACCTCCCGAAAGTCATGGCGGCTATCTCGGACATTTCGGTGCCCGTAGGGCCCCAAGGGTCATTACTGGTGGCTTAAAAAGTAAGTCAGCAACTTTCTTACAATCTATGCGGGGCGCATGGGCACAATGCAGCAAGCAACCCCCGGGAAAAGACAGGGGCAGTGAGCCAGGGCAGCAGAAGTTCTGCCACGGCTCGATAATCGCCTAAGAGGTCGACGTGGTGGAATCGGCTCGTACCATTTCGGACCTTGACCTGCACTGAGGAATATCCTTTTGTGACGTTCTTCACGCTCCGCACGACTTTGGACATGATGGCGGTGATGCGACGGTCGTAGTTTTAATGTGAATGGATCGTAATCGTCGGAAATCGATGCGGAGGATTAATGCAGAAGAGTATTAGACTGCCAAGCACACACAGCCCTCTTTCTCCGTGTCGCGGCCCAAGATGGGTGTCAAGTCACTCCTGCTCGGAAATGGACAGGTTGGCAAGTCTGTCTAAAGGGGTGGGTGGATTAGGCTTTAGAATGCCTGGAAAGGAAATATTGGCAAACAGTAGTCAACAATCAACGGTTGAAAGGTGAAAAGTGAAAGAGAGGAGAGGGGATGGCTCGAACGGGGGGAATGAGAGAGGGCTTGGCAGTGACGAAGCAGTTGGAACCAAACTGTTATACTGGCACTGTTTAAGATCTGCACTTGGAAACTTCTTGGACTTGAATTTTCATTCTGTTGATCGCAGCAATCTACTCCTAGCTCACTTTGACAGTCTAATCTGTATCGTGGATGTCCAAGCACCGTTACGCCCTCGTGGCCGGAGGTCCGGTCTAATTACCGTGAGCTTACCCTTTCTCCTTTTTCTCCTTTTCTCCCCCCTATGTATAGCCTAGACTAGAACAGGCAATTCACTATTTGAATTCTACATGGTTTTTATTTGACCTCAAAAGCAAAGAAAATTCTCATTGTCGGGTATCGAGAATCCGGATTGAAATAACAATGGCATGTTTCCCGCCACATCTGGCGGCTTTGGGCCGCGTAATAAACTTGGTCATGGTCAGGCAACAGTCAATTGGTCTGTATGGAAATTTATACAGATACTACCTCGGTAGTATATAATCCATATTGTTCATATCATATTGAAGTCTCACAGTGCTAGCTCTTGGAAGAACCAGGCTACGTCATTTACTCTTCTAGAATGCAATGACACTCTTGGCGCTCCGATCGTAGGTCCACATTGGCGTTGATATCGAAGATTTGTACACATTTTTCTCACAATTCGTTTCGAATTTGTCTCTAATATAATCTATGTGCCCCTAGAAATAATTCCATTTTTGAATTAGATGTTAACTGAGCGATGCTCAATGCTTCATATGTGCAAACGACGAGACAATGATCCCTGGACCACAAGAGCCAGGTCATACGTACTATCTATATCAGGATTGAGCACCACCAAATAATGTCTCGGAATAATCAGTCTACAGTCTTTTCCTTGGACAATCTATGTCGTATCCAAGGACGGTTTATATCTTTAGCGTTAATGTCGATAATACTCTGGGAAACCACCTCGGAAGCTTGGAATATGTTGTGTAATTCTGAAAATATATATGTATACATACATCGGACGAACAACATTGAGAATGGGATAAATTGATTCCGTGGATGACTAGTACTATGATGGCCCAAACCAAATTCCTAGCTATGTATAACTTGACCCCGAGAGCCTGCAGGAGAACTGGATCAGGGACCCAATACCTACGCTGTCTGATGTGGACATGGGTGGCCAAGAAAGAGGTTGAGAGCGCAGAAAGAAGAAGAAGAAGAAGAAGAGGAGGAGGAGGAGGCAGAGAGAGAGAGAAGGGGGGGTTTATACCCAAGGCCCACGCACCTTCCTTGATCATACCGCCACATCGCTCTTTCCGATTCTGCGTAACAGTGGTTTACATCAAATCTCTCAAGGGGGCTCAAAGCGTCGTGATTGTGTGGTTCGAACTACTGTCAGTACATCCATGGTGGATAGATATAGGTATGTTTGGCCAGATAGAGATATCCATTATTGTAGAAACGAAACCCTGGAAGTTTCCTAATCCATTATCAAGAATCTCAAGCAATCCCATCAGACAGGGCATCAGCAATACTTCCGATAAACCCTTTATTCTGCATCCCAGCCACCCATTCAGCGGGAATAGAGGCAAATCCATAGAAGGAACCCGCAAGACCTCCATAAACAGCCCCTGCAGTATCCGAGTCACCACCCAGATTGACAACTGCCAACGCTCCATCTTTCCAGGTGTCATACTTGAAGAATGCCCACATGGCACATTCAAGTGTATCAACAACCCATCCACTACTAGTCATATCACTAGGTGCCTTGGCTTTCCAGTCGCTGATTGTTCTGTATCTGTACAGTGACATGCGTTCCGTCAATTCGGGGTGAGTAAATGGGAACACAGAGAGCGCATGGAAGAGCTGCTTCTTTGTTTGTCCTGGACCAAAGTCAGTGGGAAATCCCACAAAAAGAAAACCGAATTAACCAACCATTCATAATCCTACACACCAGATCCGTATACGCTTCACAGGCTTCCACACATGAGAGCGAAGGATGCGTGATTTGACTATGTTTCCTGGCGACTTCCCGAGCCAACGTAGAATCATACCAGTAAGCAACTCCAATCGGGACAATCCTCATCAAGCTCCCATTCCCAGAGTACTCCTTGTAGTTCAATCTATCAATGACCATCACCTGGGCAAGCTCGAAATTTCCTTTTTCCATGCCATATTTGATCCATTGCGTCAAGGAGATGCGTGTAGAGCGTCCGACATCCCAGGAGTGATTGACAGTGCTAAAATGGCCTTGGGTAAGCCATTCAACAAAGTATTGAATGGACAACATATGGTTGTATTGCATGTCGGACTTGGAGAAGGAGCATGCCAAGGCTAGGGTCATAGACCCGTCGTCGGAGTAAGATCTTATTCATCTTAGTCACAGGCAATCCGCATACATGACTGTGATGGAAACTCACCCAGCTGGTTGATCGAAGGGCGCAACATATCTCAAGGTTGTGATTGGCTCGAATGTTCCTGCGTCGCGGAATTGAACGGGGCCACCGAGTGCGTCAGCTACGCAAACGCCCCAGATAGCGCCTTTGGCACGAGATTTCAGTGATAGAGACATGTTGTGCTGATGATTTTGTTTTATCTTTCGAAGTGATTTCGTCTGATTTAATGGAAAAGACGTCGGAAGTGACACAAAGACGAAAGGACCTTGAACGATCAGAAAGCTTGAAATAGTGAGTAAGATGCCAAGGTTGAGTCACCAGTGACATATAGAAACTTAAATGCGACATGCTAGTGCAAATGGTCAGCCTTGGGACAAATTGGGACGAATTTTATGGACTAAGCCTCACCTCGAGTTCACAGCCCCCCTCAAGTCTTGAGGCTCAGCTATTGCCTGAATAACTCAATCTGCCAAGTCTGTGGCTGATTATTCCAGGAGAGGCACGAAGAATTGTTCATGTCTTTAGATGAATAGAGTGCTCATAAGTGTGATCCAGTGATGTGATAGCTTATGCCCGAGATATTTAATTTCCTATCAACCTACTTATGGCGAGGCCAGACAACATCTTTCACAGGCTGTGCATTAGTCTCCTTCGCCAAATCTTCTACAGTTTTCCACTTCCACAACCGCTGGCCAGGGTTCACAAGATCATTATCGTCCCCAAGATAAGCAGGAGTATGAGCAATGCCCCCATCACCCATCAAGAACCACAAATAGGCAGCAGGACGCCATGACGGCTTGGCAATGGTCTCTGCCTTATATTCCTCATACGGGAGGCAGTCAATCTTGATGTGTCCCGCACCAGCGGACTCCATAATCCCCGCAATCTCCGCAATCGAGCGCGAATCTCCGCCAACATGCACAACCTCAGGAATCTTCTCGGTCGGCATAGTCGCTAGCGAAGCAACCGTTCTACCGACATCGTCAAGCGAGGTAAAAGAAACTGGCGTGCGGAACGACCCAACACTAGTATACTGCCCGTTCTGAGTGTCGAGACCAAACCACGGCCCGATACTATCTTCGAGAATCAGGCCACAGAATATGCGGCAGATTTTGATGTGCGCATTGACCGACTGCACATGTACAACGTGCTTCTTCTTTTCGTCCCACTCCAGGTGGGCGAAGTCGTGGCCGCAGTGGTCGACACCGAATTCGGAGGGGAAGTAGACTCGGATGTCGGTTCGAGGGAGGGTGGCTGCGATCTTTGTTTTGAAGTCGTGTCCTGAGGGTCCGACTGTATTTACGAGAATTTGTATACCTTGTAGGGCTTCTTCGAGATTGTGCTCATTGTAGCGGCGGGTTGTAAGTTTCACGCCGGGTTGGGAGGAGGAGGGTTGGAAGAGACATGATTCGTTTCTTGAGAGGAGGATGATCTCGGAGAATTTGTCCTGGAAGGTGGAGGAGAGGAAGGCTGCTGTGACGTGTTTGCCTAGATGCCCGGTGGCTCCGGCGATGGCGACGACTGGCCGTGTTATGGATGCCATCTATGCGATTGCCCAAAGAAATTATCCGGAATAAAAGGGCGAGAGAAGAGTTAGGGCATGTATCAGCTTTATATGTGTATAATGCTGTACCCTACTTCGCCATATCGACTATCGTCTTTTGCGTCACTGACCAAACAACCATTCCGAGCTTCGGACCAACAGCCCTATATGGCCCAGAGTGCTTTTATGTACACAACAGGGACTCGGCCCTTCGCTTCCCAGCAATGCAGAGGGCCAAAGGGGGTGTTGTACGAAAGTGAATGACCGAGTAGTGTCCAATCAGATCAAATAAGATATTCATCTTCTGTGTCTACAACATAGATGCTGTGCAGCGTAGAAGTATTTGCATCCACGACCCAGGCTGGATCCAACTTCCATAAAAAGAGTGCAACACAGTGGAAACCAGTCTATTATCAAAATGGACATAAAATGTGCTTTATTTTTCAAGTGAGAATTTCTCACTATACCATAAAAATCCGAAATCTCCAGAACTGATCAGTTCTGGCAGAGAATGCTCTTCGCCCCCCCCGCATCAAAACACCAAACCCCATTGTGTAACCCGGGGACCGATGCTTCTGCTTAAAAAAAAAACCGTAACACTAATTTGTGGGTGCTTTTATCCCAGAATGCAAGTCCATTACTTCTCCATACTGAGGTATTTTTCCTCGGCACCCTTGATGCACGCAATGTTGGCCCCGAGCTTGTTGATCGTCTCAATATACTCATCATAGGGGTCCGAGTCGAAGACAATACCACCACCAGCCTGAAGGTACGCGACGCCGTCCTTCACCATCATGGTGCGCAGCGCAATGCAGGTGTCCATCGCACCGGGCATCTCGGCCGAGCCATCTGCGTTGGCGCTATTATATCCGAAGTATCCTACAGCGCCAGCGTAGACACCTCGTTTTTCACCCTCGAGCTCAGCGATGAGCTGCATGGCACGAACCTTGGGTGCACCAGAAACTGTGCCAGCAGGGAAGATGGACCGGAATGCATCGAAGCGGGTCATACCTGGCCGCAACTCTCCCGAGACTTGGGAGACCAGGTGTTGGACGTGTGAGAACTTCTCCACAACCATCAGTCGGTCGACCTGTGTTGTAGTGGGATCGCAGACCCGGTTCACGTCGTTGCGGGCAAGATCGACCAACATGACGTGCTCGGCGCGGTCCTTGAGACTGCCGCGGAGCTCCTCGGCGAGAGCGGCATCCTCCTCCGGCGTCTTGCCGCGCTTCACTGTGCCTGCAATAGGGTGGCTGATGATACGCCCTCGCTCTTCCTTTACCAGGAGCTCGGGGCTGGCTCCGACAAGCTGGAAGTCTTGGCAGTCGATATAGAACAGATAAGGAGAGGGGTTGACCGTGCGAAGGTGGCGGAAGAGGTTGTATGGGTGGAGAGAGGTGGGTCGTGATAGCCGCTGTGATGGCACAGTCTGGAAAATATCGCCCTTGGCAATGTGCTGCTTCAATCGCTTGACATGACCTTCATACCCCTCTTGTCCGATGTTGGATGTATACTCCTGGTTTGGAATGATGGGACCCTGGGGTGGAAGTGGTGTGCGGTCTTGGAGTAGCGTATCGATCGTCTTCTGTATGATGGACTGGCCCTTGAGGTATGAGGCCTCAATATCGGCATCCGCCGAAGGAATGGGAACGTAGGTGATGACCTTGACGACTTGGAAGAAATGATCGAATGCAATGATGGTGTCATAAAGCATAAAGAATGACTCGGGCACTCCAAGGACGTCCTTCATCGGCCGTGCAGTCTTGGGCTCAAAGTATCTAACACAGTCATATCCAACATATCCGATCGCTCCGGCGGTCAACGGCGGGAGGACCAATCCAGGTACTGTCGCAACGCGGAATTGACATAGCTCAGCCTCGAGATATGGGAGGGGATCCGCTGCTGGGCCATGGCCCTCGCCGGTCTTGATAACCTTTCTGGGGTCTATATAGGAGGACGGAGTAAGCAATGGAACCAGACCAAAGACTCCCGGTATCACCCACCTGCGCCAACAAAGCTGTATCGTCCAATAGTTTCTGTAGTAGCAGCACTCTCATACAAAAATGACAACCGCGAGCTATTCCTGCGAGTCAGCGATCTTGTCCATTATTCCATGCCCAGCGTTATCGCCAATGTTGAGAAGAACCCAATGACTCACTTCTCTGCAATCTTCAAGTATGCCAATGTTGGCGTTAAAAGATCGGCAGGGATCGACGCCGTAACAGGAAGTAGGTTGGGAGGGAATTCGGAGTTCCTCGACTTTGAGATCACTTCTCGCGCCGTCTCAAGGGACGGGATACTGGCGACCTGAGTCATTGGTCAATGAGGGTAAACAAAATTCCAAGGGGGTTGTTGGAGAGTAGAGGAGAACAGTAACAAGACAGGGGCTTACTTACAGGAGTTGCCATTTTGTTGTAAGTGGCTGATATTGACGATGCTAGTCAAGGGAAAGGATTGAATTGGCGGTGGAAAATGATTCACTGTGGGGGGGTGGGTATGTATCGACGGGTCCAGGAATGCACCCAGACTGCACTATTTAATTTGAGGTTTAAACAGGATGACACAAAGATGATATAAAATTTAAAGCGCTTTATAGGATTACAACGAATCCAAACAAAGCTTACATGCTTCATGTCTCACCACAGGTGTGTGTCCATGTGGCCTTGATTATATGCATCCAAAAGCGGACTAGCGTCGAGGGGGTATATCGACTATCGATAAAGCGATTGGAGAGGGACTCGTGACCTACCTACCTAGGTACCTAGCTAGGTATATTGCACACAAGACTTGTTGGAAAATTGGGGTATTTTCTTGATTATCAGACACTAGAAGTGAGTTTCAGAAACCACAGATCCCACCTGAAATGGGCGAGGGAAAATCAAAAGGCAAAAGAAAAAGTCCACCGTCGCCAGTCCATGTCATTCGCCATGCCCACCCAAACCTGTCCCAAGCAATGCATGCCATTATGCATTTTCTAAAGAAAAATTTATGTTCACAGAAATGAAGAAACAGAGAAGAAACAATAAGAGAAACCATGAAGGATAATATGCTTTTCAGGGAAAGAGATTGAAAAGGCTTTTCGAGCGGGATTGACAGATTAGTACAAGCAGGGCATTGAGTCGTGAGTTTTATGTGGCTCCGGGGCTGTTTCAAACCCGCTCTGTCATCGTTGCAAATTGATAATTGCCATCTTGGGAGATTGAACCGTCAGCATGGGGGACATTGACACAGGTAAACCAGACCAGTGAGCGTACCTGTTTGTTGAAGCCATAGGCAAGTCGTTTTCCATCTGCATCCCAGGAAAGGGCTCGATGGGGATCTGGGTTTGAATAACCATTCTGACCATGGTGTCCGTTATGTCCATTGGTCATGCGATCGGCTTCCTCTTTCTTCACCTCGAGGCTAGTTGGAGTCCAGGTAGACATAAGATTACCACCAGGATGTTCAACGTTCCATATAAAGAGTCCATCCTTGCTAGCTGCACCGAGAGCGTATCCATCGGGGGAGAAAGATCCGGTAATAGCGGGGTTTGAGTCTAGACTCAACTGATGGATGTTCGTGTAATCCTTTATATCGAGATTGACCTGCCAGACCTTGACCTTACCATCTGCCGAGAAAGAGGCAAACTCAATCCGGTGGGGATCAAATTGAGGACTGATATCTATTCCGGTGATTCTGTCCTTGTGGGCGTTGGCGATAAGGATGTCATGGGTGGGGATCCAAATCGACGCGCTCAGTCCTGAAGCCACGATGGCGACCGAATGGAACTCAGTTTGGACACAACGCACAAACTCCCAGGTTGCATTATCTCTGGGAGAAGGGAATGTTTTAACTAAACGGATGCTGTTGTTGACTTCGCATTGATAGACTGCACCATCGCCAGAAGCGAATGTCAGATTGCGTCCACACCATGCGAGATCATAAATATGGTTCTCAATAATTTGAGGCGAGGGGAAAACATCTGGTCGGCGGCTGTCGTCCCAAAGCGCGAGTTCCGATACGTTGTGATTCGAGGCTACAACGACCAGTTGCGAGCTACCGGTTGCCCAGTGCAAGCCGGTGATGAGCCGGGGTACCTCGGGTAGTAGATCCACTGCATCTCCATTGACGTTGTACATGGTGATAGTGCCCCTGTCATCAGTACAAGTGGCGACGGCCAATTTCTCACCAATGGCATCCCATGCTACGGTCGAGACGGTTGTGTCACCCTTTTTGAGCTCAACTATTTTCTCCTCCACGGGGTCTGATGACATTGACAACTTCCATAAGCTGCAAAAGAGGTCACCAGCTCCCACAACCACAGTGGGATCTCGAGGACGCCATACGGCGTGGGTCACGTGATGGTCCGGATTCAGCAGGGCGGTGTCAGGGGTCAAATCGATAGGCTTGGCGGGGGCGATCTGGACGCGAGAGCTCTCGCCATTTTCCAGAGTGGGTAATTCAGGGATCTCCTCGGCCATGCTGACATCACCATCTTCATCCATATGATCAGTATCTGGCTGACTCTCAGTTTGCGCCTTGTCCTCCATGGATTCATCGCTATCAGTTTCGTCCTTTCGGATGTCCTTGCCGGGCTCGGCATGGCCGTTCACCGGGCGGTCGCGCGCAAGTTGGCCCGGTGAATCTTGGTCTGTGCCGACAGCCTCATCGCGACCTTCCACCGATCCAATTTTGGTACCAATTTCAAAGGGCTCTGGTCCGAAAAAATAATCAGACGGTTCAATGCTTTTCTGATTGCCCTCCTGTTCATTGCGATTAGTTTGATCTTAAATTGAGGAACCCAAATGGAAAGCAGGTTTCTCCTTTTGGCGCGTAAGGTCCGTTTAAAATTAAGCACATACCTTGTCCAGCGATGATTCCATCTCGTGGTATTGCAGGCCCTTCTGGACCAGCGACACCAGCGCATGGGTTTTAATGTAAGGCGCAAACGGGAGAGTCTGCGGATCAGGAAACCACGCACGCTGTAAAGATACGGCGGCATCGCCATGACCTATTGAGTTAGAGGTCAAATTGGGGAAAGTCGAGGGGGCAATGTGACCAACCTGATTCTTGAAGATACCTAAAAGAATATTAGTTCTGCAGCAGGTGCATGGGTTGCATTGCACTTACCTCCATATTAAATAGTTAACGTGATGCGACGTGAGGTCAGGTTGTGCCATGATTACATGTGCGACCAGCTAAGGGCCGCGGACATGCCAGAGAGGGAAGAGCTGTTTTGCCGATGAAAACCAAAGTGGAGGCTTCGATGCGCGGAGACGAAGCTTCAGGAACACGGAACACGAGGCCGGAAGGGAGTTGGAACTTCCGGATAAATAGAAAAGGGGGATGCTTGTAATTTTCGCAAAGAATTTAAAACTTTAGAGACTTCAAGATTGAAGAGAAAGCCAAGACAAGGGAGAAATTGGACCTTTGGGGGGGAAAGAGAGTGAGAGAGTGGAGGTAAAAAGAGGTGGGAGTCAAGATCAAGAGAAATAGAAGCTACTCGGCGATCTTATAGAAATAAAAACCAAGTATTCAAGGATAGAGAAGAGAGAAAGAGAGAGAGAGTGAAATGAAGATCTGAGATTAAAGGATCCAGAATGTTTGGCAGAAGTCCATTTAGCACACACTAGCCACTTGGATCCTCCCTGTGGCGTCGGGGGTCCTCCACACTTTTCCAACTTCTAGTCAAATTTTCTATCTTTCCATGTAGAACATTGGAACATCAAGCACATCTTCTCATGGAACTTCAAACAATGATACTTTCTCTATCTTTGAACAACTGTGACTACTCAAACTCCTGTTAAGCACCTCAAAATGGGGTTCTCCACACATCGGGGGATTTTAGCACGAGCACCCTTGCTTTCAATCATCCAAGTTACCGGAGTGCTTATCCTGTGTCACGACTAACAAGTGACCCTTACAAGAATATCTACTTGCAGGGATTTTACTTTTCGGGCATCATATACCAATGACTTGAACTGCATCTACCCGAAGCTGCAGGTCAATCGCAGATGGTGGATCGTGGCTAATGATGCCGCCTGTCTGACATTGGCGCATCCTGTAAGAAGTATGGAAGAAGTACAGGGTATTCTATACTTTTTACTTCTTTAGCTACAAAATTGCATTGAATATACTCTGGTAACTCCTGTTCACCTACTATTACTATGTACTAGTAGCTATGTCACACGGAGAACTAGATAGGTGTGGCTAAGTACTCTTCGTACTCCTTATGGTGTTCAATGTGTGATGTGATGACCTCCGAGGATTGGTCCTAATAATGTTCCTAGATTATCTCTAGATAAATTGTATGAATACTCACCACTGCTATATGCTAGATACATACAAATGTGTATTATTCCGGTCTTGTCACTCGTTCAACCTAGTCCTATATTCGAATCACCTTCCATAGTAGAAATGAAACCAACCCCCAAAAGCCAAAGAGTCAATCATATACGCTATTTAGTATGAAAGATGAGAGCATGACATGAAATATAAGTTGCCTATAGCCAAAAGCTAGAAGGATGTTTGTATGTAGATTGTGCCTTTGAAACATCTCGGAGCCAAAACATGGCTGATACTTCCGCTCTCAGGCCTCCGCCAAAGTCTCCCACCTCAGCTTTCTCCCTTTGTCCTGTGGTCAGCCTCTTGCAAGAGCTCCAAGCGAGCTCCAACATGTCGCTCCGAATTAATATTCCACCTGCTACTCGAACCTGTCTCGTCAGCCTTCTCACCCTCTCCCTACTCTACAATATTGCCAGATGGCGACAAATTGACACCACGGGCGGAACCCCGACCACATCTCCTCTCGTCCCGTACCTGACCCTCGTCCCCTCATTCTTCTATTATTATCCTTGGACAATTGTCACGGCGACCTTCGTCGAGCAAAATATATTCACCGTACTGTTGAATGCAGCCACCGTATTCTATGGCGGCAAGTACCTCGAACGCGCGTGGGGCTCGCGCGAGTTCAGCAAGTTCATCGCGGTTGTCGCCGTGATCCCCTGCGTCGCCATCATCCCGATCTACCTGATCTGGGGAGCAGTCGGGGGCTCCTCAAGCAGATCGTACGCACCGCCCCTCTACCTCACTCTCCTCCAACATAAGAAACCCGATTACCACCCTACACTATACACTAACCATCTCAAAAAAGCAGCCTCACCCAAATCTGTGGCGGCGTCTCCATCCAAGCCTCCTTCCTAGTCGCCTTCAAACAGCTCGTCCCAGAACACACCGTCACAATCTTCAGGGGGATCATCAAGATGCGCGTAAAGCATTTCCCTGCCCTCTTCCTCCTCCTAAACAGCATCAGCGGCCTCGCCATCGGAACAGATACCGCTGCCATTCTATCATGGCTCGGTATCCTCACTAGCTGGACATACCTCCGCTTCTACAAGCGGCAACCTGACCTAACCGGCACCTCGAGCGGTACAGGCGTCAGAGGCGATGCTAGCGAGACGTTCGCATTCGCATGTCTATTCCCCGACGTGATGCAGCCGCCTGTCGCGTTTGTCGCGGACCAAATCTACGCTCTGCTGGTTGCAGCTAAGATTCTGACGCCCTTCTCAGATGACGATATCGCCTCTGGTAACGAGTTGGTGCTGGCGAGAGGCGAGGCGGGCTTGCCCACGCTGTTGAATAGCCAGCGCGGATCCAGGGGTGCGGCTAAACGTGAGGAGGCGGAGCGCAGACGTGCCATTGCGCTTAAGGCTTTGGATCGCAGGTTGCAGGCTGCTACGGCTGGGCGTGCGCAGTCTCACTCGCCTGGCTTGGGGGATCCAAACTCGTCGATGCCGCGTCCTGCTACACCGACTCAGGCTCCACCTGTTGGTCAGAGTATGCTGGGGGAAACAAGTTACAATCCCGATCATGCTTAAGTGTAGTCGGGTGCTCTTTTTTTTCTTACTCTGGCGTTATGTGACGCACTTTGGGGTTTTGGCCCATTGGACATATTCGCATTCATGGCATGGCTGGTTTGTGGCTTGGGCTTCTTATACGCATAGTTATGCGGATAGTGTGTGCACTTGTAATGATGTACATGACTTGTTCGATCTTGTCTTGGGGTTCTGTAGGCTGGTATTTTAGCGCCTGTGTGATTGCTGTGGCTTTTCGGCCTTGAAGCCGATTTGTTTTATACCACACAGTGCTTGTATCTCAATGAATTATTGTCTGAAGAAACAAGTTTGTTTCATTAATCTGTGACTTTGACCATTTTTGATGGGGTATGCGCTCTATTTAAAGTATCATGTTGATCCTAACCCGGCTATTCGCCTTCTGCGTCCATTTCAATCTCGGCCTCCTCTTCGTCTAGCAAGGGCACAAATCGGAAGTCCACAAAGCACACTGGTCCATTGGGACCCTTTAATCCAGCACCAATCGATCTACCGACTGGCACATTGCGATCATCGAGCTCAACCATGAACTGTAAGCTCAACACTCCCTGCCGATCCCCACGGATACTAACTTTGTTAGCGACAGACATGGCTCTCGCAGCTTTGCGAATCAACGCAAAGCGATAGCTCTGTTGAATACGATCGCCCATAGAAGAAGGAGGAGAAACAAGGAAAGTTTCAGTGACCGTAGGCGCAAGCTTAGCTCTAGTTGCACGAGCCCGGGAAGAGCCATCATTGAGCAACACCTTATGCATCTGAGAATGGGTAGTGCCCTGACCAGCAGCACCGGCGATCTCGTTGTTTTCGTCAACCGAAAACTCCACAGTGGATTCGCTGAACGGCCCGCCCGCGCCGGAGAGAGCAAAGTACGGTTCTCGCTTGGCGCAGGCGGACAGTTTGAGGATTGTGGGGGTGGATGAGTCAAGCTCGGCGATAGCATTGTGCAGCCAGGCAGAGCGCATGATGATTTTCATGATAATGGAGTCACGCTGGAGGGGAATGTCTGCTTCGTCTTCGTCGGGCTCATAGGTTACTAGCTCGCAGGTTGTTTTCACGCCAGCTTCGGTGATGGTGATGCTAAGCGGGGCGCCATGTTGAACGTATTGCAGTGTGCATGAGCGATCCATGAGCAGGGCTGGAGCATTGAATGCGCTTGATGAGGCGATGCCACTTTGCGTGATGCTAGTGTCGCGGGGCCGATTGGATTCGGAGAGCTCATTGATGCCGAAGATCTTTAGAGTTTCGAGGATGGCGGAGAGGGATACAACAAAGTGAGGGAAAGACCCATCTTGTGAGGATTCGTTGTCGTCTTGGGCTGTTCTGTTCTGGTCGGTCGATGGATTGAATGTGTAGCTGGTGAAGAGCGACTTGTCGAGGAAAGCTAGTCCTTGAATGACGCGGCCTTCCTCCACTGAGAATCGGAGGCCATCTGGAGTGATTTGTACAGTGGCCTTATGTGTAAAACCAATGCAGGAGAGCAGTGTGTAGAGGTGGTGGGCGTTGTTGGAGACGCCTGTGAAAAGGGGCTCCATTTTATGGCGGAGCTGAGAGCTCGAACTTTTCAGGCGCGATACTGGCACAAAGCAAGGTAATGAGTCCGAATATGCGTAATGGCTTTGGGTATTCTAGCAATAAAGTCCCCTTTGAACCCAACGCTTATGGTACATTTGAGGGGACGCGCAATAGGAAAGGTGGTCGGTTAGACGTAGACTCCGGCAGCGCAGATCATAAACACAGCTCCAAAGCTACCCAAAATACCTAATCAGTATATTGCCCGTCAAAATATGGCACGCGGCGCATTACTAACCCAAATGCCAATGCGGCCGGGAAACCCAACGACACGATGCCGAGGAAAGATTGATCTGTTTTAACGTAATGTCAGAGTCCAATTCAATTCCATGGGATTTAAAAAGGGACTTACTCAGGCCAAAGAGAGTGGCGGTAACCAATGCTAGCAATATCAGTCAGAGATTGGCTGATTTCAAAGCTATGATAGACCAAGAAGCTCACCGAGGAGTAGCAAATTGAAGCCAACGGAGAACTGGCTGTCCTTGTCAATTAGAGGAGTGAATGGAGTTGCAGAGGCTGCCTCCCAAACTGTGTTCAGAGACATTAGGATAGAATTTGAGAAATATAATTGTGAGACAATTGATGCAGGTCAAAGATGTGGAAGTGATATAGATCAACAGGGTTGATCTGGCCCGATCGGGGGTTAGTTGTTCCGACCGATACCCCATGTCATGTCGCCGCAAGGTCAGGTTTGAAGGTCAAGGACATCATGATTGACTCGCCGAAGAGTAAGTGGATTCTAATATTTTGTCCTTGAAACAGCTTTAACAAAATATGGCAGGTTTTAAGCGAAAGGCCTCTGAGGAAGCAGCTTCCCCAGAGTCTGGGGTGCAAAGCAAGAAGGCACGAACAGATTCCCCTGTGAAAGAAGTAGGTCCTAAATGATCGCTAAATTGCTTCGCATTTGCTCTGACCTCGCACAGGAAGACGCCTTGGTCAAAAAACCACCTCTTCGAATTGTTCCATTCCCTGAGAAGGTACCCTCCCACACCACCGCATCTGTCAACTTATGATGGCTGACGATACACAGCCCGCTGTTCTCGAGGAACGTCGAGGCGACATCGAATTCCGTGTCGTCAATAATGATGGCTCCCATGACAGCTTTATTGTTCTGACAGGCTTGAAATGTATATTCCAGAAGCAACTCCCGAAGATGCCTAAGGACTACATCGCACGCCTTGTCTACGATCGGTCCCATCTTTCTATGGCTATCGTCAAGCACCCGCTGGAGGTTGTTGGGTATGTTAAATAAGCTCCGAGTGCTGCCCATATTAATGGATTAGGATACTGATCAGCCACAGAGGAATCACATATCGTCCGTTCAACTCCCGAAAGTTTGCTGAAATTGTCTTCTGCGCTATATCCTCGGATCAACAGGTGAAGGGATACGGTGCACATTTGATGTCCCATCTCAAGGTATGCATGCTCACAGGTCTACGATCATTCTGCATATTTCTAAAATACTTCCCACTCAGGACTACGTGAAAGCCACATCTCCCATAATGCACTTCCTCACCTACGCCGACAACTATGCCATTGGATATTTCAAAAAGCAGGGCTTTACCAAGGAGATCACGCTCGATAAATCAATTTGGATGGGATACATTAAGGATTACGAGGGCGGCACGCTCATGCAGTGTACCATGCTCCCCAAAATCCGCTATCTGGAGATGGGTCGCATGCTCACCAAACAGAAGGAGTCAGTGCAAGCCAAAATCCGTGCCTTCAGTCGCTCGCATATTATTCATCCCCCTCCGAAGGAATGGAAGAATGGGGTGTACGCGATCGATCCTCTTAGTATACCCGCAATCAAAGAGTCTGGATGGTCGCCAGACATGGATGAAATGGCTCGCCAACCGCGCCATGGACCCAACTATAATCAATTACTGCACCTGCTGAATGACATGCAAAACCACAGTGCAGCTTGGCCGTTTACTCAACCCGTGAATCGAGACGAGGTGCCAGACTACTACGAGGTGATCATGGAACCTATGGATCTGTCGACTATGGAAGAGAAGCATGAGAAGGACTTGTACCCGACCCCACAGGATTTCATCAAGGATGCCATGTTGATCTTCGACAACTGCCGACGTTACAATAATGAGACAACACCCTATGCCAAGAGTGCAAACAAGCTTGAGAAGTTCATGTGGCAGCAGATTCGGAACATTCCGGAGTGGTCGGTAAGTATTTACAATGATCTATCTCACATAACAAATTCTAACTCTGGCATCTAGCACCTTGCCGATAACCATTGATCTGGGGGCATACATTTACTACAGCGATGGTGTTTTTGTGGAACGGCGTTAGGGGCATTGAAACTTGATGGGAAATACCCTGTTGATAGATTACTACAGCATGCAGTTTTCGCTGGCTAATGAATGAATGCCAGTTCACGAATCTTTTTGAGTATAAATCTTACAGTAATAGTAAAATCAAAGTCGTGCCAAGAACCGTTGTCTGTATTAGGGAATTGAAGCCCCCTCCAAAATAATAAGTAGCTATCTTTGTCTGAACATTGCGGTGGACTAGTGTGATCTATATCAGACCAGCCGTGGCCCGGAACTGTAGGGCACTTTGTATAAAAAAGGTAGCCACAAAACCAAAGATCCTCAAGCAGCTTCCTTAGGTTCGCAGGTAGAATGAAGTTGATACAGATTTTTGAGTAGTTGTGTCTAGCTCAACTAGAATTTATAGATATGCCGATCCATCTCCACACCAATCACACCTGTAGATGTTATGCTACTGATTCTCGAAAATGTGTCAGGTTCACAGCTGATACCCATTGTTCCATATCATAGAGGTTGAATATGAAAATAAAGATGTTTGATATGCATGATGATAGGTGATGCAATAACCTAAAGCTCAACGTTAATTTCTTCCCCTGACATATCTTAATCTCGGATCATCGTTGTTGCGATGTTGTCTGGAAGATTGCAGGAATAAGCTCAATCCACCCTTACGTCTTTCGTTTGCTTTTCAAGTTTCTTTGTTTTCTTTGTTTGCTGTTGCTGTTGCCGAGCCATCGATCTAATTGCGTTGTGACTTCAGGGGCTCTCCCGAGATCCACACACCATCGTGTACCTGGCGACGTGGACTTGAATCATTTTCAACCCCTCTCATTTTGCTCTCAAACGTCTATCATTCGCTTTCAATCACCTATATCTTCTTCTCGCGCCTTTTAGGGTGTGTGAAGATAACCCACTCGGCCTTAGTTTCTCCCCCCTTTTGCTCCCCCGCCTTCGCTTTCAGTTTTCGGCGCTCGTCAACTCGCTGTTGCCTACTAAAAAGACACGACCGATATGTCTCACCATGATTTTGTCGACGCGGAGTCGCGTAATCGCCTACCAACCCTCTTTGAAGTGCTCAGCCGCCGAACTCTGGCCCCGGTCGACCTCTTTTCATTCTACATTTATATGCGCGACCAGCAGCGTTCCGTAGACTATCTAGATTTTTGGTGAGTATAAGTTCAAATTCGATCCCCGTATCCTATGTTAACTGGGATCTGTAGGCTTGATGTATCGCAACACATGCTACTGTGTCGACACTATGTCCGTGAACTCCGCCGTTCCGTCCTTGTCGCGACCCCTGATATGGAAAGAGCTGATAGCAAGCGATCCTCTGCCATGCTAGACAACCTGGAGAACCTCGGTGATATTCAACTGACGGAAGCTGGGCCTTCTCGTCTGCGACACGGATTCCAAGGAAACGAGAAGGATAGAGATGCGGACCAACGTCTGTCGGCATTCCTTCGCTCTGAAGGCCAAACTACATCACCTTCCCGGCAAACCAGCCTTGGATCATCCAATGAATCAGCACATCAAATCTCTTCATATGAAGATGGCCGTGGCACCCCAGATTCCAGACTCAACGACTCAACCTCCCCTGGGCACACAGTAGCCCGCAATGACATTCGCGCCAGCGCGGAGAAGATATTGTACACTTATCTACTGCCCGGCTCTGAGCGAGAAATTATGCTGCCAGAATCAATGGTTTCCACAATTATTAACTTGGTCGAAGACGACGGCCGAGACGACCCTGAAGTGTTTGACCCCGCCAAAGACTACGTTTTCCAGGCCATGGAGCGTGATGCATTCCCGGGATTTCTGCAAGCAAAGGCCCTTGGAAATATGGTTCCTTTGAGTACCATCTTGCGCCTCGCCTTTGCTCTGATCAGCTTCGGCGGAGGATTTTGGGGTGCTTTCTATGTTGTTCTGCGGAATAAGCCTCGGAACATTCGTTGCTGGGTATGTTTATGGTTCTCTCTGAGCATTGATGGACCAGCCTGCTAATTGAACACAGATTATTCTTCCATTTGCTATCGCTGCATACTTTATCATCTCTTATCAATACAAAATCGACCCTATCATGGCGTTCCTGGGCTACAGTGAATACACTTTCATGAACTGGGCGCCAATTCGCGAGCCCTATGTACGAAAGCTGCTGAACAAGCGCGCTGTTGTCACTGCATTGATCGCCTTCATCACAGCGGCAGCTCTGAGTATCTTGTTCATTTTCGTCCCCGGTACCATGCTGTGAGCTTTCCGTCACGTCCAGCGTCCGCTTTATCCAAACGTCCAAAAACAACCGCCCTATGAACGTGGTTGTCTGATCATTTTTACCATGTCTAATTCCGACTTGAATCGTCCGAGCCGTTCCCACCTTGGTACCCGAATATTGAGGGTTTCTTTGACGCATAGTCTTGAAAAAGTTTATGTCTCAAACCTGCAGCCCGTTCTTGTCTTCGAAGATATACAGAAGGCATTTTGTTCTCCCCCATCCCTATCCACCCGCTTATCAGCGGTCACATCCACATCCTCTTTGTCATGTTCATATTTATTGTGCCTGTTGTTTCGCTGTGGTTTTTCTTCTCTTCGACCAATACCCCCTCTTGACTTTGAAAACTTTGTATTGTATCTATTTTCTCATCAATGAGCGTCGCCATTAGGGCCTTACGAATGCAATTTGCTCCTGTCCACGTGTTCCATATCCCACGAGATATAGTTCGTAAAATATGCAAACTAAACCATAATCAAGTCATTTCGTATCATAAATCCCGTTGAAGCCGCGATAATCTTCTATACCACATAATCATGAACAAATGGGATTCTAGTATCATATGAATAAATCAATTCGTCTGCACCTCAAGACTTGCGTCCTAACACCCTCTTTGGCTGCCGACTACTGCCAGCACGAGCACCAGGGGCCTCATCAATATCCATGCGCGAGCCATGCTCACCACCATCATACGTATCAAAGAATCCATCATCCTCATCAATATCGTCCGCATCTCTTTTACTCCCCCAATGCCAGCGCCAAGCCGGCCACCGCGCCGACCACCCTTCTTCGCCGCACTTTGCTTCCTCTTAACAGCCTCCTCGAGCGCCTCGCTGTGTGCCTGTGCGCGTGAGGCACGCTTCGCAGCGTCACTCTTAATGCGTGCAATCTCCGCCTCCAGATCGGAGACGACCTCGCCGCAACGCGATTCCCACTCGCTTAAGTTGGCGATCATCTTAGGGAGGGACTGGGGTTGAACATCGCGGAGTGCGGCGACGGCTGTCACGTTCACAGATGGTGGGTTGGAAGCTGGTGAAAGGCGAGCTGTTATCAGGGAGGCGTAGATGGCTGTGGTTACGAGGGATTCCAGTTCAGCTTTTGTAGGGGTGCTAAGGGCGGTCATCAGGGCGCTGTAGGTGAGGGGTTTGATTGTTGTTGAGAGGGTTAGGAGTGAGAGCAGGCGGAGTTTGAGGGTTTGTTCGGTATTCAGTTCGGGGAGGTTTGGGGTTGCTGGTGCGGGGTGTTCATTAGCTTGGATTCTGGTCCCCTGGGAAGGTTGATTCTCTGCACATGTGGGGAGTCTCCCATCTAGAGACTTGGAGGCTGTTGTGGTTCCTGGGCTCTGGGTACATGCAATCTTACCTTGATATTCTTGCCATGTGCCCCATGCGAAGATCTCTAGTAGCTTTAGGTAGCCCTTGAACTCGGCTGGGGTGTCTGGTGACCGTAACGCTTGGATCGTGGGTAGCTCGAGCAGCTCTGCAAAGACATAGGTGTGGGTGCTCGAGGTAGCATTTGTGATAAGATTGGCGATAAAGCGAGGTGAACCTGCATTGTTGGAGCGAGCTAGGTGGATGAACGGTTGGAGAGCCTCTAGGGCTCGTGTGTGGGTCTGATCCATTGGAGTGTTGTCAATAGAGGTACAATTTCAATGATGACACTAGAGAGTAATAAAGAATAACCAAGGGAGAGAGCTGCAATATGGGTCAGAGGTAGCTTAGTCCGAGATGGAAAGCATCAACTGTAGTCTGGGTGGAGATGCATGTTTGCATAGAATGCAAACATGTCTTATCTGATTCAAGACAGTCCAACCTGCAAGTCATTTTCAATCTATTTGCTTTATTTCCTGAGATTTGATGTATTCTGTTCTTCATCTCTTTCTGTCACTTGATTCCCGTATTTCGGATCTATTGCATGTCTCAAATCCCTCAAATATCGTAATCAGTAATCATCATGCAAAGCCCCCTCATTCTGCAAGGTATAGAAAATCAGCGACAATAAGCCGACGTAGTGGACTCCGTACACCGTAACAAGGTTCATCTCTGTAGATCTTTGAAACAACAATTGTTTTCGTATTGCTTAGTCTGTTTCAGGCCGTCCATGAAATTTCCACTTACTAGAATCTCCTAGATGAACTAAATTAATTGAAAATCTGTCTAATCAGCTGCCCACGTTAGATTGCATTGCGGACTTAGTACATTCCAAAGCGTGGTAGATGCGATCCACATCACCGAGTCATATTCCCGAGCTTATCCACTTTACTTTTTCTCTCCCCTTGCGACTTTTGGCCAAGTTTTTGATTAAATTCGACCGACGTGGCTTTCTGGGCACACTATTTCTTTTTGACTTCTGCAGCTTCCTTTGTTCGCCCAACAAGGGAACGATCTGTCTGATCTCGCGCCATCCGAGACCATCCGACCATCAGCACGCTATCACCCTCTGCCATCGCGTTGGAGGCAGCTCGTCAGACACCCTCCATATGCTATAGTATTGTCAGTTCTCGCTGTGTTCGCCTCGCGCTTCACCGTCGAGATGTCATATACAAATCCACACGCCGGCGGGGTCGGTCCAGCCGCAATAACCACCACAACCATCAAGATCGACGGAATGACTTGCGGAGCGTGCACATCAGCAGTGGAGGGCGCATTTCAAGGAGTAGACGGTGCGCGCGATGTTTCCGTCAGTCTCATTATGGGCAGAGCCGCTGTACAACATGATCCGTTGGTTTTATCGCCTGCGAAAATTGCGGAGATGATTGAGGACTGCGGGTTCGATGCGGCAGTACTTTCGACTGAGGAACAAAGGAAACCCGACTCTGCTTCGTTTCCGGCTACGCGACTCTCGCTGACCACCCTGGCGGTTGAGGGTATGACATGCGGGGCATGTACGTCTGCAGTGGAAAGCGGATTGAACGATGTCAGCGGTGTGGACTCCGTAGACGTATCACTACTTTCCGAGCGCGCAGTCGTGGAACATAATGCAGAAATTATCACACCGGAGCAGATTGCAGAGCTCATTGAAGATAGAGGCTTTGGAGCACGAGTGCTGGACACCTCCCTGGTGGGCTCCAAGGAGCCATCTGCCTCGGCTGACTCGGAAGAGAAATCGGGACTCCTGGTTACCACCATCGCAATCGGAGGCATGACATGCGGCGCTTGCACATCCAGCGTTCAGGGTGCCTTGGGCAGTGTGGATGGGGTGATCCAGTTCAATATCAGTCTTTTGGCTGAGCGGGCGGTGATTGTACACGACCCAACCATACTCCCTGCCAGCAAAATTCCAGATCTTATCGAAGATGCCGGATTTGATGCGTCGATAGTGTCATCAGAGCCGCAGGTGTCAATTTCCAAAAACAAACAACAGATCAATTTGAGCTTGCATGGGCTGCGTGACGGCGCTTCCGCCACAGCATTAGAGGACACTCTATTACAGCAATCTGGTGTCTATTCAGCATCAATCAAAATGGCTACCTCTGATATAGTCATTGCTTTCGACCCATCTATAATTGGAATCCGGTCTCTTGTGGAGGTGATCGAGGCTGCTGGCTACAACGCCTTGATTGTCGACTCAGATGATACCAACGCGCAGCTACAGTCATTGTCCAAAACGAAGGAAATCCAAGAATGGAGAAGGTCCTTCATCATTGCCGCCTCCTTTGCGGTTCCCGTCTTCCTCGTCAGCATGATTCTTCCGATGTATTTTCCCGCAATTGACTTTGGCAGTATTGCGCTATTCCCGGGCCTATACCTTGGAGATCTGATCTGTCTCGCTCTTACCATTCCGGTGCAGTTTGGCATTGGCAAACGGTTTTATGTTACCAGCTTCAAGTCCCTTAAGCATCGATCCCCAACCATGGACGTTCTTGTGATGTTAGGCACGTCCGCTGCCTTCTTCTACAGCTGTTTCACCATGATTGTGGCTCTTTGCAGCATGGACCACGGGCGTCCTAGCACTGTGTTTGACACAAGTACGATGCTTATCACCTTTATCACTTTAGGTCGATGGCTGGAGAATCGAGCCAAGGGCCAAACTTCCGCTGCTCTTTCTAGGCTCATGTGTCTGACTCCATCTATGACGACTATCTATGAAGATCCCATTGCGGCAGAGAAAATGGCTGAGTCCTGGATCTCCAAACCTACACCTGGCGCACCTGAGCAACCCACGTTGGCTAATGACATGACGGTGAATCATAAGTGCATTCCCACCGAGCTGATTCAAGTCGGTGATGTTGTAATCCTCCACCCTGGTGATAAGGTATCTGCAGACGGTGTGGTCATCCGTGGCGAAAGCTATGTTGACGAGAGTATGCTCAGCGGAGAGGCGCTGCCTATCCACAAAAAGAAAGGCAGTCAGATCGTTGCTGGAACTGTGAACGGCACAAACTCCATTGATTTCAAAGTTATCCGAGCCGGCAAGGATACCCAGTTGAGCCAAATTGTAAAGTTGGTTCAGGACGCGCAGACCAGCCGCGCTCCAATTCAGCGCATGGCTGATATCGTTGCTGGTTACTTTGTCCCCGCCATCGTCTGTCTTGGTTTGATCACATTCTTTGGCTGGATGTTCCTCAGTCATGTATTACCCCATCCGCCCACAATATTTGAAATGGCGGGCAATGGTGGCCGAGTCATGGTTTGCCTGAAACTGTGCATCTCGGTCATTGTATTTGCGTGCCCCTGTGCTTTAGGCCTGAGTACTCCGACTGCGGTCATGGTTGGCACCGGCGTCGGCGCGGAACATGGTATTCTCGTCAAGGGAGGTGCCGTGCTAGAAGCTGCCACTAAAGTTACGCATGTCGTCTTTGATAAGACGGGCACCCTGACTACAGGTCGGATGAGCGTGGCTCACACCCGAATTGAACCTCAGTGGACAATGAACGACTGGCGCCGCCAACTCTGGTGGCTTATTGTCGGTCTCGCAGAGACAGGCAGTGAACACCCAATCGGGCGAGCGATCTTCTCTGCGGCCATAACCGAATCAGGTCATCCTGGAGAAGAGGGCTTGCCAGGGAGCGTGGGTGACGTTGACAATTGTGTTGGTAAGGGTGTATCTGCTGTCGTTGAACCAACATCTAGCGGCCAGCGTATCCGCCATCATGTCCTCCTTGGAAACGCCAACTTTCTCCGTTCTAGAGACGTCCCTTTACCCGCTGATGCAGATCCCGACTCTGCCGAACCTGTCGAAGATCTGGAGGCTGACGTCTCCAAACCTGGTGACACCGCCTCCGGTATTACACACATCCACGTCGCGATCGACAAGCGCTACGCCGGAACCATCTCCCTTCGAGACACAGTGAAAGAGACAGCTGTGGCGGCAGTAGCGGCCCTGCATCGCATGGGCATCTCAACCTCCATGGTAACAGGGGACACACTGTCAACCGCGATGGGGATAGCCACAGCAGTCGGCATCCCAACCGCTTCGATCCACGCCTCCGTCTCCCCATCCGAGAAACGCTCAATTGTCTCCGCCCTCCAAGCAGAAGGCGAGCGTGTCGCGATGGTTGGTGATGGCATCAACGACTCTCCCGCGCTGGCCACGGCATCCGTCGGAATCGCCCTCGCATCCGGCACAGATGTAGCCGTGGAGGCTGCTGATATCGTCCTCATGCGTCCGGACGATCTACTGTCTGTACCGGCCAGCCTCTCCCTCTCACGCACTGTCTTCAAACGCATCAAGATGAACTTAATATGGGCTTGCATGTACAATGTCATCGGGCTTCCGTTCGCCATGGGCCTTTTCCTCCCATTCACGGGCTTTATGCTACCCCCCATGGCTGCCGGTGCTGCCATGGCTCTTTCCAGCGTCTCTGTTGTTGTCAGCAGTCTGCTATTGAAGTTTTGGAGTCGCCCGTCTTGGATGGAGGTTGAGCGCCTTGAGAAGGAGCTTCGCTCAGGTGCGATCTCTGCAGCTGGTGTGGTGCGTCGCCGTCATACCCGTAAGGTGAGCTGGTGGGCTTCTACTGCTGTTTTCGACAGTAGCCCTCACTCTCTGTATCGTCGTGTTGGAAATGTTATCTCTTCGCTTTGGTCTCTTGTCACTGGCAAGGGACCCATGCCGGCGGCTCGGGGTGATGATGGTTATGTCCCCCTGCAGACAGTTGAGCCACCTGTTTGATCTGGCCTTGTCCAATTCACTATATCCAAAGTTGTCCTATATAGGAACTTGCTCCTTCTTGATGCCCCATGTTTAATGTTGGTTGATGTACTTCGGGCCCAGTCTGGCGTTTCGTGTGAGGTTGCTTTTAAGTTATTTGATACCTCCTTCTTTAAGGTCATTTCTGAATGTGTTTCAAGGTCCTTTCACACGTAAAAGAACAAGATTAGATGCCCGCTTATGCGGCTTTATGATGTCTTACGGGTCTTGTCAGCAGTCTTTTCAGGTATTCTTCTTGTATCTCTTTGAGACAATTGCCCCCCTTTCCAGTCTTATGGCTAGACGTCAGAAAGGGGCAGTAAAGCATACTTTGTGCAAGAGACTTTTATATGTATCAACTCTGATCGAAGACTTAAAATAAAGAGATAGGCACCCCAAGTTGAGTGCTAGTTTTGTAACGAGAAGTACCTAAGCCTCTGTACCGGCTTAGCTACAAGACTGCTAGTATTCTACTATGTGCCCCACACAGTATGTCGCGTCATCACCGCATGGAAATGAAGCAGACTGGTGATCTGATCCGTTCAAATTACATTCATTCCGTGAAGAGGATCTACAGGGTCTAGATTAACCTATTTAGGAAATTATGCCTCAGGCAACACATTCGGTCGGAGTGACTTGCAAACATTGCAAACAAGTGGGCGGGATGACTCCGAGGCTTTTTTTGTGCTCTTCTTTGATAACAAGATCGTTGCGTTTCTTTGGTGCTATTTCAGAAGATAGTGTCATAAGACCGATCTCAGCACGCTTAGTCTACCTCCGCCAACTTTGTGTTCCAAGGGTTGTTGATACATTTGACGTAAATCCGCCCTGCCGCTTTCCCACAGGCTCTTCACGAGAATTAGTTCTTGCGATCCTGTATATTGATAAAGAACTCGTATCTGACAATCCTTGCAGCAATGGCTCCCAAGCAGAAGGCTGGGCAGAAGCCGAAGCCCAATTCAGCGGATGAAGTCGAAGAGACATTTCAAGCTGTGGTAAGTCTACCAGGTGGCAGATGGTTTGCGCGACTGTTTTCGCTGAACTCTGATTCATGTGTTCTATAATCTGCTAACTAGTGGACTCTGGGTAGGTGCTCGCAGATACCTTCGAGACGAGATTCGAGCCGTTTACCCGCGACAAGCCTCGTGTATGTTCCGTGCAGCAAAACCTCTATCCTAAGACCTCGCAATTAACGAATCAAATGACCACAGTGCCTTCTGCCGCTCGCAAATACCCCTTTGATTGAATATACTCTCGAATTTTTAGCCAATGCAGGCGTGGAAGAGGTCTTCCTATACGGCGGAGCGCACTCAGATCAGCTGGAGAAATACATGAAGTGCGTTTGCACTAGGGACTTCCTCTGATATGGATTGCAGAGCTGACCTATATGTTTAGTGCGTCGAAATGGAGGGCCCTGTCTTCTCCATTCAAGCAGTTGACCTTCCTCAAGTCAACTTCTACCTCTGTCGGCGACGTTATGCGCGACCTGGATGGCAAGCACCTCATTACTGGAGACTTCATTGTTGTGAGCGGTGACGTGATCAGCAACCTGCCCATTGAAGGTGCATTGGCTCAACACCGGGCTCGCCGAGCACTTGACAAGAATGCGATCATGACCATGGTGCTAAGGGAGGCTGGCCTGCAGCACAGGACCAAGTCCACCTCAGTTTCGCCGATTTTCGTCATTGACCCTACCAAGGATCGATGTCTCCACTACGAGGAAATTGACCGCCATCCAGATGGCGAGCAATCGTCTCGTCTGAATATTGACGCCGAAATTATTCTCAAACATCCCGAACTAGACATCCGCCAAGACTTGATTGATTGCAGCATCGATATCTGCACCCCCGACGTGCTGAGCTTATGGTCGGACAGTTTCGATTATCAATCGCCGCGGAAGCACTATTTGTACGGTGTTTTGAAGGACTATGAGCTGAACGGCAAGACACTACACACATACATCATCAAGGACCACTACGCTGCGCGTGTGCGCAACTTGAAGGCCTATGACGCGGTAAGCAAGGATATTCTCTCGCGTTGGACATATCCCTTGTGCCCGGATACGAACTTGCTACCTGGTCACACATACACCCTTCGCAAGGGTAGTATGTACCAAGAAACCGGGGTAACCCTGGCACGCTCCTGCGTCATTGGGCGCCGCACAGTCATCGGAAAAGGCACTAGCATTGGAGATCGGGCAGAGGTCCACAACTCCGTGCTCGGTCGAAACTGTAAAATCGGCCGCAATGTCAAGCTGGATGGTGCCTATATTTGGGACGACGTTGTGATCGGCGACAACACAGACGTCCGTGGGGCGATTATCGCCGATGGCGTGGTCCTCGGCAAGCATTGTACCATTGCAGCGGGAGCGCTTATCTCCTATGGCGTAAAAATTGCAGACAACATCTGGGTGGAGAGTGGGAAGCGTATTACAAAAACTCGAAACGACGGCAGCGTGGGCAAGAACGATCCCACTGTTGTTGGCGAAGGAGGCGAGGGTTATGAGTTCATTCATGGCGAGGAAGAGGAAGATGAGGATGACGATGTGAGCGTAGCCTCATCGGGACTTGGTATGTTATTTCCTGGTTATGTCTCTGAGTCCAGATTGCTAACGCTACGCTATCTACAGTGTACAGCATGCCCAGCCTCTCACTTTCTTCCGCCTCCATCTCAACGCTGTCATCCGAGGTCTCGAATGGCTCCTGGGCTCGATCTGAGCGGAGCAGTTTCTCTGCAGACGAGGATTCAGACAATTTCCACCACGATGCATCAGTCAGCTTGTTCGACAGTCTACGCGAAGGCGTGGCAGCAGATGTTGTACAGTTGGAGCTAGTCACGCTTCGTATGACCGCCAATGCCTCAGACAACCAGGTTCGTCGGGCCATCGTGACATCTTTCATGAAGCACATCCAGCAGCTCATGGAGGGCGGCAAAGGTGCCGGTCCAGCAGTTCTTTCGGTTTTCACGGCATACAAGGAGGTCGTTGAGCGTACCCTATTCGATCGCAACAAGGAGCAGAAGAATGATCAGGTTGATCTGCTGCTCGCACTCCAAAATGATTTGATTCATCGTCCCAAGGGCGATACTGTCCTTCTATTTACCGCCAAGTCTCTATATGAACTTGACCTTATTGAAGAGGAGGCTTACGACCAGTGGTGGAATGATGAGCGCTCTAGTAGCACCGAGGAGATGCGGGCTGTCCGCAGCCAGACCCAGCAATTTGTTGATTGGCTCGCCGAGGCAGAGGAGGAGAGTAGCGAGGAAGAATCTGAGGAGGAATCCGAGGAGGAGCGTGACGATGAGTAGATACCACCAATGTTTTCAACCAAATTCCAAATGTTTTTGAAATTTTTGTATGAATATATTATTAACTCCTTAATATATCTTAAAGCCCTAGAAACGTTTTAAACCTTGATATTAGAGCCAGCTATAGGCAAGCCCTCTATTCTTTGAAAGGCTGAAAGCCCAATGTTCTGAGGTCGTGGATGGTAGCCTACAGTTTACTTAGGCAAATGAGACTAGGGCCAAGCTAACGAGCGCCAATCTAAAAATGATTCATATCTGAGTCAATAGCCTGAAAGAGGTACTTTGAAATGTACATCAGCTGATGTTTTGAACAATATATCTTTTTCTACCTACGTAAAATTGCAAATACAAAAAAATATCCCGAAATTCGTCCCGAAATAAGTTACTCGCAGGCCGGTTCGAGCCGCCTTCGGGGCCTTGGAGATCTTACGCTTCCCCACTCCCCTCCGTCACAGGTTTTACCCAGTGACGTGTGGCTCCTGAGAACATCCCTTGTCGGCATTTTTTGCCGCTACATTCATCACGCCTCCCATAACGCGAAAGAGAAAGGCGGCTGAGGCGATTGCGGACGAGCCACTGCCAAAAGCCGCCCACGGCGATCGGAAAGCCACTTCTACCTCCCACTTCCAGTCAACAGCCACCGCAACAGAAAACACAGAAGAAAGTCCCATCAGTTCCGGCCCGAAAAAGCGGTTATCCACACCCACTACCACCAGCATGGACTCTGACGATGAGTTCATGAGCGACGTCTCTAGCCAGGATGATTTTTTAGGTACCCAGGGATCTGATGACGAGAGCTTAGGTGAAGGTATGTGTCCCTCCGATCTTTGACTTTTGTGTGTCTGTATCTTGATTCTGGGAACTAACAAGCTGTGCCTGGGAGTAGATTTCGATGATCTCGACGCCGGGTTTTCGGACGATAAAGACCTTATTAAACATAAAAAGAAGCCATACGAAGTCGAATACAAGGTTCTCGATCCTCACGATATCGATCAAGAACAGCTTGGTCAGGTCAACGAGGTTTGCGCCATCCTTGGGCTACCACCTGAGTCGGTGGCGATCTTGTTGCGGTTCGGCCGGTGGAACAAGGAAAAGTTGATTGAGTCTTATATGGAGCACCCCGAGGAAACGCTAGAGGAGGCTGGTCTTGGGTCGAATTTCGAGGGGACCGCAAAGACTGAGATCGTCCCAGGATTTATGTGTGACATTTGCTGCGAGGACCGTGACGACCTCGAGACGTATGCCATGCGTTGTGGTCACCGATATTGCGTCGACTGCTATCGGCACTACCTGGGGCAGAAAATCAAGGAGGAAGGAGAGGCTGCCCGAATTCAGTGTCCAGGTGATGGCTGCAATCGCATCGTGGACTCCAAGTCTTTGGATTTGCTTGTGACAAAGGACCTTCAAGGAAGGTGGGTGTTTTTTTTTTTTTTGAGGCCTCCAGGCGGAAGAGCTAACACATACAGATACCGCGAACTTCTCACTCGGACCTACGTTGACGATAAAGAAAACCTCAAATGGTGTCCAGCACCAAATTGCCAATATGCCATTGACTGCGGGGTAAAGAACCGTGATCTCCGTCGCATAGTTCCAACTGTGCGATGTTTTTGTAAGCATGAGTTCTGCTTTGGTTGTTCCCTCAGCGACCACCAGCCCGCTCCATGCACGCTGGTCAAAATGTGGCTACAGAAATGTGAAGATGACTCTGAGACAGCCAACTGGATCTCAGCAAACACCAAAGAGTGCACTAAGTGTAATTCGACGATTGAGAAGAATGGAGGCTGTAACCACATGACTTGCCGTAAGTGCAAGTACGAGTTCTGCTGGATGTGCATGGGTCTCTGGTCCGAGCATGGCACGAGCTGGTATAACTGCAACCGGTACGAAGAAAAGTCAGGCGCAGACGCTCGCAGTGCTCAAGCCAAATCACGTTCCTCCTTGGAGCGCTACCTGCATTACTATAATCGGTATGCGAACCATGAGCAGTCTGCCAAGCTCGACAAGGACCTGTACCTGAAGACCGAAAAGAAGATGACCAGCCTTCAGTCGCAGTCTGGTCTGTCCTGGATTGAGGTGCAGTTCCTAGATACCGCGTCGCAGGCCCTGCAGCAGTGCCGCCAGACCTTGAAGTGGACCTATGCCTTTGCATTTTACCTTGCTCGCAATAACCTGACTGAGATATTCGAGGATAATCAGAAGGATCTGGAGATGGCTGTTGAGAGTCTCAGTGAGATGTTCGAGAAGCCAGTTGCCGATTTAGCAGAACTGAAAGTCGATATCCTGGATAAAACTGCTTATTGCAACAAGCGCCGGGTGATCTTATTAAGCGATACTGCTGAGAACTTGAAGAATGGTAAGTGGGAACATTAGCTGTGCTTTCACTTTCACTACATCGCTAACACGTGTCTTCTAGGAGAGTGGTCGTTTAACATTGATTGGTAAAACCACTTTAACCTCCGCACTGCTATAGACTACGGAGATTTTGACGACCTGAACGACATCTATTTCTTTATCAGAAGTTTCAGCATACTTTTTTTTTCCCCCTTTCCCTCCACCGCTTGACCCCTTTGCCCTTAAGTTGTCTTGCAGTGGGTTTGCAGCAGCAACGGTCACCATGCATCCATCCCTAGGGCTGTAATGGACCTATTTCGTTTCCCGCTTCCTCAAATTACATGCATGTATCCTCATTCGATGAGGGCTTTTTCTTGGGTGTTTTCACAGACTCTGTTCTCTCTGTCTTCTCTTTCTCCATTGCCTTGAGTTTAGGCGTAGCGGTCTTTTTCTTACAGAAATCATTATTGTTGGAGCTGTTATACCAGACATCTACCAGGGAAATTCTTCCATCCAACGCATCTCTTCGAGCATACGAGTAGTGGCGTTAAGATTTATGGAGCGTGAAAGTTTTCCCTTCGAAACCAGGGGGTGGGCACCCGACAGAATCAGAACCAATATAGACTAGATGAGTTAAGTTAGTGGCTTACAGTCCACTCGGGCCTCGGCTTCTCCCATTACCAAGTCGCGTGTTCGTTTTCTACATCGATGCCAAGTTGAAAAGACAAGATTAATAATGAATAGATATCGGGGGTAATATGTCCAATATACTCGGTACAATATACAATATACAACAATATACTATGCGTCAAGCATACAAAGCTAGAAAATAAAATCCTTCTCGAAGTCGAAGCTCCACTATGAGTTAGGCGAAATGTGGTCAAGGGCGAACAGATGGCTTGTCAGAGAGTTTCTTATCAGATTGATAAATTTTAGTACCGGTCATGTACCTGTACCGTGGTTGCTGTACTATGAAGGTACCAGTAGAGTACTTTGCATAAAACCTGGGATCAGTCCGTCATCGGAAGTCTCGGAGTTACTTTAAGTAGCCAAAGTCTTGACATGGGATATTTATGAAAGTTCCGAGGCTTAGATGGCCCCCCGATCCTGAATATAGATGGACATATATTGTAGGCACATATTCTCCAGGGCTACTATAATAGGCAAGGAGAATCAAGATAGTAGTATGGAGTAGAAAATGATTTAAGAGAATAATGCAGTTAATAGCCCAGGATAAGTCCGTGAATAATTCCCCTAGCGTCTTTTTCCTACTTTTTGAGTCCAAATTCCCAGATTTCCAATTACTTTTCTCTCCGATTATTCCACTCGAAAAGAAAAACGAAAAAAAGAAAAAAGATCTCATCATTCATTGCTTCAATTCTTGCACTTTGTTGGAATTCTGTTTCTGTTGGCATTGTCCCTGTGTTCCTCGGGATCTCCACGGACAATCCAGTCCCCGTTTATCTCATCTTCACTTTTCCATTCTTCCACCTCCGCAAGCAACCACCTCCCTTCCTCTCCGCACGAAATCTTCATCTGCTACAGCTGCGCCTTGAGCTAGCGGAAGCTCCATGGCGGCTTCCGATCAGATCTCCGGGCAGGAATTCGAGTATGTCGCTCTCCGATGGATTTTTTTTCCCTCCCAAAACAATCGGCCATCGGGAACGCTGGAAGCTGGAATGAGCACAGGGACAACCAAGTCTTTTTTTCTGGCGATATGATCTGATTCAGCTAGTGCTTGATTGTCCCTGTTGAGCATGCTGACTTTTTTTGCCCTGTCGCTTTGCGGGAATTGTGTGGCCTAAGCTAATCAATACACCCTGTTCTAGCTATGAAGCCCTTCCTTCCAACTATGGCCTTGGCCGGAATATGCTAGCTGGTGCTTTCGCGGGGATAGCGGTATGTTTGTATGGTTAGGGGGTGTGGGTGGGGATTTTTGGCTGATCGGATAAAAGGAACATTCGGTGATGTACCCTGTTGACTTGCTCAAGGTAAGCTTGATTCCTGATTGAAGGCATTGGAACGGGGAAAAAAGGATTGAGTGCTGACTTTGTGGGTTTTGTTAGACTCGCATGCAAATCTTGACCCCTTCAGCTGGCGGTCTTTACACGGGATTGACCAACGCGGTCTCTACAATCTATCGAGTCGAGGGCTGGCGGACACTATGGAAGGGAGTTTCGAGTGTGATTGTCGGCGCAGGTGTGTATATTGTGATCATGGGTTAAAAGACTCAACACTGATTCGCGCTAGGTCCCGCACACGCTGTTTACTTCGGTACATATGAGATCGTTAAGGATATGGCTGGCGGTAATGTCGATGATGGACATCACCCCTTGGCTGCCGGTATGTTACTCGGGCCAACTTTTGAATCGATTTTTTGTGCAACAACTGACGTGAATGTCGTGCAGCTATGAGTGGAGCGGCCGCTACCATTGCCAGTGATGCGCTGATGAACCCATTCGATGGTAAGTGACCCCGTACAGTGTAGTAAATTACACCTAGCTAACTTGTTCTTCAGTTATGAAGCAGCGTATGCAGGTTCACGGCTCAGTCCACAAGACCCTGGCGCAATGTGCCAAGACTGTCTACCGCACCGAAGGTCTCCAGGCCTTCTATGTCTCCTACCCTACCACACTTTGCATGACCGTGCCCTTCACGGCCACTCAATTCGTTGCCTACGAATCGATCTCGAAGGTCATGAACCCCAAGGGTGATTACGACCCATTCACCCACTGCATCGCAGGTGGCCTGGCCGGTGCCTTCGCAGCTGGTATTACCACTCCCCTTGACGTCGTAAAGACGCTCCTCCAGACCCGTGGCCTCGCAGAGAGCGAGGAGGTGCGATCTGCTAAGGGTCTATTTAACGCCGCTGCCATCATCAAGCGCCGGTTTGGCTGGTCTGGCTTCCTGCGTGGCATGCGCCCTCGTATCATTTCCACTATGCCGAGCACTGCAATTTGCTGGTACGTCCCATTATGAGACTCAGTTCAACGTTTGGATATCTACTGACTTCCTTCCCAGGACATCCTATGAGATGGCTAAGGCATACTTCAAGAAGCACCTCGACTAAAAGCACTAACTTGGTCCGGCTGCCATGGGTCCCTTCTACCATTCCCGATGGACCTGCTACTTGTTCGATATACCACGTTTGTGTGGGCACCATATAATCTTTCTTTGATCTCTTGGGGTGACATGGGTCTGTTCGTTTACAATATGTCCTGGATTTAGGGTTGCTGGCCGGAACCCAGCAACCCTCCTTGTGGCGCATCTCGGGCTAGAGCCTGAGTTTCGATCTTCTTGCATGTTTAGGGCTTTTTATGAGAAGCGTTTACGGCAATGTATAGTTTTGGAAGAACGGGACACAGCCATTTTCGACTTGGGAGATTAAATTTGGTGCTTTTTCTTTTCCTTTCTGGATTCTTCGATGCTCTCCATTCGATGTGTCCTATACTGTGACCGGCGTTGGAAAAAACCTTGTGTTTTTATATTTGGTTTCTTTGGAAGGGCTGGGTTCTCTGTGGCATCACTATAACTTATGTTTTTTTTTCTAGTATCTTGCATGTACCTATAGACGTGAGGAATGTTAGAGATGACCATTTTAATTGACTATCAAACCAATACAACCTTACATAGTTCCATGACCGCATGCAGTAATTCCCCGAAACGACGACGTCACGCGAAAAATCCTCCCCCCTCACCTGCGGGAGATCATCGCCTTCACCAACTCCGCCAACTTGTCGTGAAATGGATCCAGGCGGGCCTGATTATTCTCAATGATGCGCCCACGGCCTGCGTCTTCCTTACAGAAGACGTACGACGATTGCTATCTCGCATGCTCCACTGCCGTGTACTTTGAGGGTCAAGTAAATCTACTAGTCCCGATACCCGGTCCCCGAAGCTAACTATCTTAGAACAATGAAGAGGAAGCATTGCGGTCCTGGAGATCTGCCCTCGAGACAATCTACCATCACAATGCCCGCCGTGTAACGCCGAACTATACCCCGAAATCCGAAACAGAGAGAGCCCTACAGGACTCCATCCGGGCGCTAGAGATTCAATGCCGAGAACGGGTCGATCTACTGAGCGCTCTCCAAGCAAGCAGGAAAGAATCCGCAGAGGCAAATGGCAGTAAAGAGAAGGCTACCCTCGTCAAGGGCAAGTCTGTCCCCAGCATGTCGTCGCCATCGCCTTCCAACACTCCAGGCTGGATTGGTGATGGAACAATTCCTGCTGTGGGCTACACCGACCTTTCCAAACCAGCCGCCATACCCGGCCGCCCTGCGCTGTCGACGAAACAAAGCCATGAGTCGCCACCTGGTTCTGACGATGCTGGTCCTGCGACCCCATCAGCGGCTGGTACACCTGCACTCCGTGTGGACTCGAACTCTTCGGACAGGACGAAGTCGCGTGGATCCAGTCCCGATCGCCGGAAACCCATGCTGACAACTCTGCGCAGCAGCGATGCCAAGAAGAATGCGAAGAAAATTAAGATAGCATCAAAGAAAAAGGATTTGAGGCCTGCTGCCTCCACGGCTGCGGGCCTAGCATGGGGTAGCATCTATCGTCCCGCCTCGGGTGAAAAGCCTGTTAGCGATGCGGCCCTGGTCTCATCCCGGCAGAGCGCTGCTGCCCATGATCTCACTCATCGCCGAGAGTTAGAACCAAGACCCAGTTCTAGGGATGAGTCTCGACAAGCGAGAACCCGCACTTCTCGAGACCGCCTAACCGGGGACCCAAGTCCTGCTGCCCATTTGCGAGAGCCTCCTCGTTCGTCCCCGAAAAGATCCTCACCCAGACCGTCTACTCAGTCTCCCAGACCGTCCACCCAGTCTCCCAGATCGTCTACTCAGTCACGTAGTCCACTGCCGCCGCGGGCGCCTCGACCTCCACCTGACAGCCCTAAAATACAACAGTCCCATCCAATGTCCATGCCGAACCCGGATGACTTCACGACACCTAAACCATCCATCAAACCCAAACCTGTGGCCTTGCGAACTTCCCATGAACCCACTAGCCATCCAATGCAAAACACCAAGTCCGAGAATTCTTCGAATACTTCTAGGACTCTGACACCTCGGCTTGGCCGCGAAGCAAATTCCTCCAATGATATGCCGCGGACAAAATCTGCACCTAGACCTCCCAATATTGGGGAAAGTGCCCGCGGTTCTCCATCATCCGCGAGCGGTGACGACTTTCATCGCGGTGTGGGCCGGCTGGCTATATCTCAAGCGCACAACGATAGTCCAATACGGCGCAAAGCCCCACCAGCCCAGCAGCTACCAGTCCAACAGCGAGAGACACCACTGTCAAGCGATCATGAGTCTTCAGATCAGCGGACCACAGCAAGTGAGACAGGTGACGAAGATGAGGAAGAAGACAGTGAACTCTTGAAGATCATGGAAAAATTGCCCAGGGGCGTGGATCCCCAGTCGGCAAAGCAAATCCTGAATGACATCGTAGTACGCGGTGACGAAGTACACTGGGATGACATAGCAGGCTTAGAAGGAGCCAAAAAGGCCCTCAAAGAAGCAGTAGTCTATCCATTCCTTCGTCCAGACCTATTCTCCGGTCTTCGCGAGCCAGCTCGCGGAATGCTCCTCTTTGGCCCTCCAGGCACAGGCAAAACCATGCTTGCACGAGCAGTAGCCACAGAATCAAGGTCAACCTTTTTTTCCATCTCCGCATCGAGCCTAACGTCCAAATGGCACGGCGAAAGCGAGAAGCTTGTGCGGGCTCTCTTCGGGCTTGCTAAAGCCCTCGCTCCATCCATCATCTTCGTCGATGAGATCGACTCCCTCCTTTCTGCCCGATCATCCGGCTCAGAACACGAGGCCTCCCGTCGCTCTAAGACCGAATTCCTGGTTCAATGGTCTGACCTCCAGCGGGCAGCTGCCGGCCGCGAACAATCAAGTCGCGAAAAGAAAGAGGGCGATGCTAGTCGTGTACTCGTCTTAGCTGCGACCAATATGCCTTGGGATATCGACGAGGCTGCACGTCGCCGCTTCGTCCGTCGCCAGTACATCCCCTTGCCAGAGCACCATGTCCGCGAGCAGCAGATACGCAAGCTTCTCAGTCACCAGCACCACGAGCTAAGCGATACTGATATCCAGGCTCTGGTACAGGTGACAGAAGGTACGTTGCTCTTCCTCAACTGTCTTCCCTCTTCTTTAAAAAGAGAGGGAAAAAAAGGGAGGAAAAATAGATTGTCTTGCTAACTGACAATTCCTAGGCTTCTCCGGCTCAGACATAACAGCTCTCGCCAAAGATGCGGCCATGGGCCCTCTACGTAATCTGGGCGAGGCCCTCTTACACACACCCATGGACCAGATCCGCCCCATTATATTCCAGGACTTTGAGGCAAGTTTGTGTTCCATCAGACCTAGTGTATCCCCCGATGGACTGAAGAAATATGAAGATTGGGCTCGAGAATTTGGTGAACGAGGCGGATAGAGTAGATTTGGAGACACTCGTGGAACTTTTTTGGTTCTGCTGTGTCTCTATTTGGTTGCCTCTAGAGTTCTCCTCTCCTCGTGTATGAGGAGGTTGTATGTTCGATACAATTATAGAAATGGAAAACTGATTCTTTTCTTTGCTCTTTAAAATCGTGTTCATTGACTGTTCGGCATATACCTCTTCCTGTCAGCTTCAATGCTATGTCTGAGCCTATTAGCTGGATAGATCTAACCTTGCAGATGACCAAATGTGTCAGATCTGCATTTTAGTCGATTTCGAATACCCAGTCAATACGATTACACTGAACTAAACCAAATGCCGGGCTTGCTTGTTGAAGATGTTGAAGATGGACACAAATTATGGCTCAACCAAAGGCGAGAGGCTGTTGAGATACTTGCAAACGAGACACGAGGCAAACATCTGCGTTCCAGTAAGATCCCGAGTCCCAGATATCTCTAGCAGAAGCTAGTTAAAAGTGCCCAGAAATTCAATTTGCCTGATATAGCAGATTTGTATGTTTTCACGGTGTATATAAGAGTACATGACTGACATATGCAGCCCTGCAGTTTTACAGGAGATATACTAGTATCAACTCAACAACACTCGAATCTCCCCTGTCGTTCGAGGGAACAATGATCTCAAACTCCATTGTTCCACCTTGTGCTCTTCGGCCTCTTCATCCTTCTGGCTCGCTTCTGTGCCGTCAGATTTACCACTCTGACCACTGATACTGCCTCCAGGTTTAGTGGCCACATTCACAGTTCCTCGCGCCTCGTCGGCGGCAATGATCATGCCTTCAACGAACTCGAAATCACGGCAGAATGCCTCAACTGCATCCTCGGTAACGCTCTGAATAAGGGAAAGGCTTTGTACACGCTTCAGGTTATCGGTTGCGTCCATAAGCGCAGATGGGAGGAAGTCATCGAGTTGTTGGCTGGATGTAATCAAGGACTCCGGTTGGAAGGCGGGGAAATTGGCTAGGTCAGCTAGATGAGGTTTCTGCTGGTCTGGGTTTTCGGTTTTGTGTTCTACGGAGTCGGAGAAAGGTTCCAGTGCCTCCAATAGCGTTTGGAGACCAGAAGTCTCGAGGAGGAATTGGTGTTGGGCGTCGAGAAGATCGCTACGTAGGGTTGATAGGGCCGCAGAAATGGGAGGGACGTGTGTAGAGCTGGCAAAGGGGAATGGCGACACAGCTGCGCGGGCTGCAAGGAGAATGTTGGTGCGGTATATGGACTGCGCTGTGGTAGTTTGGAGTTCATCGGAGGAGGACCGGGCCAGTGTCAAGAATGGATCGAAGGCGGCCCGGAGAACAGAAGTGAATGGGTTCTCGTTGTTTGCATCTAGAGATGAATCTTCTGATCCGACGGAAGAATCATAGGTCTTCATCAGTAATTCCAAGTCTTCCAATGCATCTAACAAGAACTGTGGGGGCGACAGGTCATCTGGTGGAGTCAGGGCAATATTGTCGCCCGCTAAGACGCTGATTTGGTCGCGCATTAAAGTCTCAAAGTGGCCCAGAGTGAATTTTTCCAGGCTCTTGATCAGGTCCACCAAGTGTGATTGTGCGCCCACTAGTTTGGTGAAGGTTGTGCAGTAGAAAGACAACAGGTTAACCACCTTGTAGCAAGTAACAGGGTCATCATGACTCTGAATGACGAGCTCAATTCTTTGCCGCAGTGACCGAGCCACTCCAGTAAGGTCGCGATTGACCAAGTCGTTAAGTGCCTTTTGGCCATCAAAGGTAACTTCTTGGTCCTCATCGATGCGCGACCAGGGCTCACTATTCAGGCCGGCTTGGATCCCCCGAGCGAGTTCGTCTCCATCATCGACAAACAATGACTCGAGAGCTTCTCGTTCTGATACAGTTGTCGAGTGCACCCACGCAAGCATGTCGCCGATATACCGAAGTGGGTCATGCGCTGAGAACTCAATTGGTTTGACAGTGCGATCACCGGTGCCGGGCCCATTGGCCCCGGAAACGGCGTCAGTCAGTGCATAGTGGAAAGCATCGGACAGCACATAGTCTCGTGCCTCTGCAAAGAAATCCAAACAGTTGTGGAATAGACTCGGGCGTTCTGCTAGCACCCGTAGAGCGCGGCGGATCGAACTGCTGATGCGAGGGTCCTCTAGATTCAGGGACCTGAATTCTTTCTGGACCCATCGGTAAAGTTTCTGATATGCTAAATTGAGGTTCCGGGTGCTCAATTCCATCACCTCCAGGCCCAGTCGCTGATTCTCGCCGCCGAGCAAGACTTCGCAATCGTGGTGCACTTGCTTGACACGGGCTAGCACGTCAAAGAACCGCTCGTCAACGGGCTCCTCGGCAGATGTCAAGGCTAATATATCCTCTTCTGGAACCAGGAAATGCTTCGAAAAGGCTTCTAATAGCTGTTGTTTGGTCTCAGTCTCTTTCTTCTGTGTTATCAGGGCGCTGGCCTCCTCGAGTACCGGCGTTGTGTCCTGCTTTGCGAGGTTGATTCGTTTGCGCATATCATCGCATGTCTGATTCAGTGTCGAGACAACTGTTCCGATTCGCCTCAATTGCTGTTATTGCCATTGAAGAATTAGGATTCTAGTTCTGAATCTCTAAAGGAGCAATAGGAGTCTCACCTCTGCCACTTTCCCGAAGTCCTTCACAATCTCCGCATTGCAATCAACAACTTCTTTTTGCACATCTAGTCGTAGTTGCCGGCGTGTTTCCGCAGTGTTGTGAATGTCCCTCAAGCTTAAAGTCTCAAGGGAGTCCCGAATGTCCGAGTCCGCATACGACGCCGATAGGACTGTTATCAGCCGATTGGTGAGTGCGGTCGGGCGCTGCGTTTGGGGGGACATTGGAGACGATACGGTGGGTGTATTGGCACCATTACTGGCGCTGCCACTTGGTGGAAAGTAGCTGGTCATTGTTGTTTGAACAACTCAGCGGCGTGTCGGCGGGGGGAAGTAGAGGACAGCCGCGTACTTGGCGCATCGACCGCCTTTTCCGTATCTTATCGTCAACATATTACCCTATTTGTTTCCTTCCTACTAATCTGTCTCAATTCATTCATTTCTAGAATTGCATTGCTACCTGAATCCATGGATAGTCCACTCGTTTCGCCGGCTAAGGCCCGCCAGGCTGCTATCCAAGCTAAAGATTGGGCGTACGTGAACTCCTGGCTCAATCGACAATATGCGCCCAAACCGGTCCCCAAGTTTGAGCGCAATGAAGATACACTCCCCGTCCTCCTGGCCCTAGCTGCAGCCAATGATGCTGCAGATGAAGAAGCCGCTTTACAACAACGAGCGCTGGAAGAGGCTGTTCAAGCATACAAAATACGGGAAGAGTTCGAACGCCAAGATCCCCACGAGCAACAGAAGAATCAACTCCTTGATGAAGTCGAGATGTGTTTGGATGATACAGGACGACGCGATCTAGAAGACCTCGCCGACTCCACCGTAGCTCTGGGTAACACCTTGAACCCGAGCCCGGGGGATCTGGGACAGTCCATTGTGGAGCTCACGGTGGAGGAATTCGAGGCCCAGGAACAGATTGCAAAAGTCGACACCTTGCATCTGTATCTCCAGCGAGAGTTGGCGCGGTTACAGGCGGAACTTGAGGAATTAAAGACCGATGTGGCATATGAGACACCTTCTGATATACAAAGCTTGACATCGGAGTGGATACGCGGCACGAAAGCACTTGCGATCAAGGCCGGGGAGTACCAAGATCGCATTGCATCACTTGAAAAAGTCCAGCCCCGGGGGCCAACTATTGAGGAGCTGATGGCGGAGGAAGAGAATGTTATCAAGATGCGGGAGACGGTCAAGGCGCTGCAAGGTCGTGTGAGGGCATATCATGATCTTCCTAAGGACACACCAGGAGCATGGACAAAATACAAAGAATTAGAGCGCGAGCTTGGCCAACTCAAGCGACAACGAGACTCAATAGTCGGCAGTATAGATGAGCAATACTAATGCCACATCCTATAGCACACAGAGAGACTAATGTCAGTGGTTGGCTTTCGCTTGCAATCGATTTATTTAGCTCTCTTAGGGACAGTCAACATTTTCAAAATACTTTCAGGGTCCAAAGTCACTTGAACAGATTCTTAAGCTATACATTAGCCTTGACCTTCTTGTTACAGTTGTTACAGACTTTTCTGTTGAGCTACTTTGCTTTCATAATATTTGGTCTACGTCACGAATGAGAATTCTTCCACTTAAATGTAATTGATCACAGAGTAATTCCTCTGGCTATTTGAAAAACGTAATTGGTATCATGGTATCGTGAGTCCTGAGTGTAGCGCTGTCCGCGAAGTTACGGAACGATCAAAATAATGGTTCACTCGCGTAAGGGAGCCCATCTTAGTTGCCGCCGAGGCCGAGAGCACCCTTGACCTTGTCACCACTGAAAGCACGGTTAGAATCGGACACTTTGGTTGCAGGAACGGAGTAACTTACATAGAGCCGCTGGCACCGCCATGGCCGTGGTTATCACTAGCACGCTGGGTCTTGTCAAAGGCCTCCTGACCAAGGCCCTTGCTATCGTCGGTCTGCAAGCCACGGCTAGCACGGTCAGTGGTATCGGTGACAGTCTCCTTGACCTTGTCCTGGGTGGACTTGGTGGAGTCGGGAGTGAGCTCCTCCTTGGCCTCTGTAGGAAGAAGTAGTCAGTAACGATGTCTTGTTATACTGAGAGGAAGGTAAAGAGTGTCACATACTGGTGCTGAAATCCTTGCGACCGATATCAGACATGATGAAGATTTATTGGAAGTTGGTGGTTGGAGTAGAAGTCAACTGTGTGGTTTGATTGTAGTAGATGTTGATGAAAGAAGAATGGCTAGAGGCAAGGAAATGGAAATAGAGGGGTTAATATAGATTTGTTTGACTTGCAAGCACAGAATGGGCGCAGGCATGACGTCGTTTGTTGTCGTGATTGACTTACTTTATTCACAATGGATGCCAACTACAACCTAGGCAATATGTATACAGATCTATTTCCAAGGTCGGGACCCCGGACTAGCCACAATTTCCCAATTTGATTACGGTTCCTCCAATCAGTGTAGTTCCTGGTGGCTACTGATGACCTTTCACTGCGTACAGGCTGTGGCACCCAATGGTAATCAATTCGCTCGATCTTTCCAGGCTTGGGTTCTCTGGTGATGACATCATGAGCACAGCACCTTCAGCCAAGTCACATGATATCTCTTTTGATTACATGCCTAAAGTCACATGATGTAGCACAATCCATACATGTTTGGTCGCTAAGCCTAATTGAGAACAAACAGTACCAGGCGGTCAGCGATGCATGGCAGAATGGCTCACCGCCTCCGTCACCCTACTCGGGCATCAATTGTAGTCGTCCATCAACTTGTTTGCTTTCACCCCTCATCCTTTCGTTCTGACTCACTATGTGGACCAGATTTGTCCTTTTTCATGAATTGTCTTCTCACACTCCGTGACTATCAACCAGATCGTTATATTGGTGACAATACGTTTGAATTTATCGTTCCTTCATTTGCTATCATCTAAACTTCAACGCACGAACCCGTTACACGGCCTTTACATCTATCTTATCTAGTCATCAATGCACACGTCAGATCCCCCTGTTTCTTCAAACTGGGACTTTACTCCAGTGCATGACCTACTACGGTCGCCCATCGAGGGCTGCACTGCGAGACCTAGTCGCCACAATGAAGCTACAATCCCTTTGATTGGTGAACAAGCCAACGATGACCCCCGCTACACCACTGATGGTAGGCGCATGGATTTTATCCCTCAACGAAGTAACCCGAAACTTGGTGACTTTGGTTCTCTTTGGGAGCTATTCAACGGAAGCCCTGCTCCCGCGAGCGTCACACCAACAGTAGAGACTACAAATACCACCAAGTCTGAGCTTGAAAAGGCTCAGTCCTCGCTTCAAGTATTGCCCTCTAACTCAGCGGAAGGGTTTGCCGAAAAGGGCTCATTCTCTGGCCTATATGGGATTGAAACATCCGTTTCCGCCTCATTCAACACCTCTCGCATCATCAATGAGCCAATTCCTCAGGTCCGCAAGGATACCAGCACTGGCTACTTCTCCCATTCTTCTTGTTCAAATGTGCACGCTAGAGATATTCCTATCGACTTTGAGGGTCAATCGTTCACTATTCTGAAACGGACCTCAGACCATGAGCCTTCTGGAACGAGTGACAATGTGAAATTTGGTGTTCGTGGTCCACAAAGCCCTCCTGTGACGATTCTTAAACCTAGGCTTGGTGATCCAAGTGATACTCCCATAAAATCCAAGCCTCGGTCTCGCAGGAAAAATCTCCGAAAGAGCACGCGCAATCATCCAATTACTTCTGAAGAAAGCGCCGGGCTAGACTCGGACACGAGTATCGTGTTTGATCATCACATTTCCGAGAAACCCGTGGCTATTTCATTTGTCCCATCTCAAGTCCATGTGCCTGGAACGAAGACTCACCCTTATGATACCCCGCCATCGTCGTTTGACGATACTGACTGGATACTGAATGCCAACGCCATCCGAGAATTTGCTTCTGGCGGTACCCATGTGCGGTCTACCCTACACCAATCGGCCGCGGACCGAAGAGTTACCTTGATGACCAGACTCCTCGGCCACTTCCCTGCGTACGCCAAAATTGTGTCTCAAGTGGGGCTAGCTTTAGATCATCCCCCCGATGATAGTATTGGCTCACGTCCTATCCATGTCTTTGTTGACATGTCAAATGTATGTTTTTGTTCATCCTCTATTCAACTTTTCTCAAACTAATGCATCTCAGATCATGGTCGGATTTCACGATTCGGTGAAAACCTCACGAAATATTCCTCTCTCAACCCGCATTCGTCGTGTCCATATGTCCTTCGCTAATCTCGCATTAATCATGGAACGCGGCCGCCGAGCCGCCAAGAGAGTCTTGGTCGGCTCAGATCGTCTTCCCTCCGTCGATGAAGCCGAGAGGCTAGGTTACGAAGTTAATATCCTTGAACGTGTGCACAAGGTGAAGACCGTCACACCCCGTCACAATAGCAAGTCTAGGAAAAATTATGGCTACAATTCTCAGGGGGTATCTAGCGGTCCTGAAACGGTCGCCGCCTCTGAGGAGCGATGGGTTGAGCAAGGTGTGGACGAAATTCTGCACCTGAAGATCCTGGAGAGCCTTTTGGATACAGAGAAAGCTGCGACGATTGTTTTGGCGACGGGGGATGCGGCAGTGGCCGAGTTCTCCGATGGATTCATGAGGATGGTCGAGCGCGCGCTCCAGCGCGGCTGGAATGTTGAACTTGTGAGTTTCTCGCAGGGCACTAGCTATGCATACCGGAAGAAGGAATTTCGGACTCAGTGGGGAGCCTGCTTCAAGCTGGTCGAGCTGGACCGGTACGTGGAGGAACTGTTTGAGTAAATGGCGAAGCCTCTGCGCTGAAATGACGGAGATTTACTCGGCCTTTCAAGAATGAATACAGGATATCTTTTTGTTATTTATCATGACTCAAAGCCCGTATACCTCTGGCTCTAAAGTCGTTTCATGTAGTTTCGTAGGATATTGAGTCAACACCCCGCCAAACCAAACCGCCAAACCGCCAAACGTCATTGGGCGGAAAACACCCGCCCGCACCGTTGCCTCACGTCTACCTAGAGGGATTCTCTATTCTGGAACTATATAATCTCTGTTAACCTGTGAATCTCTCCAATATTGCTTGCCTTCTTCTGCGTCGTTGATCCCCAAGCAAAAAAGGGGACCGGGAAAAAAAATCCGCAATCTATCGTGAAGAATTTGGATTTGAAACTGCTCTTGCACAATCAGCAGAACATCCTTTCAAAAAGAATAACGAGAGGAAAAAAAAAAAATTTCAAACCCCTCCGTCTTACACCAATATCAATTGCATCATGTCTCAATTCACCGAGCAAGAGTTCTTCGGCGGAGCCATTCGAGGCGTTGTGCCACAAGGTTGGATTGATTCGAGGTCAGTATACAACACTTCCTATGCATCAAATTTCCATTTTATTACATCAATACATTCCTCATCTCATCCCAGAATACCCCTATCAAACAGACCTCCCAACTAACACCAAATCACAGCACCCTCCGCGAGGTCCCCGACCACCAAGAGCTATGGCTCTCACCCACCACCCTCTCCAACCTCATCATCGAAATCAACCAGCGCGTCCCACAGGCTGAAGCGCTAAACACCTTCGCCACGCTCAGCCACCAGCAACCCACTGCAGCCCCAGGTAGCGGCAGCGCAGCACCCGCAACCGCAGAGACAGTCGACCAAGCCGCAGCCCTGTACCACCTGCACGATCTCTGCGATGAAGGCGACACCATGCAGGTGATCACGTCTCCCACGCGCGTCGAAGTCCAGCTTGCTTCGTCCTCGCCTACCCCCGCTTCCGCTATCAAGGCGTATCGCGGCGTTGTCTCCTTCACGACGCCGGTGCGTGGCAGTGGTGCTGGACGCGTCCCTGCATCTGCTGAAGGGTCTGCTGCTGGTGTTGCAGATGCCGGTGTTCTTGGTTCGCAGATGAACGGCGATTCTAATGGTTTGCCGCAGGTTTCCAAGCTGACGTGCCATTTCTTGCTTGTTAGGCTTGAGGCGCAGGAGACGGATCTGTTGGTCTTCTTTAATGTGCCTCATGAGGAGTTTGATAAGAATGGGGATCCTAGGGGCTTGTCTCTTGAGGAGGTCCTTGCTGAGGAGACTATCGGGGCTTTGCTTAGGAAATTGGAGATTTGTGACTGGAGTCTCTTTGTTTAAGCGTATTTTCCTCAATGGACCTGGATGACACATGGTCGATCTGGATTGGAATCGGGATTGAGATTTTACTGGGAGGATATGGCTGTAATAGCTGGGTTGAAATATAGGGAAGTGCCATTTGCGCTTTGGGGCGTATAGATAGAAATAAACAGTTGACTTACAATATCTCATATGTTTAAAGGATGGCACAAATGTGTGTTAATCTCTAATTAATAAGAAGATGTATTGTGGTATAATGCTATGTAGTAAGTTCTATAGATCTAGTCATTTTATAGTCGGCGATTGTCACATGTCCATCATTGGCATTGCAGTCCATTCGGTTGATTCGGTGGATTCGGTGGATTCGTCCGCGGATTCTTCGGAAACACATCGTTCACACTGGCACACGAAACGGAACGATTTTCGAAGGTGTTCACGACGCGAAGTAAGATCCGTATATTGTGTCAGGTCGAAGTACGAGATGCAGCATTCCTCGCCCGGAAAAATGTCGCGGGAGGCGGTAAAGACCATGCGGCCTTGGTCGTCGGCTTTATGGATCATCTTATGGAGGCTTAGCATTACGTTCACAAATTCGGATCCCAGGGAAGATGCCCACTCACATTTGGCAAACATGAATGATTAGCAATTGCCGCAGTGGGATAAACAGCAGCAGCAAACTGCTCCCCTCTATCGACAGGAGGGTTTGGCGGAGGGAAATGACCTGTTTCTCGTGGGTAGAGCCCGAATGAGTTTGCCTCTTCCTGACAAATGAGATGAAGAACACGATCTGCACTCATATCATGGGGAAGAGCCGGACTGCTCCGAAGATACTTCTTCACAAGAGTAGACCAAGACCGGACCTTGTCATGGGGCCAAGTATCCTCAGAGCCACAGAGCGATTGAATTCCACTCCAGCCATGCTTCCAATTTCCAACAACATCAACCGCCGTCCGCTCATGTAATTGGCAATGTCGCGCAGCAAGCAGCCGAAGAATCACCCACAGCATGCCGAAATCATATTCACCCCATTTAGACCGAATTGTCCCTGCATACCGTTTGAGCCAAGCGCATTCAAAGTCATGTCGAAGATTATCGGCCTCCCGGCATATGCTGCTGCACCACGCCACATCCGGGATACAGGAATTCGGACATGAAGTCCGAGTGTGGCGAGGCGCTGGTCGATTACAAACGGGATTGCTGCAGATCAGATGGTCATTGTGGGCGGGTTCGTCGACGACGGGAATGACTGCGTAGGGGGGATCCACGAGGAGACAGGCGCCTTTGGGGATGGGACCGGAGACGCGAAATTGGCGACCTTTGACCGCGTCTTTGCTTTCGATTAAGTGCGGGTGGATCCAATCGGGTGTCGGGATGGGTTCTTCTACGCGAATTCGGTCTGAGGCTTCTGTGGTGATATATACGACTTGGGACATGATGCTTTGGGGAGTATGTCTAGGTAAGGCTTCACGTTTCAGCAAATTCTTTTTTTGGAAAGGAACCAATCTGGGCTTGTGGGTCTATTCGCCTCCCGGAATGTAAGGTGAGGCTATCCAAGCGAATACCAGTGATTGGGGTCCCACATGAATGTCGAAATGCTCATTTAATTGGCTGGTCTTGATTTTTAGCGGAGTAGCTTAATCGATCCACTCTACAGACTGCATAATTGAAAGCCAGGGAGTAATATGCCGAGCTATCAGTGTCGATTTCCCACAAAGATTCAGTTATTTTCTTGCCATCTAAGTCCAGACATCAGAGAAAGTCGGCGATGAAGAAGGGGGTTGAAATACCTGTGTCTACATTTTGTGCAACAATAAAAGATAGTACTTCCTTCGTCGGCACTTCGAAGTTGTGCTTCAGTCCAGGTCGCTTTGGGATTCGAGCACTGAGGACATTCCACCTCCGTTATGGGACCGTCACCCAGTTCCTTTTGTGAGACAACCTGGGTTTTAGAAAGAAGTCTAGTCCGAAGCCTCGAAGGGAAGTTGGTCGATGAAGATATTTGGACGTCAGTAAGCATTGTGTCTGAGGTTCAAAGAATGTCAGTAACAGAATCTTCTAAATTTGCTCCTATCGCTCACTTTTGGTAGATGTTCCACATAGATCACAACAAATCTGCTCTGCTGATGATACTGGAAGAAGATGCCCACAGTCCTCGCAGAATTGAACCATGCCGGAAAGCCGTATATGCGGTAGAGATTCAAAATAAACAAGATAAAGATAGCATTAGTGGAAAGACGACAAGTCCCAGCCCCTTGTAGTCTCTGCAGAGTCGTGGCGGTGTAGCCCTGTGGTCCTAGGCGTATCCCCCCTAAACTTCGATGCATGGTCTCTCTACCATTCCATTGGCTTTCCCACTCAGGTTTTCCATCTCTTTGGTGCACCAGTTCAAATGCCCAAAGATCCTCCAATATACATCATCGGCTGCATTCTTTCCCACAATAGGATCAAGATGCCCGTACCCGTCAGCCAAGAATCTGCGATAAAGTCTCTCACCAAATGTTCGTCGCAATAACTCATAATCCTTGAGCGTAGTCTCAGGCTTGAAGACTTGATTATCCGTGCCCGAAATGAAGAGAATCGGTATCCCTTGCAACCTTTGCAGACTCTCGGGTGTCAGAAGAGGCCGTAAATCATTATTCATGCAGACTCCCTGGGTTCCGTTGCAAACCACTTGCTTCATGAACTTGGTATGGGTTCCCACGAAGAATTGGTGGAGATTTTCATGAAGACACTTGTCAAGGTTCTCGTGATTCCATAGCAGTCCAAAAGCGAAAGATAACCGGTGGCACGCTGTAGACGTGCAGACGTCTCGCGTGTGCCCAACAGGATAGAAACGAAGAAGATTGTCGAGTAATTGTTGGAAAAGATTACTCTTGGCATTGCTGACAATTGGAAAATGATTACCAGCCATCAATTTGTAAAACTCAATCAGCAGGGTCGTTCTTCCTTTGATGGAGTTCCAATATCCAAAGACCTGACTCATGAAGACTGAGTTGGCGGTAATACCGAGAATGTGGCTACCCTGGATAGCTCCATCCAGTAGTCCGTTGCAGAGAGCCACCGATCCTTGGCAATGGGCTACCACATATGGCTTCTCTAGCTCTTTCTCGCGGATATATTCTATCGCAGCAGCAACGTCAAGGCGGCAGTCGAAAACGGTGCTTTTTTCGGCAACGGCGTGATCGCAGCCCCAACGAGGAGTGACAACATAACATCGGTATCCACGCTGTGTGAAATATTCAACCATGTTGCAGCGCAAAAATGGCAGTGAAAACAAACTGTGCATCGTCTTGACTCCGGTGACTCCTGGTATAAGCAGAACTGGTGGAAGGCCGGACTTGGACTCCGGCTTGTCTGTTTCTTTGACAGAGATTGGATCATAGATATTAAGGAGTACCTGAACGCCGTCGCGTGCGGTGATGTTGCACGACATGGAAGGAGGTAGTTTTGCAGGAAGCTGTTTTGACTCGGTGATATTCCCTGAGGTCCGAGGGAAGTGCATGTGGACGAAAGGGCGAAAGAAGAAGAGACTGATGTGGTACATAAAAGAAACCAAAAACATCATCAAAGCCCAGATTAGGCCGACCTGGAAGTCAACGGTCGTCCGAAATGTTCTTATCTGCTTTTTGAAGTCTCGCAATGAGATATGAAGGGCTCCTGCCCCAACATTTGTCCCGTCCAGTCGAGTGATGCTTGCGTTCACCGTGGTTGTCGCTTCCCATGTCTTTGCGGCAGAGAACGATATGCTCGAGTTGATGAGCTTGTGGCCTTTCAGGCGGTACTGTACGCCCTCTACCGAGAGGAGCATCAGGTTGTATGAAATGGCTGACGATTCAGCATTCTCTTCTATTGGTGTAAAAAAGTCCACTGTCCCATCGACAATCTTGAGTGTGGCTTTGGATAATGCATGGCAATAGACCGTCCCGGTGCATATTCCTTGATATCGTGAATCTGGACATGTGAGCATTCCACTGTTAAAAGGTTTCTCTCGATACCATACCTTCTCCTCGGCAGATTTCGACCGTAAGAAACATGCGTGTTACGCAAGCCGAACCCTTTCGTACCCTCTCAGACAGCTCAAAGCCTTCGAGCCCCGGTCCAAATCTGATGATTCCATGCATAGTCTCTGTGAATTGCCATCCAATAGACTGGGGTGCGTTCTTGGTACTGCCTCGATGCTCTTGGTAGTCCGGTGACACCCTAGGCTTGCTGTAGGCATTCAAGGGCTGGTTTTTAGTCTCAAGATCAATTGACGATCCAGACCTCTCGGTGAGTAACTCGACGCATCGTTCAGCAAGGGCAGATATCGTGGCCATCGGGTTCACACCTGCCAGGATCAGTACCTAGCAAGCTATATAATCTTTTCTTTTGGCATACCTATAGCTGTCGGGATGATAGATGCATCACAGCACACAAGACCTTTGTGTACTTCACCATTAGATCCACTGAAGACCTCTCCCAAATGATTTGTGACACCACCGTGCCCTGTTTCATCGTTGCTCATGTTGGCTCCTCCAAGGAGATGGACTGTGATTTCCTCCTGGTGGCGACCTTTGGCTATGCTTAGCCTGGCTTCATGGTGGCTTGTAAGGATGCTTACCATAATGATATGAGAACCCCATCATTGCTCCCGTGCGGGTAAAAAGGTCCTTGAAGACCTTCCTTATCCCTCCAAAGTGCTCAGATCGTCCTTCTGCCGGTCCCCGCAGGCACAACTGATCATCCTTCAAGGTCAGCGTTACCTCGTTACTGTCATGAGACATTACGAGATAAGTTGAAGTCCGCTGAAGAGCTCCATTGCGTGCATATGGTCCGAATAGAAGAGACTTAAAAGAGGCGATAATCTTCCTCGTCTCCTGACGAGGGTTAGAAATACAGCACAGTACCTGACTCTTGATGGTCTGCAGGGTGAGCATAATTTGAATTATTGGGTTGAACATCTCAGGGATGCAGCCATCTTGGATGACGTATCCAGACAGGGGATTTTTCAAAGGATCAGCCACTCGATTGTCGATCATAGCAGTGATGGTTGGTCCAGGGGGGGCATGCGCAGATTCACGGGCGATCCCGTTGATATTGTCACTTCCATTGTAACCTAAAAACTGTAAATCAAACTTGCTTTTACTTATATTCCAGAGAAGTACATACCAAATATCAAAAGGTCGCCGTTTCCAGAGAGATTTCTTCCGACGAGCGGTGACATATGAAGGCCGTGCTGTTTTGACTGCAGCAATACTCCAGTAGTTCCATAGGCACCAGCCCCAAGGAAGCAGAATTCCTTCTGAAGTAATTGAAGTAGACAGAGTGAGTTAAAATGTCCATTTCTGGAGGGTGAAATCCAATACTTACCGCTTTGACCCAGAAGAGTTGTTCCTTGAAATCATCCCTGAACACCGACCTGCCACTTCCGTGCCAGGCGAAGTGTATAGTGTAGCCTGCTCCGTCCGTCTTTTCCACAAATCGAACTTCACATCCGCAAAATATCTCAGCGCCCCAATTCCAGGCATCTGCAAGATATGTTGTCGCCACCGAGTTTTTTGAGCCATCGTTGAGACCAGTGCACTCATGGCCCGAACGTTTACTTGCCTTCATAGGGACACCTGCATTGTTGGGACCATTGCGGAAAGATATGGTCAAGGGTACTCGATTAAAACTCTCTTTACCTCCAAGCCATTTTGACTGTTCTTGAAGATGCTCGAGTTTGTTTGGGGTTGAAGTATCCGGATATGTGGAAGGTTGAAGCATTGTTTCGGCTCGTGCATAGTCTGCATTGTTTAATTATGAAATGTGTTCCGCCATTTGGATATGTAACTCACATTCTTCGAGTGCAGCTGGGTCATCCCTAATTTCTGACGGCCATGGACTCATCTGCAGTGTTCTTTCGTCCGCTCTCAGGAAAACTCCAGCATTGATCAATGAAGTTCCTCCAAGTCCTATGATCCCACTCAGAGAGGACCCGGTAAGCTCTTCCAATTCATGACATATTGGGAAATATTGAGCTTCACGTACCATGGGCACCAAAAGTGTGTTGTCCATCACCCAAAAATAATTGGAAAAGCCGCGTGGGGTCCCCAGACGCCATCCATTTTGAGATGAAGTTCTTTACATAACTCCCCGAGACACTCAAGTCTTTTAGACTCTGAGAGAACGTATGTGGAAATGAACCAGCTATAAGGATGTTAGCAGTATCTAACCCGAAGCCTCTGAATCCGTACATCTTCTTTCCCAGCCAAGCTCTAGCACCGCGACACTCTTCCCTGCTCGAGCCATTCGACTTGCCGCTACTCCAGCTCCATAGCCAGATCCTATAATAACGACGTCGTATTCTGGTCTCATCGATCCAAATGAACGACTCAAATTCGGATAGTCGTCCGTCTTCTCTGCGAACTTTGTCATTATCACCGTGGGTACTGTTGCCGAGGGTACTATATGGATATTGAGAGCACAGAATGTAAGGCAAGGAGTATATATAGGTCTACGGGCCCACTGGAATGAACGACTGGATCCAAAGCACGTAAGCACTATAAATCCAACCTTGGAAGAGTCTAAGATCCTCGAGGGCCAACATATATTTCCAGATCGAGATCTAGTGGGCAAGATAAAAAGTGGAACTTTGGTACTTTTGTTCTCCACTCTGATCACATCCGAATCGCCCAGGCATGAACCCTAACCTTGGAATCTGAAAGTCTAACTCTATACCTCCCCCATGACAGCCCAGGCGAGAAGGTCCCCTAATACAATGTGTATACATGCCACTTTGCTTTTTCTGCTAGTAATTTGAATACCAATAAATTATTAGTTGAGCCATATCATGTACCTCTCACCTTTTTCTGTATGGACTAGTGGTATGCATTTGACCATATTTTAAATCAACGGCGTGGGTGTTTGTGCACTGCATTGGGGGAACTTCTCACGCGGGTTGTCGTAGTAGGGTATAGCGAAAAAAAAAAAAAAGCCTTCAGGGCGAATGAATAGCATGTCCACAGGCAATGGATCAGTGTTAACGTCAACATCATACCTAACCCAAAAATAAGGTAGCATTCAGTTCTACATCCGGACAAGCCGCTTATCGGACACGTGGAGGTGAAAACTTTATCTCCTACCCGTTAAGCCTGTATCGATCCTATGGCCCTTTGCCTTATAATCCAACCAATGTTCTAGGCTCTTTGGTTCGTAGATTTCGATGTGTAAACTTTGGCAAATCTTGTTTTTATCAAGTTCACTGGATCCATATTTCCACAACATGGGTTATTTGAGATTTGGAATTCAGATTTACGCTGGAAACTCTGTAAGCTTATATCATACATGTACCTTGGCACCTCACGCCTAGCTCCAGTCAAAAGCTGCTAAATGCATCTGTTGACGATTGTTTTGCAACATATTTCCGTGACTTATAGATAGGTGATTGGTCTATTGATCTGGGCATGGTCGTAGTACTATCCGCCCGCACACAGCTCATCTTCAGTGTCTGGCTTTCTACATGGCACCGCTTAGATTGTAACGTTATTTCAGCTCTTTTATGACAAGCCACAGAGAAGCGCCTATATTCTCTCACGTCATTTCAGCTACTTATCTGACAAGCCACAGAGTAACGCGTATGTTGTACTTAGAACCACTCTTCTAGGGAAGTCGATTGACATATGTTCATGATTAGGCTCATTGGTACTTCCATGGGTCATACTGGTCCCGAGGTCATGGATACTCAACTATTTGTCACCGACCACTGAAATAGCTCAAATAGGTGACTAAACATTCACGTGTTCGTTAAATTGGGCACATCGATAAACCCACTGATCAACTCATATATGTACAATCATCACCGCTCTATTAAATATCAAGGATCAATGACCACAATCTCTCTCTTGTCGACCATCGCCTTTGCAACAGGCCCCCTCGGCGCTACAACCCTCGGCACTGGCTTAATTTGCTCGAGACAGCCTCTGCAACGGCCGCAGAACTGACGCTTTGGGTCAACACTCTTCGAGTGTCGCCCGACCTTGAAATCACAGCCCTCGGCTTTGCATGCCCAGACATATTTGTGGTTGATCTCATAGCTATGTTTAGTCGTAACCTTGACCCGGCCCCCGTAAGTAGGGTGGCCTTCCAGTGCGCGGACACACCGGTCGCCCCATTGCTTGAAGCTGGCACCGTGCTGTGCTGTACCTTTGGCCCTGTTTTCGGTGACCAAAATATCGAGGAGGTGACAATACTCATGTGTCAAAGTGCAGAGGATCTTATCCTCGCTGTCCAGGACTTTCTCGGAGAGCTCGATGGTGGCATAGTAACGCCGTTTTCCGGGTTCTTCCAGATTTGCTACTCCTTTTAGAAACCTTTCCGAACGTACGGTTGCCCGCCCGGCAGTGTTTCTAAAATTCTTTGTCCATATGATTTTGATGCCGCCGGTTTCCTTAGTCATGCTAGAGATCTGGCTGTTGAATGCATTGTCAAGGTGTCGAAGGAACTCTTCGGCAAAGCCAAGTTTCTTTTCGTTGAACTCGGCCACTTGGGCTCGAATCTCGCGCTTCCGCGCCGCCTCGGCCTTTTTCTGGGCCCTGATGGTGGTGGGAATGCCCTTCCCTGGCGAGCTATCAGTGGATGGAGTCAGTGGTGATTGTTTTGTGTGGCTTGGGTGAAGTTTTGGTGGCCGTTCATCCTCTGGTTCTGAGCTATGAGAAGTAGTTAGTACGGATCCTTGCTGAAAGACTAGGGGTGCATATAAATGTCTACTAGGTACTTACTTGAACTGTTCTGGGTGGTTTTGCGGGGTATACTCATTCTCGCTATCGAGATCAAGATCCTCGAGGTGTCGGATGAGGTCATTGGAGTTGTGGAGGCTGAAATGTGGAGAACAGCTTGAATTACCCTGTGGTCTGGGTGTTTCTGCCCTATTGACGGGGGATGTAGTATTAGAGCTGGTTGCAAGATTGAGTGTGCAGTCTTCAGGTGTTGGGACGGTTGTCATTGATTTCTCAATTCGGCCCGGCTCTACCGCCAACCTCGTCGCTTCCTTTGGTGGCTCCTCTTCTGCAGTAGTGTTTGATGCCGGTTGTGATACTGGTCTTCTTCCGCGTAAGAGTCTTTTTCTTGGAGACCTGGTTGGTGATGTGACAGGCGACGGAGCCGGGCTAGGTTCGCCGTCTGTGTTGGCTGTCTCGGAATCCGATGTCTCGAAGAAGCTAGGTTCGTCATTGTCACTGACAATGAAGCCGTCTAGTGAGTCGGAGCTATCTCCTTCTTCGGAGCTGATTTCTGGCTCCTCTTGCTCTTCTTGTCGGTTGATCACTGGCTGTGCCGCCGCCATATAATCCATCCTACTTCTTGTAGGAGCCTGTAAGGCACTTGCTCTTGTTGGTGTCAAATCAGGAGTTCGATATCCATCTGTGGGGTATTCTGGCACGTCGTTCTCCTTATCGTAATCTTCAGTCTCCCTTTGAATGGCTGGTCGGGGTCTCCGCTTTGCTGGTAGAAGTAACGAATTCACACGTGCGAGTCCCAAAGTTCTTTGCTTTTGCTGCTTCCCAGTGGACTTCTGCTGTCCAAATTCACCCTCCGATGTCGAATCGCTATCGGGGAATATATGGAATGATCCACTTGAGCCATTTCCTTGCCGTTGCGACTGGCTTTGTGGCTTGATGGGCATGTTTTGCTTGGCTGTGTTCCTGAAATTGAAACATGGCTCTTTAGACAGAGGACTTTTATGGGTTATACCTAGGGTATGTGCGCCAGTCTCTTTCCGAGGAGTGTTCTTGACCAGCGGATTGGCTGTGTTGAGCCTTGCCATGGTCGCGGTGTTGTTCTAATTGCAACACACAATCCTGTGGCTGACCCTATGGTCACTGGTGGTGACGACAATATATATGTAATAGATAAGGTACCGTGTTTGCGCTGACTAGATTGGTACTGCAGGCCCGGAGACTTTCGTTGTTCTTTTAAGGTTGGTCCCATGTTGCTCCGGCTGTTGAGCTGTCAACGGACACGTTGGCACGGCAACGTGTAACCCACAAACTAGATGCACCACCTCCGAGGCTTGGAAGTTATAACCTAGGTGAAAGATTTATCGTGTGTAATATGAGCTAGCAGTGTAACAGATAAATCTTATCACAGCCCCGTGAACCTCCCGAGAGTTCCAAGGTTGGCAAACGTATAGACCCAGGGCTACCCAGGGCTACCCAGATGAGGTATATAGGAACATTGAGTAGTTACGTATTTAGGAGTATGATCAACCTGCTATATAGAAATCAGTGAATAATTATATGATGTGATTATCGTAGTACCATAACGTGTGTCCTTCGCTCTGTGGCTCCAATATCTTCAATGGATTGCTTTCAGCTTATAACTAATGCTTGTCATAACAGTCTGTATCTGTTCATACGTAAGGTTATTTTTTGAGGTAGGTTTCATGGCGCGATAAGAAAAGAAAAAGCGAATTGTTGGTAGATTGTGGTTATTGTTGGAGATATATCAGAAGCAAGTGGAGCGATATATAAATGATAACGGGCACTCACGAACAACGACACCTAGCAACAAATCTAGACAAATTATGGTATATTCAAATATGAAAATCGCTTACATATGATGTTATAAAATAATGACACACTGTAAGAATACGAATAACAGCCACAATCTACACATGTAATGAATGAAGCTCTACTTCGTACTACCACTCTATATAGGATTCATAATGTATGACGACATGCTTCCTGCTCATTAACAATGAGAATAAATTGGACCTACTTAGGTGGCTATCGCAGGGCCCAGGAAAATAGGAGCTGAAGCTCTAAAATGTAATTTACCTAGCTGTCATCAAGTCCCATACAAAAACAAATATATGTCGACTACTTCTTAGGTCAAATCCTAGACCTGCGTACCAAATGATGGCACTGGGGACGCTATAGCTCATACATAGCACCATTTGATCTAGATGAGATATATTGGAAGGACATAAGCAATTGGAAATTAGTCGGAAAGAAAAGAAAGGAATTAACACCCTAAGCTCTGCTGGACGTCTTGTCAGCACCAGCACAAAGTGTACTTAAGACACAGAGACTGTCGCATCTGAGGATAGCCATAGATCTGCAACGATCTGGGAATCGGCAGGCCGGACCTCCTTGCTGCAGGTAGTGTTCTTGGTGAGGGAGCTATACAGCGTCACTCGGAATGTATGAACCTCCGAAGCATGCCGGTGCCGGACGGAGAAACTACATTATACCGCGTGGCTTGCAGTAAAGGCGGCTGGACTCCTGGGGCTTAGATCAAGGCTCGGCAGAGGGTGCTAATAATGGTCATTCCATCGCTATGCCGATGAAGATCCGCGTCCCCTTGCCTCCCAGCAAGTACTAGTGGAGATCATCTGCGTTGCTTATTGTACAAATCTGGAATCTGATCTGTGAGCGAACTATGAATCTGGTATAATTTATGATTGATTGAACAAGAGATTATGCCAATCGTCCCTGTATCTGTATGTGAGCTCGGTATCACTAATAAACATTCTCCGCTCAAACTGCATACATATAGTGATCTGTCATCGGTTTAGCTGCTTAAGTGCAAGCTTCTATGGAAGTGTGGTCCAAATAACATGTTCTTCACATTGGAAATGGGAGAAACACATGGTTTATAGAGAAAGAGGAGTTCCTCATATGGAGTTTGGCTACTAGGCTATAGTGAGGATACTTATGATAGAGCTAGGAAAGAGGACACTGTATAAAGAAGGAAGAGGCACACCGTACTTGACAATTTTTGATTTCGAATGTCAGTACTGATAGTCTGTATATGATATGGTGTGAGGTCGCTATCATTGGTACTCCATACTCCGTACGGAGTACACAACCATGTCCTTACAATGAAGCGTTATATGAGCACTGTCATAAAGATATAGCACCGTACTCTTTATAATATATATATTTTACAAAAAACAAACATACAGCATGTTGCATGCATATCATATGCGTTATTTTGTTTTACTATGAACTGCTTATGTGAAATGGTGGGTAGTCGCTCCCGCTCCCGGGACTCGTTTGAACCCCGAACCTTCGATTAGCCGGGAACGTACTGATTCAATAGTGTACAAATCGTGTGGAAAGTACAAACAAAACTCATAATAATACTCATATTTAACCACTTCAGGTGTTTCGGTGCTCTATACGGAGTACAACAGCGACGACCTGAAAAACAGGGCTTATGATAGGCTCCCGATCATAACGCATATAGAGAGTGGAGGGCCCCCGGAGCCGTCACCCCCCTAACAATTGAAGGTCTCCCAAGTCTCGCAATCAGTTCTTGTGTACGGAGTACGAAATACCTCGTACGGAGTATCCGATTATCAGATGCAGCTCAATGATGAGCCACAGAATATCCCATCGAGATCGAAATCCTTAAGGAGTCGGTGCTAACGTTTGATGTACAATTCAGGGGTAAGAGCCGAAAATAACTATGGAGGAGCTTGTATGGGGCTCTAGAAACGCCAATGGCAGCCATCGACGCCAGTGGCTCCCCCTAGATGCAAGCAAGCTATTCTTTCTAAATGAATAGAAGGGGTATGCTCTCTTCATAAATAATTATGAGCATTTGCTCGATACTTAGCACCATTTGAGGATTGTTGTGCTAGTGCAGTGTACGAAGTATTGAAAAAAGCGGGTCAATACCTCGCAATCCGTACAATAAATGTGCGACACTAGGGCACGCCTACCGGTTAGTGATCGCTGACTAGACCCTTTAAGTTTACTTTCTCCGTAAACAGGTTTCTTCTTACAATACACAGTTCGGAGTACAACGATACAAAATATTGCTATCGGCCTCTTGAGATGCCAGCGGGTAACAATAATAAAAACCCCGGTATTTTGTAAGGTGGATAGGCAGTGAGAATGGAGACCAGAACCCGAAGGCTAGCTTCCTCTATGCAGCTGATGTGTCGTTCCTGCGCGATCCTGCATCCGCTGTATGAGGGTGTACAAGGTACAAGTAGCTGTAGTCCGCGATGAAAGTATACGCTGTAACCGCTACAAGGTGCCACGATGTACCTGACAAGCACCGGCTTTATTGCGCTACAGAGGCTTCGCGATTGCGTACATTGTAGATTATTGTAAGCCTCTTGGTCGAGGCTCTCCGAGAGAATCAAGAAAAAAGCAATTGATGATCCACTTAGTGTGTGGACAAGATAAAATCCTACGTTTAACGGTGGAGATATTTTCGAAAACATACAAAGTTACTAGCTCTGTATGTATAACGGTATCAATTGATGTATTCAGATACATCTATACCCAGGTGGTCAGGGCAGCTATGGTATACGGAGTACACGTAATCATTTTTTTTTAAACAAGACGAGTGGGAATTGGTGGTCTGAGCAATAAGATATACAACATAGGCCCAGAGGATTCAAAATTGGGAACGTTAGCGAGTTCAAGTGGCTGACGACCTCTACAAAAGACGCTTTCAGGTTTTCTGGTGATACGGTGTCCACTGTGCGATACCATTGGTGTAATATAAAAAGGCCAGCCACATTTACCTGGAGCATCGCCGGGAGTGGAAAGTCAAATGTATTACAGATGGAACTGATCTACAATTTGAGACACTTGTATTGCGGTGGCAAATCAGCCGTACGCTAAAACACCAAAAAGTAAAAAAAAAAAAAAAAAAGAAAGAAAATCTGTGATCTATTCAGATGAAAGCAGCAATAAGAACTGAAAATCGTGGAGATTAGCACGATAAAAATATATAAACAGCAGTGTGGAAAGTAACCTTGGAAAGCCATGGTTCCTACGTGAGAGCCATGGAACCGTTGAGAAACAACCAACCATCTGAGCTCCAGCTCGATATTAATTTTGACTTTAATATGTGAACTTCCACCCAAGCATATACTAAAGCAGGTGATGTTTTAATGCTGGGAGATTGATACTCGTCTCATATGATTAGAAATACTTGCCACCTAAGCAGATACCTAGGCAAGCGTACGTACCTACATTGTAGAGATCCCGAAGTATGAGAGCCAAGTCTGGAAGTGTATACTCCGTACTCCGTAATCTGTCCTCCGTCTTCTGTACCCAGTAACGAGGAATGAAAAACAGTGCCCTATCCCTACATACCAAGTAGTCATAACAAGTAATCCATTTTTGGAAACAAGAGTTCCATAGGTATCTCGGGAAATACACTCCCAGCTACATTATTCGCTACCTGATTAAATGTTGGCTGGGTACAGTGGGGCAAGTTTCAGGGGCCGTCGAGACTTCCTTGGATTCCGAGTGTCCGCAAGACTGTCATTGGAGAAGGGGGATTGGAAATTGAAAGTGATCGGGGGAAAAAACACAGTACAGTCGGACAATAACGGTAATTCTAAAATGGGTGATCAGGGAGACCGAAAGGCTGGAAACTCGCGTTAAACTTCATGCGCCACACGTATGGTAAATAAAGGGGTGGTAATCAGTACCTGGGAAAGATGGGGGCCAACCTTACTGGGAAGAGGTATTCAGTACCTGGAAGTCTGACACGTACCCTTTCGAAGTGTAAGATAACGGTAAATTACTCTGAAGACAGCAGAGCAGCAAGCCCCCCCCGACTCCCAAAAATAACAAGCATTTTCTTGTCTTCCCTTTCCAACCCCCTTCCATTCGCTTTTGTCTCCATCTTTCCTTCTATTTGCTACCTTTCGTGTTCTTTCTTTTCGACGGAAGAAGGATAGAAGGGAGGCTGCTTTGCTCTCAAAATTATCCATTGCACCTTCCTTTTTGTGACCTAGGGAAACCTATCACTTGCCATTCGTTACGGAGCCTGAGACTCGTTCGACACACCTTCGCTTGGGGTCTCCAAATAACGCATTTCTTTCCTGAGCATTCATCTTGCTACGTTCATGCTGCATTAATTCGACATTCGGAACAAAATAATAATTTGAATGGTCACGGTTGAGGTGAGATTAGCTCAAGGTTCTCAGGCAACATCAACCTTGAACATCCGGAGCTGATTCCACCAATAGATTTTTTACCAATAAATCGATCGCGACTCGCTCGTCATGTCGGGCTACGCAGGCGGAGGCCACTACGACGATGGCTATGCCAACCAGCAAGGACAGGCACATGGCCAAGCTCATGGTGACTCCTACTATCAGGACGAACATGCCCAGGGTTATTATGATAACCAAGGATACGGCGATGGGGGATACTATGACCAAGGGTATGACCACTTCTGACTAAAGAAGATTGAGTGATGAAAGAGCTGACAGGAAGGACAGTCATGGCTACTACGGAGCAGACGGTCACGGTGCTGATGCAGGCCATGCGGATGGTGGACAGCACGCAGACGCAGGCCATGGATACGCCGATGGAGGATATTACGAGGCTGGACACCAGGACCAGTACTACGGTGGCGCGGCCGGCGGTGCTGGGGGTGCGGCCGGCGACCAGTATTACGACCAGGGACAAGGGGAATATGGCCGAGGCCGTCGTGGCCATGATTCTGAGGAGGACTCCGAGACCTTCAGCGATTTCACAATGAGGTCCGAGACTGCACGTGCTGCGGACATGGACTACTATGGTCGTGGAGACGAACGATACAACAGCTACTCGGACAGCCAGTACGGCGGTCGTGGTGGATACCGTCCTCCGTCCTCCCAGATCTCTTACGGAGCCAACCGATCATCTGGTGCGTCGACTCCTGTCTACGGCATGGATTACGGCAACGCCCTTCCCGCTGGCCAGCGCTCGCGTGAGCCTTACCCAGCTTGGACCTCGGACGCCCAAATCCCCCTCTCGAAGGAAGAGCTGGAAGATATCTTCCTCGACCTGGTGAACAAGTTTGGCTTCCAGCGAGACAGCATGCGAAACATGTATGACCACATGATGACTATGCTGGACTCTCGTGCCTCACGCATGACGCCCAATCAGGCACTCCTCTCGATTCATGCCGACTATATTGGCGGACACAACGCCAATTACCGCCGGTGGTATTTCGCCGCCCATCTCGATCTAGATGATGCCGTTGGTTTTGCCAACATGAAGCTCGGTAAAGCGGATCGCAAGACGCGGAAAGCCCGTCGGGCTGCAGCCAAGGCCGCCAAGCAGAACCCCGAGAACGAAGAAGAGACGCTCGAGGCTTTGGAAGGAGATAACAGTTTGGAAGCCGCAGAATACCGTTGGAAGTCTCGCATGAACCGCATGTCCCAACACGATCGGGCTCGTCAGATTGCCCTTTATCTTCTGATCTGGGGTGAAGCCAACCAGGTTCGATTCCTGCCGGAATGCATCTGTTTCATCTTCAAGTGTGCCGATGATTACTACACTTCGCCGGAATGTCAAGCCCGTGTTGAACCAGTGGAGGAACTCACATACCTGAATGAGATTATCACTCCTTTGTACCACTACTGTCGCGATCAGGGTTATGAAATCATGGACGGCAAGTACGTTCGTCGTGAGCATGATCACAACAAAATCATTGGTTATGACGATATGAACCAGCTGTTCTGGTACCCGGAGGGCATCGAGCGCATCGGTTTTGAGGACAAGACTCGCCTGGTCGATGTTCCCATCGGTGAAAGATGGCCCAAGCTGAAGGACGTGGTCTGGAACAAGGCTTTCTTCAAGACTTACAAGGAAACTCGCTCCTGGTTCCACATGATTACGAACTTCAACCGTATCTGGGTTATCCACCTGGGCTCCTTCTGGTTTTTCACTGCTTACAACGCTCCGACCTTGTATACTATCAACTACCAGCAGCAAGTCGACAACAAACCCAGCACGCCTAAATATCTCGCCGCCGTCGGTTTCGGTGGTGCTCTCGTTTCCTTCATCCAGATTCTAGCTACCATTTGTGAATGGATGTACGTTCCCCGCCGCTGGGCCGGAGCGCAGCACCTACGAAAGCGTTTCATGTTCCTCATTGTCGTCTTCATCATTAACCTGGCCCCTGGTATCGTGATCTTCAGCATCTTACCGGGGCTGAATATGACAAAGTCGGCCGAAAACGGCATTGGCCTTGCTCTTGGTATTGTTCATTTCGTGCTTGCAGTTCTTACGGCTGCTTTCTTCGCAATCCAGCCATTGGGTGCGCTATTCGGCAACTACATGAAGAAAGGCGGACGGCAATATGTTGCTAGCCAGACCTTTACCGCCAGCTTCCCTCGTCTCGCGGGTAACGACATGTGGATGTCATATGGCTTATGGGTCTGTGTCTTTGGTGCTAAGTTGGCGGAATCCTACTTCTTCTTGACCCTTTCTTTCAAGGATCCCATCCGAATCCTGTCTCCAATGCAGATTCATCAGTGCACTGGCGCCAAATACATTGGCAACACGCTTTGTCACCGACAGCCTCAGATTCTGCTCGGCCTGATGGCTTTCATGGATCTGACACTCTTCTTCCTGGATAGTTATCTGTGGTACATTATTTGCAACACAATTTTCTCTGTGGCGCGGTCATTCTACTTGGGTGTGTCGATTTGGTCTCCGTGGAGAAACATCTTTTCCCGGCTTCCGAAGCGTATCTACTCTAAGGTGCTCGCCACTACCGACATGGAGATCAAGTACAAGCCGAAGGTTTTGATCTCTCAGGTCTGGAATGCTATTATCATCTCCATGTACCGCGAGCATCTTCTGGCCATCGATCATGTACAAAAGCTGTTATACCACCAGGTCCCTTCCGAGCAGGAGGGCAAGCGCACCCTTCGTGCCCCGACCTTCTTCGTGTCTCAGGAAGATCAATCCTTCAAGACCGAGTTCTTCCCCCAGGGAAGTGAGGCGGAGCGCCGTATCTCGTTCTTCGCACAATCGCTATCCACCCCTATGCCTGAGCCTCTCCCTGTCGATAACATGCCGACTTTCACCGTCCTGATCCCTCACTACAGTGAAAAGATCCTCCTCTCGCTCCGTGAGATCATTCGTGAAGATGAGCCTTACTCCCGTGTCACCTTGCTCGAATACCTGAAGCAACTTCACCCTCACGAGTGGGATTGCTTCGTCAAGGACACCAAGATTCTAGCCGATGAGACGTCGCAATTCAATGGTGATTATGAGAAGCCTGAGAAGGACGCTGCGAAGAGCAAGGTTGATGACCTTCCCTTCTACTGCATCGGTTTCAAGTCTGCCGCTCCCGAATATACCCTCCGCACACGAATCTGGGCTTCGCTTCGTTCCCAGACCTTGTACAGGACTGTGTCTGGTTTCATGAACTACAGCCGTGCTATCAAGTTGCTCTACCGTGTTGAGAACCCCGAGGTTGTCCAAATGTTTGGAGGCAATTCTGAAAAACTCGAGCGCGAGCTCGAGCGTATGGCGCGCCGCAAGTTCCGTATCTGTGTCTCCATGCAGCGCTACGCCAAGTTCAGCAAGGATGAACGTGAGAACACCGAATTCTTGCTCCGCGCTTACCCTGACCTGCAGATCGCATATCTGGACGAGGAGCCCCCTGTCGCCGAAGGCGAGGAACCCCGTCTGTACTCAGCCTTGATCGACGGCCACTGTGAACTTCTCGAGAACAACATGCGCAAACCCAAGTTCAGAATTCAGCTTTCTGGAAACCCCATTCTTGGAGACGGAAAGTCCGACAACCAGAACCATGCCATTATCTTCTACCGCGGTGAATACATCCAGCTCATTGACGCCAACCAAGATAATTACCTTGAAGAATGTCTGAAGATTCGCAGTGTGCTGGCTGAGTTTGAGGAATTGACCACTGACAATGTTTCTCCGTACACTCCTGGAATTGCTTCGCCTGAGAACGACCCCGTTGCCATTCTGGGAGCCCGTGAATACATTTTCTCCGAAAGCGTCGGTGTTCTCGGTGATGTTGCTGCCTCTAAGGAACAGACGTTCGGTACCCTCTTCGCTCGTACACTTGCCCAAATCGGTGGTAAGCTGCACTATGGTCACCCTGATTTCCTGAACGGCACCTTCATGACCACCCGTGGCGGTGTTTCCAAAGCCCAGAAAGGATTGCACCTGAACGAGGATATTTACGCTGGTATGAATGCCGTCCTGCGTGGAGGTCGCATTAAGCATTGTGAATACTACCAGTGCGGTAAGGGTCGTGATCTCGGGTTTGGGTCTATTCTCAACTTCACGACCAAGATTGGTACTGGTATGGGTGAACAGATGCTGTCCCGAGAGTACTACTATCTCGGCACCCAGCTGCCCCTCGATCGCTTCCTCTCATTCTACTATGCCCACCCTGGTTTCCATCTGAACAACATGTTCATTATGCTTTCTGTGCAGATGTTTATGTTTGTCCTGATTAATCTCGGTGCCTTGAAGCATGAAACCATCATGTGCCGTTACAACTCTGACCTACCCATCACCGACCCTCTTGTGCCTACTCTTTGCGCTAACTTGATCCCCATTCTGAACTGGGTGAATCGCTGTGTTATCTCTATTTTCATCGTGTTCTTCATCTCATTCGTGCCTCTTGCCGTCCAAGAGTTGACAGAGAGGGGAGTTTGGCGTATGGCTACTCGTCTCGCCAAGCACTTCGGCTCATTCTCGTTCATGTTCGAGGTGTTCGTCTGTCAGATCTACGCCAATGCCGTGCACCAGAACTTGTCTTTCGGCGGTGCACGATACATTGGTACGGGTCGTGGTTTCGCAACAGCCCGGATCCCCTTCGGTGTCCTCTACTCGCGATTTGCTGGCCCCTCAATTTACTTGGGTGCTCGCCTCCTGCTGATGTTGTTGTTCAGTACCACAACAGTCTGGACCCCTGCTCTGATCTGGTTCTGGGTTTCTCTGCTCGCCCTCTGCATCTCACCCTTCCTGTTCAACCCACACCAATTTGCCTGGAACGACTTCTTCATTGATTACCGCGACTACATCCGCTGGCTTTCTCGCGGCAACTCCCGATCCCATGCTTCCTCCTGGATCGGCTTCTGTCGTCTGTCGCGTACTCGCATCACTGGTTACAAGCGCAAAGTTCTTGGTGTTCCATCAGAGAAAGGCTCCGGTGACATTCCCAGAGCACGCATCACCAACATCTTCTTCAGCGAAATCATCGCACCTCTGCTCGGCGTTGGTGCAACACTGATCCCGTACCTCTACATTAACTCCCGAACAATGTACTCAGATGATATCAAGTGGGCTGCGAATCCTATCCTCCGTGTTGCGATTGTTGGATTCGCTCCCGTCGGCGTCAATGCCGGTGTTGCAGGAATGTTCTTCGGAATGGCCTGCTGTATGGGCCCAGTGTTTGGCATGTGCTGCAAGAAGTTTGGTGCTGTTCTCGCAGCTATCGCCCATGCTATTGCCGTGATTGTCTTCCTGCTGCTATTCCTGGCCATGTTTTTCCTTGAATCCCTCAACTGGCCCCGAACCATCTCTGGAATGATCGCTGCGATGGCTCTCCAGCGCTTTATCTACAAGATCATCATTTCTCTCGCATTGACTCGTGAATTCAAGAACGATCAGTCCAACATTGCATGGTGGACTGGAAAATGGTACAACATGGGTTGGCACTCCCTCTCTCAGCCCGGACGTGAATTCCTGTGCAAGATCACCGAACTGGGTTACTTCGCCAACGACTTCTTCCTGGGTCATATTCTCCTGTTTGCCATGCTCCCGGCCCTCGCCATTCCTTATGTGGACACCTTCCATTCGGTCATCCTGTTTTGGCTGCGCCCCAGGTACGTTCCTTTCTCCATTGGTATCCAGATAAGTCCATATTAACCAGCCCTCCTTTTAGCTCTCAAATTCGCCCTCCTATCTATTCTCTCAAGCAGTCCAAGCTTCGCAAGAGACGCGTTGTCCGCTTCGCCATTCTCTACTTTGTCATGCTCCTCATCTTCATTGTCATTATCGCTGCGCCTGTCGTCCTGCGCAACACGGGGCAATTGGATAGCATTTTGTCAGGCGGCATCTGGGACAGTCTTGGAGTCTCCAAACCAGATGCAATTGGCTTACTCCAGCCACTTGATCACGGACTCAATGACACTGTCTCCTGGTACACTGGCTCTAACATTCCCAAGGGCTACTCTTCAGGCAGTATCCCGGCACCCTCAGAGGGCACCGGTAAGTGGTCCATCTAATGCGGCGAAACGACATGGAAATGCTTTGTACAAAGTTATGCGTTTATTAAAATTCGCTGCATCTTTCTGAACTCATCGGCGCACAATTTGATCTTAATGAATGGTTGCTTCCAAATATTGTTTGTGGCATGACGCTTGTATGAAGGGGTCTTCCAAGTCATCCTCGGGGGTTTACCTTCGTTTTTCCAGCTTTCTTTGCTTGTTTTATTTACAGTTCTACCGGAATTAAATTGCATTGCTTTCATGAAATTCTTTCATATCCAGTCGTAGCCCTAATTTATAACTCAGATTGAACTTTGCACATGTAAGAAATGCTATGTGTCACGTGGCACGGAGGTCCCCAGGACTCCGAGCCTCCCGTTTCATCTTCACCCTATGTTCCACGAGTAAGCACCCATCTGCCGCGCCTCCTTTGAACCTATTGCATTCCAGGTATATCGCTGGACTGGTGCACCATATTATTCGGACTCTCTTTCAACCCCCGCCATGGATCTCCAGGAGACCCAGCGTATTCTTGCTGAATATTTGCACGAACTCGCGGATCTATTTCATCGTGTCCCCGGCTCTGCAATCTTCCTCCGCTACGTGAAATCAAGCTATCAAGATGATCCAATTCGCTCTGCTGTCGAACTTTTTCTCTTCCTTTTCGCCGTGCGATACCTGCTAGCGCCCAAGTATTCGACCAAACCGGGTGTTGTACCACTCACAGAAGATGAGATTGATGATCTCGTGGATGAATGGACCCCTGAACCCCTCGTCGGGAACCCGACAACCTTGGAAGAGATGGAAGTCGATAAGCGAACCGTGATTGTTGGGTATTGTACCGCCTCATTCTTATTGCGTCTGCCTGGCGTACTCTGGATAATAAACTGACCGATGAAATTGTGGTCTGCAGCCCAGTAGGTCCAAAATCAAAACTGGCCAACGGCCGCACTGTTACGAACCTCGGCTCGTTCAATTTTTACAACTTCAATACGAATGAGTCCCTCAAGGAACAGGCAATCCAAACACTCCGCGCTTATGGGGTAGGTCCCTGTGGACCCCGTGGATTCTACGGCACACAAGATGTTCACATGAAGACGGAAGATGATGTGGCGGCGTTCCTGGGAACCACGGCGTGTATTATCTACTCTCAAGCTTTCTCGACCATTTCCAGTGTTATCCCTGCCTTCTCGAAGCGTGGAGACATTATCGTCGCGGACAAGGGGGTTAGCTTTGCGATTCGCAAAGGTATCCAGATATCTCGAAGCATTGTCCGGTGGTATGAGCATAACGACATGGAGGATTTAGAGCGTGTGCTCGCAAAGGTCACTAAGGAGCAAGCCCGGAAGCCTTTGACTCGCAGATTTATTATCACAGAGGGCCTGTTCGAGTCATATGGCGACATGGCGGACTTGCCCAAGATCGTATGTGACCCGATCACTTGAACCATGAATTTGGCGTGCTTACTATTTTCGCAGATCGAACTCAGACTCAAGTACAAGTTCCGTCTGATCCTTGATGAGACTTGGTCTTTCGGTGTTTTGGGACGCACTGGCCGCGGTATCACGGAGCACCAGAACGTTGATGCTGCCGAGGTTGATATGATTGTGGGGTCACTGGCTGGTCCTCTCGTTGCTGGTGGTGGCTTCTGTGCTGGTTCAGAGGAGATTGTTCACCACCAGCGTATCTCGGCCGCTGCCTACACCTTCTCCGCTGCGCTTCCAGCTCTACTCTCGACCACCGCAAGTGCCACTATTAATATCCTTCAGAACAATCCCGAGACAGTATCACAACTCCGGGAACTCACCAAGGCCATGCGGGCTCAGTTGGATCCCCGGAGTGACTGGGTTTACTGCACCAGTGCGCCCGAGAACCCTATTCTTATACTGGTCATCAAGCCCGAGGTTGTGACTGCTAAGCGGCTTACACCTAATGACCAGCAGTTCCTGCTCCAAGATGTCGTCGATGAGGTATGTATCTTTTTTTTTTTTTTTTTTTTTCGTTTTAATCGACTTGAAGTACATATCTAATGTTCTCGCAGTGTCTCGCTAATGGCGTTCTGATTACGCGGCTGAAGACTCTCGAGGATAATTTCGAGCCCAAGCAGGTTGTCCCGCCAGCCCTGAAGGTGTGCGTCACCACCGGTCTCACCAAGAAAGAGATCGAAAAGGCAGGAATAATTATTCGACACGCCATTACCAAGGTGATGAGCAAGAGGAAGTAATGTTTTCCCTTGCTTCTCACCTTGGGTCCAGACTAGACATCCGATGGCTGGTCACGCCCACATGACTTCGGCACCTATCGCTTTTCTATCATCTTCAGTCGACCTACGCCCTAATGCCCCTTCAATCCTTGTATTGTTACCCTGTCGATATACATTTTTGTTGCATGCCTTGCACAGGTCCGCCCCTTTGTCTCTTCGCTGGCGGTATGATTCTCTGCCTGTGCATGGTTTAAGCTGTTTAATACTCTATCCTTCTTACCTTGACTCTTTGCTTCAAGGATACGTCCATTATTGCATATATTATTCAGGCCTGAAAATCCTCTTGGCCGATGGAATGGATATTTTTTTTTCTCCATTCAATATTTTTCTTTTTCCCTCTTGCCATAGTAGCGTCTACTGCTATAAGTTTGAAGTGTCAGACATATTGACTAGTCAGAGAATTCCAACAGTTGCTTCGGGGATGCACCGGAAGACGAGAAGCCCAATATATCAGGACCAGATCACAACCCCGAAATTGCCCCTTCGTCCCCCTTTCAATGTCTCAATAAAACCATATAATCCCTCGGCAGTCTGCCTCACATTCACCAAATCTCCCTGTGTCTCCGAGCAACCTTCAGGAATGTGTTCCGCATTCCGTTTACTTCATCACTGGGAGCATTCTCCATCCGACTTCGAGATCCCGTATGTAACCAGATCTCTTTGCCGAGCGCATTAGATGCCAAAGGTCCTCAACCAAGCCAGGGGGCATGTTGAAAACTTGGAAGCCCCCTAATTCCATTCCACATGTCCTCCCCAGATCGAGATGCTATGCTTGGCTATCTGTGTGTTTACACGCTCTGCTAATCAAGTCCACGTAGATCGAATTCTGTGGAGCTTGCTCGTATGGATATAATGGATCCGATCGGCACCATATGCATGAGTTTCTCCTTCTAGATGGTTGGAAAGTCACTCTTGTTATGATCGCCGACTGAATCCAGATCAGTCCACTCGATTTCCAGCTTAGCTACCACAGGGCGGACTCAGGTGGAAGATGAACCGCCTTACCCAGGCGCTTGTCGCGCTGCTACTTGCTTGTGGTGTTTGCGCAGAAGCTAGGGGTAAGGGCATCATTGTTCAAACAACCTCATGCTTATATCGAATTTTGCTGATTGGCGATAGTCGAAAAACAACCCCGTGGAGACCTCACCCAACCCGTTACCAAAGAGGTAGTTGTCTGGGTCAATGAAAAGGGAGAGCCAATCAGCACAGAAACACGCTATGTGCAGGCCTTGACCTCGGCACAAGAGAATGTTAGTAGATAGAACTGTTCTCGATGAAGAGGAGATAGGTTGCTCCTTATCGAAAAACCAGCCCTAACTCTCCAACCAAAGCAACCCCCAATATCAATTCCGGACACAGATGGCTCCGGTAAAGCACCACCACCTGAACTATCCGACAACAAGAACCACCAGAACGACCGCTCCATCCCTACCACAGCCAAGCATAACGAGCCAAAGCTCCCCAACGTTCACCATGAACCGCCCGTTCCCCACCCCCCCTCCCCAGCAGTCGCATGCCCAATTCGGCATTTCCTACTCCCCATACAAAGCAGACCGCACCTGCAAAAACCAAGAAGAGGTAAACCGAGATCTAGACAGAATCGCCGAATACTCCTTCATCCGCATCTATGGAACAGACTGTGACCAAACAAGAACAGTCTCCAACGCCGCGCGACGACACAACATGCGCGTTTTCGCCGGCGTCTACGACCTAACCGATTTCCCAGGAAGTCTCAGCGCCTTCAGCGACGCTATCACAGGCCCAGACGGCAAAAAGGATTGGTCCATTTTCCACACGATTGCTGTAGGCAATGAGCTAGTAAACGCCGGCACCAGCTCCGCTAGCGACGTCGCGACTGCCGTCCAAAAAGCACGCTCTGTGCTCCGCGCACAGGGATACAATGGCCCCGTCGTCACAGTCGATACCTTCTCCGTCTTACTCGACCACCCGGAACTGTGCCAGGTCTCCGACTACTGCGCTGCAAATTGTCATGCTTTCTTCGATAGTACCCAGCGGCCTGCTAGTGCTGGTGCGTATGCGCTCGAGCAGGCGCGTAGTATCTCCGCTCGAGCTGGCGGGAAGCGTACGATGATCACTGAATCTGGGTGGCCGCATGCTGGGGATGCCAATGGGGGTGCTATTCCCTCTGTGGAGAATCAGCAGTTGGCTATTGCGAGTTTGAGGAGGAGTTTTGATCATCGGAGGGAGGATCTGGTGCTTTTCACTGCTTTTGATGATTTGTGGAAGAGTGACACCAGTCTCACCTTCAATGCGGAAAAGTTTTGGGGGATCCATGGGGCTTTGTAGAGACTTCTGGTGGAAGTTCTTTTCTTTCTTTTGCTCTTTCCCTTTTTGGTGCGATACAATTGTGTACATACATTACTCTTTGAAGAATTGGCTGGCGAATGAAGAAGATCGAAGTGTTAACATGAAATTTGATATGGCTTCGCTGATTATATTACATACTTTACATGAGTGTGCAGACGGTACATTTAAACAACCTGTCCAGAAGAACAGAGCAGCTTAGCGGTGGAAGTTTCGAGTAGCCTGACGCTGCCTCGCCTCTTCCTCTGCATGCGCCTCGATCTGATCCATCCACCCATCCTTACGGGTAAGCTCATCGAATGCCTGCTTGTTAGACGGCAAATCCCAGAAGAAATCCTTCTCGCTCGGGGATTTCCGATGAGCCTCCAGGTCCCGAGCATGGCGGATAATAAGTCCGGTCAGCATGCCGCGGGATTTGTTACTCGGGTTGATCCCCAGCTGGTTCATCTCGCGCAGGATTGATACCACCGTGGGAAGGTCCTTGCACACTCGCCAGTGGTAGTGTATCAATTCATCGTACAGGCCAGATGAAGCACCAAGGAAAGTAGAAACACGGCCGTACTCTTTGATTGTTGAGCGGAACTGGGAGATCAGCGGGGAGTCGCGGAAGTGGGTGTTCAGCAGGCGGAAGGCAATCAGAAGGGTCTTCGGGTATAGAGCTACCACGACGGGGGAGACTGGGACGACAGCTGGAACTCGGAGGGGTCCTGATGGCTGAGTGGATGGTTCGAGCTGGTCTGCTGTGCTCAGACTTTCTGGGTCTGAGGCCTCGACGAGAGCTTTCTCGTCCAGGTGGCGCAGCATAGAGAAAATGCGCTCTTTGCATACCTCCCACACACCCATGTCGCCCCTGCCATCCTCCACGGCCTGGAAAAGTGCAAATTCGATGTGATCTGATTCCGCTTTGACGACGATCTCAATCGCCCTCCGCAAGCTGACGGTTACCTCGGCAGCGCTGGCTGTGGCAGGCTCGGTGTAGCCCAGATCACGGAGATAGATTCGCTTTGGACCTTGGTTCTCCGCTGGCACCTCTTCCGTTTCTGACTTCTCTGATCTCCGATAAGAATATTCATCCTTTGCTTGCTTCTTAGCTTTCATGGCCGCCTTCTTTTGCCTTGGGTCCTTTAGCAGATTATCAAACACCGACGCTAGCTCGGCCAGTTCGGCCTTCTTCTCCTCGCTCAGTGGTTTCAACGAGTTTGCCTCAGTAGTTTCCCCATCATGTTTGAGTCCAAGCTGCTCCAAAAGCCCCCCAAATACCAATTTCTCCTGGCTTGTGATCTTCGGTGCTATTTTGGTTGTCTTCTTGACCACAGATGGTCTGAGGCTAGGCCTTGCGGAGACGGATGCGGCTTTTTTCTGTAGATAGCTTCGCCGAGGCTTCGGAGCTGCCTCTATCGTCGAGCTGGAGGTAGTAGACTCTTCAGAAGTATTCTGACTTGTGTTATCCTCCGCTAGTGGTTTGTTCTCCGTTGCATCATTGGCCTCGGTGTTGACCTGGGTAGAAAAAGAGCGCGGGAAGTGACGATTGAATTGTTTTCCGGCCGCGGACGAGGTAAGCGTAAGTGTTCGAGTGTGATATAGGAAAGGAGCCGTAGAATTGCTTCTTGAGAGGAAGCACAGGCGGTTGATATTTGTCGCCATTGCTGAATCGTTAGGTCTGCACTTGCGCAGTCTTGTTCGTGCACCTCTCAGGGTAAATCTTTATCTTCTCTTCCACCTCTTCAACCTTTTCAACCTCTATTCAAAGATTGCGAAACAAGAAGATTACTTTCTTTTTTTTGACAGCACGGACTAATCGGCGATCAACTTCCCGCAAAGTCACATGATGTCGTGTAACGGGTCCACGCGTTTCCAGGAGGGCGTGCCTCGCACCCCCGAGGCGCAAACTACATACGAAAGTTCACCCAAAGGCCCTAAAAGCAACATGGTAGCGAAAAGTGAGCTGTCGGAATTCGAACAGCAGCGTTTGGCAAACATTGCCGAGCGTGATGCGCTATTGAAAAAACTTACCCTCGAATCGCAATCCTCGGGCCTCTTCGCAAGCCCTAAGCCTTCCGGCAGCCATGGCGCAAAACCAAAAAAGCGCCCAGCTCCTAAAGTGAAAACCGAAGAGGAAATCACCCCTCGGCGAACATCCTCGCGCCTCAAGGGCATTGCGGCCGAAAGTGAAGTAGCGAAGCGCAAGGCCGACGACGAGTATGAGGCGATGCGCGAAGCGGACAGACTTAAAAGAATGCGCCGGACGGGTTCGTTCAGTCAGGCAGATATGTTTATTTCGGGCCAAAAGCTCAGCCCCGATAGCCTGATTGGAGTTGATGTTATCACCAAGGGTGTTGCAATGCCTTACGAAAGGACATTTGGGGACGATGATATCGAGAAGACTGCAGACAAGGAGCTGAAGGCCCTTCGGGAGGAGATGAATGGACTTCAATTGTGGGATTCATGGGATCCACAACGTAAGTAGCTTATCTTTGTATAAAAACGCAACCACTGACGCATTCTTGGTTTGTAGGGATCAAGATCACCCCCGAGCGCGTGTACAGCATGACCTTCCACCCATCCGAATCCAAACCTCTGATATTCGCGGGCGACAAAATGGGTCATCTGGGCATGCTGGATGCTTCGCAGGAGAAGCCTGTGGCGGGTGAGGACGACGACGAAGATGAGGATGACCCCGATCCAATTCTGACAACACTCAAGCCACACACCCGAACGATCAGTGCAATGATGATCAATCCATCAAAGCCGACACATTTGTACACGGCAAGTTATGACAGCTCGATTCGAGCACTGGACTTGGAGAAGATGGTCTCTTCGGAGAGCTACGCTCCTGAATCTACCAACATCGACGAGGCAATTTCTGGAGTAGACATGGCTCCGGACGACCCTCACACTTTATACTGGACTACACTTCAAGGTGGATTCGGTCGGTATGATACCCGCACACCGCGGGAAGATAGCAATGTATCAAACTGGGAGCTTTCAGAGAAGAAGATCGGGGGTTTCACACTGTGTCCCTCCCAGCCTCACTACTTCGCCACGGCAAGTCTAGATCGATTTCTGAGATTATGGGATTTGCGCAAGCTCTCACCGCACAATCCAACTCCTGTTGCCGAGCATGAAAGCCGTCTCTCGGTTTCCCACGCAGCTTTCAATGCTGCTGGGCAGATCGCTACTTCGTCCTACGACGACACCTTGAAAATCTACGATGTGGGCGCAAAGGGCTTCTCTACGTGGAAGCAGGGCCACAAGCTTTCAGAAAAGGAGTTCACTCCAGATACTGTTGTCCGCCACAACTGCCAGACTGGCCGCTGGGTGACGATGTATGATCATTCCTTCCTCTCCCTTCTTTTGCGTCCTTTTTTGGTTTTGGCAAAGCATCAACCCCTAACTTTGTTCTCATAGTCTCCGCCCTCAGTGGCAACTCAACCCTCAATCTCCCATCCAGCGGTTCTGTATAGGAAACATGAACCGCTTCGTTGATGTTTACAGCAGCAATGGCGACCAGCTCGCTCAGCTTGGCGGTGATGGGATCACTGCTGTTCCTGCTGTGGCTGTGTTCCACCGTAGCAAGAACTGGGTTGCTGGTGGCACTGCTAGTGGGAAGCTCTGCTTATGGAAGTGATGTGTATCATTCGCTCATCTTTGTGTAATTTCTCCACATGAGGCTGTATAGTCAACTTGCTTGCTAATTTTCATGTACTTTGACTTTCCTCTGAAGGTCTGGCGTCATGGGGGTGTTGCCTAGGGTTCTGTTTATCCCCTGCTGTCTTGCTCCAACGAAAGGCGACATGCTTGATATTTGTTCCGATACCATGTACAGACGTATTATGAACAGCATTTGATGTTTGTATTTCTATTCAACAGTCACAACTTCAAAAACAAAACACCAATCCATTCCATCTATTGGAATAATATAAAAGAGTAAAAGGTATTTACACGATGGCCACCATCTCCAAAAGGAAATCCAAACACACAAGAGAAAGACCCAAATGATTCCTCAGAACGACCAGAAAAACACAAGAGCCTCAGCCAAGTTCGAAAATCAGATCAAGTTCTTTTTTTCTTCCCCAAGATTCAGATCATTACTTTTTAGCTCTCTTTGCTGTTATCTTGAGAGCCGGGCTGGGGTGAGATGCGTATAAGGGAGGGCGGGACCATGAAACACACAATTAAAAGAAGGAATGGGTATCAACACCATGACACATGCTTTAGAGGATAACATAGACATATAGATGATCAAGCAGAACGGAACTCGGGGAGGTAAGACGGAGAAGGGAAGTTGAGGGAGAGAAGGGGAGAAAAGAGGAACGTTGAAATCATGAGCACATGGAAAAGAGGTAGACGAGGAAGAACAAAGTCAAAAACGTGCAAGGATGAAAGGAGATTGCATAGACATTGGTGCATTAAGATTCATTGCGTAGATCCTCGTGCGAGTGGTTCTGAGTCTGATCACGGTCTTTGGCCTTACGCCGGGATGGAGCAGGGACAAAGTCGAAGAAGCGATACTTGCTCGAGGGCTCTTTCGTAACGCTGGCCCTGCGTGCCTTGGAAGACTCGGAGTATTCGAGCGAGTACGTTGAGGAGTTTTTTGAGCTTCCCGTGCTGTCACGCGGGTCAGACCAACGTGGGATGGTAAATGGAATGCGGCTTTGGTCCCAGGTCGCCGATGACGAGCTTGGAGGCGTGTCATCCTCGGCATCGGGAACGTGGTCAGTGGACCGACGGGGAATTGCAGGACGTGTGGCAAAGTAGCCAGTCGAATTGCGATGGTTACTGGAGGCCGGTGCGGACGTTTCTGGGGCCGGGGTACTAGGTTTACTTGAGCTTTCCTCGTAGAAGGTTACGGGTCGCTCCATCGAATCCACCAGTGCTTCCCATTTGATCTCAAGATTTCCACTTGGCCGTTCTGCTTGCTCGGCCCGTCTGAGACACTCCTCAGTGCGTGTCCGCAGGCGAAGGGCTTCTTTCTGGAACTTGGAAAGGTTGACGTCTAGCTCGGCCAATTCGTTGAGTCGTTCAGGGGAGACATCAAGCCAGACACGTATCAAATTCGCGAAGGAGCGAGCATAGTCGATCAAGAATGGAAGACTAGGGAATCCCTCACGCGATGTGGGCGGCAACCGGCCGAGGATTTGGATAGGTGTCGTGTAGGAGGGTGTGACGATAGGGACTGGTCGATCGGCAGGGATCGCACACACTTTATCAACAAAATCTTTAAATTCTGAGCGATGACCGACGAGGAATTTGTTCATCGGTTCCATCCAAGGTTCTTTATTGCCAAATGTTGTCATATTGGCCAGACCCTGCAATGCTTTGGCGATGAGAGTCAAAGTGCGTTGGGCACGAGGACGAGGGTGATCTGGGGGGTTGTTAGCAAAAGAAAATCTAGGGTACGAGCAAAAGTACGGGCGTGATTCCATACCTTTCAAGAGTCCGAAAAGCTTCGGGTTGAGAATAGCCGGGCAGAAGAATCGTAGGAATAGGAAACCAGAAACACTACTGTATGTCACAGACCGGAGGAAGTCGCCATAGCGATCGTCTGCACACGCCCTGACATGTCGGAAGATGCGTCGCAGTTCTGGGGGGCACCTCTCCGCAGATCCTGCAATGGATTTCCACATACTTGTGGTAAGAGCTGTGAGGTTTCGCCAGTTACGTTCAAGATCCTCGTGGCGTGGAACTCGAGATGGATCGACTTCGCATTCCGGATCGCTGTCATCAATATCACGTAGTCGTTCCGCGATAGTCTCCTCCAAATACTGCTTGCCCAGACGTCGCATGTGAAGATCGAGAGCCTTGGTCAGAAGTGAGTTTCCACGGAACAAGAGGTTAGCCTCCACAGTGGCCGTCCTTCCCATGTCTCTGACAAGGACCTCACGTTCTTGGCTAGTCTCCTGTGAATTGTTTGAATGAATTCTCGTTGTATACCTCAGCCGGTTGGTGGTGGATTCTTTGTGCACGCCATCGATTTCATCTTCGACCAAGGCTGAGATCCATTCCACCGTTGACCCTGAGACCTGATAAATGTTCAGAAGCATCTCGGCCAAATGGTTCAGCTCCGATGACATCAGTTGTGCCATGTTAATTGTGAGGCCATTGGTGAAGGAATGAAGAAGTTCCGACATCTCTGCGTACTCGTCGGACATCAATACCACGGTTTCCTCCATCCGAGCCCTCATGAACATCTCGCCAATTGCCTGGTCTTGATTATCCAAGATAGGCCACCATTTTTCGGTATCCACGCCGGCATCTAATTCTTCAAGTCGCAGATCTACTCGTCCAAAGACAATATCATTTGCAGAAATTTCAATCTCATCCAGCATGCTCACAGCACTCACGTCTTGGTTGGGCGCGTATGTTCCGTGAGAGATCAAAGTCCAGTCTCTTTGTGTCGGGTTGAGTGTTTTGACAAGGATAGAGGCTTGGGATAGCACTGGCGGCAGATCAGTGAAGAGGAAATCTTCTCGCCAGAAAGGATTCATGGTGCGATACTTGACAGCAGTCTTGCCACGAATTTCCCCATCTAGGAGCACCTCTGTGTAGTAATCACTGACCTTTGAGGTGGGAACAGGCTGGCCATGTGATCTTGACGCCTTTCGGCTTCGGGGAGTGTCCTCTTCTTTGGCGCGAAATAGCTTCGCCTCTACAATTTTCAAGCTTAAAAATCGTTCAATCCGGAACATGTCTTTGGTCAAGGGTGGCTCGGTGGCCTCGGCTTCTGGTGTTTTATTGGGATCCTCTCCCTGTGACACAGGACCATAGAGCTCTGGAATTGTGAAAGCGCGGAGAAGCACAAACCAAACCTCAAAGAGAACACGGCTTTCAAGAGCGAGGTATATAGGCCGCACGTTTGAATCGGGTACTGGATGTGCCGTATATTGAGGATAGATGGCAATGCAAAATTCATCATCCAATACCGAGGAGTTCAGCTGCTGAATAGCGCAGCGTGATAATTGAGACAACTGCACACATGCCAGGAGGGACACGTCGGACTCCGTATAGAGCTTGAAAAAGCCATTTTCTTGCAGTGTGCAGCTCACCTTTTGCCACGAGGAAGAAAGAGCCCGTGACTGTCTGTACGTTGACACGCGGCGTCCGGACGCCGGAATTGCACCGGAAGCAGACGGCTTGTCCCATAGAAGCATCTTGCCAACTTTGATGATAGTTGCATCTTTCTGTACTGTGGTTTCCGAGTTGCGACGACGCTCGGGGATCCGCCGGTCTCCAATCACAACCTCTTGAGGTTTTGTCATCTTGTTCTGAACACCCTTGGGTCGAATTGGTTGCCAACACAGTAGAGCGGCAAGCCAGGAATCGAATGTTTCGTTCACGTGAGGTCGTAATTGTATCCCAAGCCCAGAGGTAAATGTGTGAACGCTCAAATAGGTGGCTTGGAGCTCGGAGTCCCACAAAGTCCGAACTCGACAACCACGTAGATCGGGGATCAATGTTTTGGCCAATGCCGGCTCCCCCTTGGCTTGATAGATGAGACTCCCAGTAGCGACGTTGATGGCGCAGTATCCGGATGTCCAGGCAGTAGTCGAAGCTGTTCGGAATGATAGAATTCCGTGCATCCTACCACATGTAGTTTTCATCAACTGCAGGATTTTCGTGGCTTCCCCACTTGAAAGGGGCGAGGAAAATAGATCTTGATTATGTGCTCCTCCGGTGACCAGACCGGCAGCTCTGGTCAGTCGAGGGCGAGGGACAGTGTGGCTGCTGTATTTTGGGGACTCAATGGACGGAAAACCAATGGAAGATGACGGATCTTCAGGCAACTTTGATTGAGATGGACTGGCCGTGTTAATTGACCCAACTCGCGTTCTAGTTTTGAAGGCGTTCGGGGTGATGTCGTTGCGTTGCTCTTCCGCCGCCGTTGTCCGCGATCGCGCCCGTTGACTCCTTGCTTCCACCGGAGGATCTTCGTCGCCCGTTCCAGATGAGTGTTTGTTGAAATCCCGACGGCGTTCAGGTTCGCCGGGCCGTGATCGCACGGTGTTTCGAGGTGAAGACAAAGCGCCCGTGAGGTGCTCTGGTTCGGATAAAGGGGAATGGTTGGCGGGGGAGTGCGACTCTGGCGTCACAGTTCGAATGGTTGTTTCTCGGAAACTGTCGGGATAGACCATACCGTGCCGATCCCTAGATGAAGACTTCTTGCTTGCACGTCGTTCCACTGGACGGCTATATAACGCTTGGTGCATCGAGCTCCGCTTGAACGCGTTCGAATTCTCAGGCTCCATCTCGTTTGGTTACAGACAGCCCCTTCGACAGGCGATGTAGACAAAACGAAGTCCGAACCCCGTCAATATGTAAGGAAAGGAGAGACAGGTTCACTCCCTAATCGCGCCCAACACGACCTCCCTCAAAACAACCGGTGAGAAGACCTTGTTGGCACCCGACGTATGCGGCACGGTTGCGCTTGTACAATTGGGAGTCACTCTTGTCCAGGAGATTGTTATAAGACCACATGGAGTCCGGTAAGAGGTTGGGTACTGAGGTCGCACATTCGGTCGAGGCGACGGGAGAGGGGAAGCAATGGGAGACCAGGACAAAGGAAGGCGCGGGTCACCGTCGTTTGTCTGAGAAAAGCGGGAGAACCTAGCGAATACGATGAGCGTCCAATCCTCCGGCCAGTCGATAGCGATAGTGTCGCTGTCAGTGTCAGTGATGGTCTGAAGAAGCGACCCAGAACTTGGGAAGGGCGTGATATCATTATTATTGGAGGGAGGGGAGGGGGGGAGTAGGGTAGGGTAGAAGAAGTAAAGAGATGCGCACATACCTTCATCAGTCCCTTTTGAAATTGGGAAGGTTTTGGCTACGCTCTCTAGGAGATATGTTTGTGTGCGTATATGTGTTTTCGCGGATTCCAGCTAATGTAGGCCGCTTTGGGATGGGGGCAGAATGAGGGGAAGGGCTTCAAAGAAAAATATTTCCCAAAATTGAAGAATCAAGTTGGAATTGTAACGGTATGATCTGAGAATGATCGCAACAGAGAGGAAAAGAAAGAGAGAGAGAGAGAGAGAGAGAGAGAGAGGTAGAGGAGGAGGGGGGAGGGGAGTGAGAGAGAGAAAGAAGTGGATTAGCGGAGCTGAGTTTGTATAGGGGAAAAATAATGAAAGAATGAGAACGGCAACACTTTTTTTTTGGCTCTTTTCACCTATTGTCTTTGGAGCTTTCTTCTAGGTCTACAATTAGCTATATCTCTTCATGTTATACTCTTTTCAGGCCACTTTGATGACACGGCAACACAGGATCTTCTATATACGACATACCTCCTAAACCATTCAAAGTGAGGTTAGATAATTTTCCTAATTGTCACCTAAATTCAAATCCCATATCGCTTTAGCTTTTACCCTTTAACCGAAAGATACCGAGTCTATATTATACAATCGTCGGGGCAAGGGAGAAAGTAAACGAGGTTGAGCTGAAGTTAAGCTGGACTTGAGACCTATAAGATCCTATAGCTTTCCCCAAGTCACTAGCGTGCATGTTTCCCCTTCCATTCGCATTCCCGAAGGTCATAAATTGCCGAGAGACTTTCTAGAAGAGATAACTGCATGGCGTCTTTTGACTGACTCGCACTGGCTAGCGGATTACCGGGCTAGTGGAAATGGGGCCACTACTCTTGAATCATGAGGGCTATATGTTTGAAGTGCTGATCCATTTTACTTTGCGCACCGTGGTACAGAGTATATATATAATATACTATATCTACTATATAGTGTCAGATTGTACTATGTAATCAATGTTCAGTTGCTATTCCTACCTTTCATATTGCTGCATTTACATCCATTGTTTCTCTTCAGTCTGTTCTGCATCATACTAAAATCCTAACGTGGTGTCCGGGGCGCATATCCTGGTCCTAACTGGAAGAAGTACAATATACAAAGTACGGAGTACAGGATTCACCCGGGCAAAATTTGACGGAAAGAGATATCTATCATTATTGAGTCCATGCAATGTTGCAGCCAAAAGTCTCTAGTTATTACTAAAGCAGGGAATTCCCCGAAAGTGGAGCCACTTGTTAGTCTGCAACGTTGAAGAAAATAAGATCTTCAGCCAGGATTACATACTAGAGTCACACAGGACTCAGTTCAGATTGAGCAGCGGAGGAATGAGGCGTGTTAGTGTGGAAAGATAGACACCCTTGATTGTAAGAATTCTGACAAGGTATTAGCATGTAGCATATCATCTACAGAGTAGCGAATGCGAAACAATTTCAAGTGGCGTGCAAGTCTACTGCGGGTACCCGCACATGACCAGATCATGTACTCCACGTGACCTCCAGCGTATCTTTAGTATACAATTACAATTAGAACACACAATTCCTCCCCTTTGCTGATGTCAATTTTCTCTTATCCTCTACAAATTCTCTACGACTTATAACTTGAAATCCCAGTACGGAGTATACAATGAGCCCATTGCATCGTATCTCCTCCGCGTTCTCTCCTTTGGGAATCGCGCCCGTGCCTTGGCTGTTGTTAGGGTTTAGCATTGCCCTCCCTACAATACCGCTGATTCCCCTCTCATAACGTGCTTTATTCTCGCTTTTGTCATTCACCTTATTTCTCACCCCCAACTCTCCTACGCATTGACTCTCAACACGATGCACTGCCCCTTTCACTTCCTCTGGCTCTGTCTGAGTTGGTTTAGCGAGTGTTGATACAGAACCATCTAGTTGAGCCCAGGAGCAGAAGTATCGGGGTCGATATAGGTCGTAACCACTTGTTATTGTGTTTTGACATTTTATTTCTCAAGAAAGTCATCCGGGGATCTTGCTACCAAATTGAAATCTCTTTCTGCCCGCTAAGCGACATTCATTCTTGAGCCCTTTCCGGAACATGTTTTCGATGATCGGTATAGCTAGGTCCGTGGATTCAGACTAAGATATGGCTCGGACTGGTCTGATGTTGGTGCGCTTTGCGATTTCGATGCTAGCCCCAAGACTGGATGTAAGCAAGGCAAAGACCAACTCATATGCAACAACGAGCTTCGGGGCACCGAGAAGATCGTTATCTTAGGAGTTTCGAGCAACGAGAGAACCTTGTAGCAAAGAACCTCGTGAGGAAGTAGTCTGTCCTGTGGGACTAATCTGTGATGTGACTTCACTGCGTGTAGTTGATTAATCTCGAAAGTTCTTCTTAAGACTTAAGATGCTCAAATTTATGTTATATACTTTGCAACTCTAGGATCACCCTCTACTAGAAGAAACCATATACAGATAATAACCCACCGCACCCATTCATTCAGATCATAATCTGGCTCCCCACCAACTAGATTGTCCTCCGGTGAGAATACACCGCGAAGTTAGTTCCTAAGTCTCATTTGCTATAATCGCCACCCTTCCCAGAGAGGTATACCGAGTCGTCGAAATGCTCGGAAATCTAATTTCCAGAGAGGGTTATTAGGGCCTTTATCTCCACCACCAAGCGCATTGTAATAATGAGACACCTCATTTCTGCCCTTCGCCGTAGATCGACGTCGACCCCATGTCGAATCAACCTGAATATCAATGGGAGCCGCTGGCAAAGACCAGCATACTCGCAGCTTCAAAGTGGCTGGTGATGGAATTGCAATAAGAAATGGAAATCGATGACTGAGATCACTTGGCTCAGGAGAACATAGATCGGCTACGCACTCGGAGATCGTCCGGATTCCTTCAAGGCCCCACTCAAGCCGATACCATTCAACGTATTGTTCAGTGAAGAATTCCAGCTCATGGGAAGACCATGACCAGCGTATTGATGCGGCATTATAAATGTGGTGGAAGAGTTCTAGATCCCAGAGGCCGCGATGTGTTCGATGAGTTTCGATCCATGAGGGTGGATCTATCGCAAATTGGGATGTTTCACCACCAAATTGTGGAAGTTCTCCATGCATTATCTCTATGATCTCTGCCGCAGGAGCAATTGGACGGCGGGGCTTTGCGGATTCAAGACGATCGAAGAGATGCTGGAGACAAGCGCAGGCAGTAAGGTGAATTTTTGCCGCTGTGCTTACAGCCTGGCGCACCGCAGCTAGTGAGTTTGTTGAGGAAATGGAGATAGGCCGCACGGCACCCCCCGACAAGCTATCGAGCCGTTCTAGCAAGGCGATGGGGGTGTATTCCGTAGACTCGATAGAGGCTAGGAGCGTGAATTCATTGTGGAGTCCCTCCGAGGTTAAAGAACATTTTTTCAGGACGTGTTCCGTGATAGTCTTATAAGAGGCGTTGAATGCCTGCTCTGCTCGGGAGGATATTTGTTGTAAACCGTCTAAGCTGGTAAAGTCACAGCAGGACTCGAGAATCAGCAAAATGATTTCTGTCGGGAGTTTTGCAAAGGGATCCATTCTCGGCGAGATTGATGTAACTAATTGAATGGTCATAGGGGCAGTGGATGAGAACAAAGAAGGGTACTTTGGCGTAGTATCAAAGTGCCAAGGATCGCTCGGATGTACCTGGCTGGTCCACAAGTCACCTAGGAATGAATGATTTCTTTATGCATTTGTCCTCGAGTCAAAAGTCTAGATATCATGATATCAGTGCTCCAAGGGCCTCATTACATAGATCCATATTTGTACTAGTATAAAAGCCGTGTATCTCTACTTTTCAACAAATGAGGAATTGTGACAGACAATATAATGGAGCTAGTGCGGGGGATTGACCAGGGTGGATCTTTCGAGGTCAAAGCCTTCAACCTTGAATCATGTTGCATATTCTCGAATAAAAATCTAGTAAGCAGAATTTGTACGGAAACTATTCTAACAGGTAGTGGATTCCTGGAGGACTTTAGCATTTCAAAAGTATGTTAATAGAGGGTGATGTGTGTATTGAATCTTCCTAGTGAGATACTAGCAGCTCTATCATCGATGTCGCAACGTAAAATAGCTATATTCTTGACATCAAGATAGTCTCTTCACCAGAGCCTATAATTCCTTAAACCAATATTTACATATAGAGGTTCCCCGTCCTTTCGCGTCCATAGGTGCAGATACGCCTTCTAAATCAGCCAAAGCCAGCCCCTCGCTGTTGACAGTCAGGGTGTGGTCTCCTCAAAATTGATCTGTACAAATTCTGACAGTATGTATTAGCGGGTGAGAGTGTAAGTTTGAAAGTAATGCAAAAAAAAAAACACTTGCGGAAATCGACAGGCTGACATTGGGAGTTGGAGATAAGACAAGGCCGAAGTGGACTGAGGCACGTGACACATATCACACACATGACTGTACAAAGATATATGCCTGAGGCCTCAAGGAACCCCCCTTCTTTATGTCATCATAGATAGAGAGGTCTGGGGAATGACCCCAGCTCCTGGTGACTGTTATCACGAGGACTAGGTCAGATGCATACTTCTCCTGTTATAAGTCTGGTACCATCACCCTAATCAGGGCACATCCATACCTATCTCCAACCCAATAACATCCCCTTGCCCGCTGTGTTGATAGCGATATCCGCCTCCGCATTATCAAGTGCTGCTGGATGGCATTTCATCACCAACATCACTGGCTTCTGAAGCTGTTGCCATGAGTGGTCAGACTATAGCCTTTAGTCTGATCCAAAATGATGTCCTCTAACATTTTATCACGGTTCCTACCCCCGACGGGCTCACCATCGGTCTACGAGACCATTCGCCAACATGACGCCGGGTCCGAATATTCTGATCTCGAAGAACGTGCAGGCTTGGTCATAGAAGACCAACAGGAACAGTTTAGTGATCGGGAACTGGAGGATGCATTAGCCGATGCGCAGGACAGTGAAATAATCAGCCCCAGCACTGCGTTGCTCGACCAGGCACGGTCGGGCAAGGCACCTGAAGAGCGAGCTTCTCCACCTGGCACCCGCCGGCGCAAGTCCTCCCGGCCTAGATGGATGGCACAAGAATCATCACTCGGGTATGAACTCGATGATCATGATGAAGATGTTCCTCAATCTCTGCTGGTAGAAGGTCATCACGAAGATCTAAGATCACGGTTACCTCCTCCTCCCCACTCTCATGATCGTTCAAATCGACGGAGAACTGCTAGTCCGGAGCCATCTCCACAACCTATTAGAGCCCGCTGGAATGAGCGAGGAGCAGCCCATCCACCACAGTCCAGTGAAAGTGGCCATCCAATAAGGAGATGGTTCACCGGGCAGCACCCCGGTCTTGCCAATACTGACCCCAAGAAGAAGGCAATGTGGCGATGGGCAAATGTCGAGGACCTGGATAACTTCTTAAAGGATGTCTACACATACTTCTTAGCGAACGGTATTTGGTCCATTCTGCTGACCCGGGTACTGAACCTCTTGTAAGTCCAGGATGGTACCCCCCTCAAAGAACCGTACGAGAAGCTGACAGCACAAAAGGACATTTGCATTCGTTGTTGGTTTCTCTACGTTCTTAACCAACTGCATTGATTACCCTAAAGTCCGGCGGAGTAAGACTCTGGATGAAATTCTCGTGCCCCAATGTACAGCGAATATGTCTGGGTCGTCCACATTTTTGCTGTGGCTTTTCAGCTTCTTCTGGATTGGAAAGCTTTTTCAATACCTGCTAGATATTCGCAGGCTCAAACACCTACATGACTTCTATCTCTACCTGCTCGGCGTTTCAGATGCCGAGGTCCAGACGATTTCCTGGCAAGAAGTTGTGAGCCGATTGATGGCGTTGAGAGACTCGAATCCATCTACCGCAGCGGCAGTCTCTGCCAAACATCGAAGATTTATGGGCAGCCAGTCGAAGCAGCGAATGGACGCTCACGACATTGCAAATCGCCTCATGCGTAAGGAGAACTACATGATCGCATTGGTAAACAAGGATATTCTGGACCTCACACTGCCTATTCCATTCCTCAAGAATCGACAACTCTTCTCACGAACCATGGAATGGAATCTCAACCTTTGTGTCATGGACTATGTCTTTAATGAGCAAGGCCAACTACGGACCCTGTTCCTCAAGGATACTCATCGAAGAGCGCTGAGTGATGGCTTACGCCGGCGCTTTGTTTTCGCTGGCGTCATGAATATCTTCGTAGCGCCCTTTATTGTGGTATATTTCATGATGCACTACTTCTTCCGGTACTTCAATGAGTTCAAGAAGAATCCGGGCCAAATTGGTTCCCGCCAATATACACCTATGGCGGAATGGAAATTCCGCGAGTTCAATGAACTTTGGCATCTCTTTGAGCGTCGAATTAATATGTCTTATCCATTCGCCAGTCGCTATGTCGACCAGTTTCCTAAAGATAAGACAGTTCAAGTGGCACGGTTCGTTGCTTTCATATCTGGGGCTCTTGCCTCAGTACTGGCTCTTGCCTCGGTGATAGATCCAGAACTCTTCCTTGGGTTCGAAATTACCCCTGATCGGACTGTTCTATTTTATCTTGGTATCTTTGGCACAGTCTGGGCTTTTGCGCGAGGGCTGGCACCTGAAGAGACCGATGTCTTCGACCCCGAGTATGCACTCCTGGAGCTAATCGATTTTACACATTACTTCCCATCTGGATGGAAGGGGCGTTTGCATAGCGACGACGTGCGGAAAGAGTTCGCAATCCTCTATCAAATGAAAATTGTGATTTTCTTAGAAGAGATCTTGAGCATGATCTTCACCCCTTTCGTCTTGTGGTTTAGCTTGCCCAAGTGCAGTGACCGCCTCATTGACTTCTTTCGGGAGTTTACCGTGCATGTTGATGGTGTAGGCTATCTCTGCTCTTTTGCCGTCTTTGATTTCAAGAAGGGCACAAACGTGCTCTCTCAAGCCGGACCTGGACGCCGTGACCCTGGCAAACAGGATCTACGCACTGATTACTTCTCAACTAAAGACGGGAAGATGCTAGCTTCCTACTATGGCTTCTTGGACAACTACGGCACTAACAATCAACCTATCAACCGGCGACCCTTCCATCCACCGCCAACCTTACCAACCCTGGGCTCGCCCACTGCAGCGGAGTTCGGTGCTCTTCCTGATCGTCCTGACTATCTCCAGGCACGTACTGGGCTGGCCTCCGGTTTGCCATTTGGCGCTCAATCACTGATGGGTACTTCTAAAATGAGGCAAATGGGAGGGTTTGACCGGCGCTCTCCTGCCCCGTCTATCCTCCTTGACCCGCAGCACCAACCTTCGACCACTGGGTTCCGCGCCGTAGCCAGAACTACCCAACGCTCTCGGCTCGGACGCCCTCAGCACTCGTCTACGGATCCCATTGACGACGAGGAAGAACCATTATCCCAAGACGGCCGTGATTCAGCAACACGACGGTCTGGTCCTCGGACCGGTACTTCTAGTGCAGGTGCAGGGAACAGTGACAGCAACCTCGGCGATTCTTGGCGCATGAATCCACTCAGCAAGGACGACGATGACCCCGATGAGGGCGACGAGGGGGAAAATATCGACGCCATCGCCGGCGGGGGTGGCGTTTTGGGCTTGATTCAGCAATTCCAGAAAGCTAACACCGAAGGCAGGCGGACAACTGTGGGAATCTAGATATCTGCTATGCAATTCCTCGGGTGGTAGGTTCAAGAAAATCATAACTTACATGTTCCAGACACGATATATGACCATTCAAAGTGGAGTTCGATATTTAGCGAATCTTTTTATATTGCTCTTATACCATTGTCCGTTGTGAGGCTGGTTATCCTACGTACGTAGACAAAGGTGGAAATACCTATAGGATAGCCGCATGCACCCATGCACATCGGGCATTTATGTCCACCTGTATAGCTTGGGCACCTACACAAACTCTTCCAGATTATACTTTACCCATGTACCCCTCCTTCCCTCCTTCCGCACCCTACTACTCTTCACTCGTCTTCCGCTTCGACTCTGCCCATAAACCACCTATCTATAGCAACACAAACCAGCAGCTACTCTAAGACAAGATGTTCAACTATTTCCAAGACTGTATTCTCGGGAGACAGACGAAGAAGTCACGATCCTCCGAGTCCATTGCTTCCGCTATTGTCACCAAAATCCTCGATGCCGACACACCTTACTCACTCCACAAAGAAGTGAGCGAGGAACTTTCCACCGAAGGTTGGTCCGACGCCATAGCACAGGCTATCCTCCGGGGTTTAGAAAATGCAATCAAAGCCGGTACAGACATGGCGCGAGTTGCGTCTGATGCTGCAGCCCAAAGCAAAAATGCCGCTGTTGGCTTTGCAACAGATCACCCTGTTTACGCTACGCTTATTGCAATGGGTATTCTGGCCTTGCTGACACCGTTGGCTCTTGAGATGCTTGGATTTGCCGAGTCGGGTCCAATTGCGGGCTCGTTCGCAGCTGCATGGCAACGGACCTATGCTGGGTATGTGCCCAAGAATGCTTTGTTTGGCTATTTCCAGAGGCTGGGAATGAAATGGCATTGGGTTTATTAGCGGCCTGACTCGTCAGCAAGTAGGCAAGCAGTGGGTTTGTTGTCTGGTGCGTCAACATCTCTCTAGTATAGCCTCGGTGATAAACTCTCTCTAAATGCCGTCATTGAATATATCCCAAACATTTCACTGATAGAATGTGCCGACTTATACTATGTATTGCTCTTGCTATTGTCTACCAACATCAAACATGAATTACGATCTCTTGCCCTCACCTTCAGTTCTCAAACAAACGAAGGCTGAAGTTCGCTTGGAACATATCTAGCAACTGCTGACGTGTAGCACAGATCAAGACGTACCAATCTATGCAATTGTGCTTAGCTGTCAGCCTTGGGTTGTTTGGAAACGGACCAGACGGCATAAGACTTTTTCACAGATTGGGTGCATAAGATGGATTTATGGAGTACTCCGTAATGAATTCTGGGTGGCTGAAAATTAAGCCCCAGATGGCTTATATATTTAGTTAAAGCTGACCATCGCGAGCTGTTGGATTTCTTGGCCTTCCGATATTAACTTCTTGGTTGGTGGATTTCTTCTTACCCCTGAGGATTAATCAGGGCGCCGAAACCACATCTTCACAATGTCAGCCGATTCATAGGGCTGTATCAATATAGTTGTACTGGAGCATTGTGTATAGGGTATCTTTTCCGTCCAAATTGTACATCCGGCATGCAATTGTAATATTCCAACGGAGTGTTATGTATCCCCTCAGGCGGCAGGCTGCAGGGGTTCCTAGCGCCAATAAGAGATGAGCCCTGTGGACCACATTGGCGACGGAGGCAATACTATGGACTAGCGGAAGAGTCGATTGATGATAGGCCAATTTGAAGACCCTTGCGGGCTGCATGCATTTAATCCAGTCACAGTTCGGAATTCGGGGCCAATGATTGGCGTTGAACAGCCCTGTTGATTCACCCTAAAAAGATGGCGCCTGGGCTGTAATTCCCTGCCATTGAGATCCGAGAACCGCGGTTTCAAGGGCTTTTGGAGGGCATGATTGTCAAATCAATGAATTTCTTGGGTTCCTTAGTTTTCTTGGAAGATTTCTCTTTCCAAAGAGCTAAAAAGTTGGACCTAATACTTCAAAGATCCAGATACAAAGAAGGTGAAGTTGTGAAAGAACCAAAATAGAACGGGGGAGGCTCTAGCATGTGGATCTCAGTTACTTGTGGAGTCTCGTGATTTCATCGGGACTTGGCTAATCTCAGTGTTTTCTTCATTTCTCCTTCCTTTCTATTGCATTTTCTTTTCTCGAATACACGGTGACCGCTCGCGATGTTTCGAGCTCGCCGATACCGAGTTCTAGTCGTGTTCGCGGCGGCTGTCGTCTTCACATTCTTCCACTTTGCGCGGTCACGCGATTGGAGCTATACAGTTGTTGAAGAGCACATTGGCGTTCATCCACCAGATGCCCATCCGAATCAACCCGCGACACCAAACCCTGAAAACCCGGCTGCTGCCGCGGCCATCGAGGAGAGTAAAAACCGTGTGCTTCCCAATCCCTACCGCGGCACCACCTCCCCAACGCCAGAGAAGATAATCTCGCCCGTGGGACCCAACAGCGGCTCAAAGGACGGCACGAGCCGGCTCAAAGAAGCTTCCTCCGATACTCCGCCGGTGCAACTGCCCATCAAGGATGACCCGAAGGACTCAGCGAAGGAACCTGTGAAGGAACCGGCCAAGGTGGACAACACCGGCAGCGTGCCACCACCTGCAGCGGATAATATCAATAATGCAAATGAAGAGATTGATCATGGAGGCACCGGCAGAAGGACAGCAGAGCGCCCTAAACCTGGTATTCCAACAACCAAGTGGAAGAAGTTCCCAGAACGGTTCCCCGTCCCTGCAGAGAAGGTGATCAAGTTGCCAAAGGAACAGTCCAAAACAATCCCCAAGCTGCAAGCAAAGTTCAAGGATGAGTCTAGCTCCGACAAGCAAGAGCGTTTGCAACGTCTTAGCGCCATCAAGGCCGAGTTCGCGCATGCCTGGAAAGGTTATAAGGAGGTCGCGATGGGACATGACGAAGTCAAGCCTCTGTCAAAGGAATTTGAAGATCCATTCAATGGTTGGGGTGCAACATTGGTTGATTCTATCGATACTCTCTGGATCATGCAATTGAAGGATGAATTTTCCGAGGCTTTGGATGTGATTAAAAACATTGATTTCACAACATCACTGAGAGCAGATATTCCAATGTTTGAGACGACCATTCGCTATCTTGGAGGTCTTTTGGGTGCTTATGACATTTCTGGTCATCGATACCCGGTACTTTTGGAGAAAGCAGAAGAGCTTGCTGAGGTTCTCATTGGTGCCTTTGACACCCCCAACCGCATGCCACACCTTTACTATCGCTGGGCCCCGTAAGTATTTTGTGCCACAACTCCTCTCCGATCATCTGTGGAGGACTAACGAAGTTTTCTCAGAGAGTATGCCGTGAAACCACATCGGGCATCTTCCCGAGCCGGGCTGGCTGAAATCGGGTCGCTTTCCTTGGAATTTACCCGTCTGGCTCAATTGACCAAGCGGGACAAATACTACGATGCCATTGCGCGAATTACCAACGAATTGGAGAAAATCCAAGATTCAACTAGTATCCCTGGACTGTGGCCTCTACGGGTCAATGCACAGGGATGTCCCAAGTACTCCAAGAACACGTCTCCGAGCAATCGCAGCCCTACAAACAAGCAGAATGCCGCTAGTGCCACCATTAGCACTAGCACTTCTTCGATGACCCGCAGAATTTATGCCGCACCGACAGACCTTGAGAGTTATTTGAAGCTACTCCCACGGGACACAAACACTGGTGTCGAAGGACATGCCCAACCGGCCAATGATGTGAGAGTCACCGGGGGACCTGATACTCAGACACATGAACAAAATACACTCTCAGCAGATCAGTGCAATGGCGGCTTGGGTCTTCCTAATTCGCCCCACGATAACGCTTACACCCTGGGAGGAATGGCTGACTCTACCTACGAATACTTGCCCAAGGAATACCTGCTACTGGGTGGCTTGAACGAGCAATACCTGAATATGTATAAAAAGGCAGCGACTGCAGCCCGCAAGTCTCTTCTCTTCCAGCCTATGGTTAAAGGTGGACGTGATATTCGGTTCATGGCCTCAACCTTTCCAATAACACCCGGAAAGACCGCAGAGCTCACTTCCACCGATCTTAAATATGAAGGCACTCACTTGACATGTTTTGTCGGCGGCATGTTCGCCATAGGAGCCAAAGCATTTGGCATCGAAGGTGATCTGGAACTCGCAGCCAAACTAACCGACGGCTGTGTTTGGGCTTACGAGTCAACACAAACTGGAGTGATGCCTGAGCACTTCCGCCTCTTGCCATGTGAGAAAGGCTCGGCCTGCGAGTGGGACCCGGCCCGCTTTGAGGCTGGCGTGGATCGCAACTCGCGCGTAGACCCCGAGGCAGGACATTCGTTCCGCAATGGAGAGAGCAGCTACAAACAGCGCGTGGATTTGATTTCGCACGATCCACCGCCAGGATCCGCGAGCGGGTCGGTTCCCATCCCCATGCCGGGCTCATTAAACCCCCACGATAGCGACGTGTTGGCCAAGCGCGATGGAGCAGGAAACCACACGGAAGCGTCGCCTGCCGGTTCAAAATCGGCTCCTGTTACTGACGGAGCTGAATTGCAGAACCGAGATGCACCTCGTTCATCATCGTCGCCCGCTTCGCCTCATATCGCCGAAGTCGGCAAAGACCACCTCCCAGCAGGCATGACCAGTATCCCATCCCCAACCTACTACCTTCGACCAGAGGCGATTGAGTCGGTATTCATCATGTATCGCCTGACTGGCGACGAATCCTGGCGCCGCAAGGGCTGGCAAATGTTCGAGGCCATCTCAAAATACACCCGAACGGAGCTGGCCAACGCGGCCATCCACGATGTCACAGCCCAGAAACCGATCCATAAGGATACAATGGAGTCTTTCTGGCTAGCTGAGACGTTGAAGTACTTTTACCTTTTGTTCAGCGACCCTACTGTCGTGGACTTGGATAAATATGTTCTGTAAGTGACGTAGTTTGTAAACAACTCTGGACCAACCGCTAACTTTTCATAGGAATACCGAAGCGCATCCATTCCTACGCCCGGTTGCATAATTCTACTTTGCATTTTGATACCAATGAAAGTTCTATATATAAACGTACATTCCCTCGAAGTAGTCACGTAGTGCGTACCTCAGGGTTGACCCGCAGTGGGACTTTGTATTTCCCCCAATTTCCCCCCGCCCTTCAACTCTCTCCAACTCTTCAAACCGGCACATAACCGGTATGATAGTCTGACGGGAAATGGAGCCCGAGGTCTCGGAGACTGAGTTCTGGACTGGTACGGTGTTCTTGGCCCACTCTTTTCTCCTTTTAAGATATGCGACGTGACAATTGACCAATTCTCGCAGAACTTCAAACGATCGTCTCCAAGCCCTGCGACTCCGAAGACCAGATCGACGATGCCCTCCGAGCTTATCTCAGTCTAACAACTCAACATAAAGGTAAATGACACTCTGAACTCCGAGAAGCATAGTCTCTACTCCCAACGACGCATTCCCGCCAACAGCGCCACGTCCGCCCCCAACTTTGTTTTCACTGCGACTAACGCACCCGCCTTTCCCTAGATGAATATCTTCAGTCGGAAACCGATATCTCGCGCTGTTCCTATAAGCTATTTACTTCGAGTATCTTTGCTACACATGCGGACTACGTTCGACGACAGATTCTCTACGGTCTTTTGCAGGACGATGACCCGAATACCCTCCACTTCCTTGCATCATTCATTCTCTTTGACGGTCGACAGAATGAAGTTGTGCTTCAAATGCTGAATGATGAGGGCGTGTTTGCGCGTCTCCTCGAGCTTATACAGGCGATGCGGAGGGCAGATCTAGACGGCGACGCGGGTCTTCATCGCTTGTTGATGGACCTTGTTTATGAGATGTCGAGAATACAAAGAGTCAAAATTGAAGACTTGGGTACGTTTTGAACGGGCATATGCTGCTACCGGTAGCTGATTATCATGTTCGTGTGCAGTTCTTGTGGATGATGATTTTATTCGCTGTCTCTTTGATATTATCGAGGATCTTTCTTACGACGTTACCGATCCGTATCATTACCCCGTGATTCGGGTGCTGGTGAGTACCGTCTCCGGGTTCTTGGTTAGAATGGCATTGACGAATTTCACAGCTGGTTCTGAATGAGCAGTTCATGATCTCCGCTCATGATCCGGTTGACGGCCGGCCTTCTGGTCAATTGACCAACAAGGTCATCAAGGTCCTATCTATGTATGGTGGGATGTATAAAACATTCGGGGAGAATATCATTCTTCTTATTAACCGTGAAGGTAATAGACGACCATCTCGTTCACTAGAACCGATGACTGACAATATGCAGCCGAGACATCCCTACAGTTGCTCACATTGAAACTTCTTTATCTCATATTTACCACCCCTAGCACATATGAGTACTTCTTCACGAACGATCTACATGTTCTGGTCGATATATTGATCCGGAATTTGCTTGATCTACCCGAGGAGGCCTCCGCACTCCGGCATACCTACCTGCGTGTTCTTTATCCACTCCTCGCTCATACGCAGCTACGAAACCCACCGCACTACAAGCGCGATGGATTACGAAGGCTGCTCAGCATTCTTGGTCGGGGCCAAGTCTCATATGGGAGCGACTCAGAGCACGAAAAAATCCTGCATTTCGAAGAGGTCGATGAAACCACACGTCGACTTGTCGCTCGGTGTGCGACAGTGGATTGGCTCCGCAATGCCGAACAGCCCGACGCAGCAGAAACGCAAGACACCCCCACTCAGGTGACAACAACTACAATTGAAACCGTCCTAGATCAAGCTGAGCAGCATGCGTCACCAATCGATATGGGTGAACCACTCGACAGCTCTCGCACACTCTCGCGAACAAGTACAATCGCTAGCTCGTCTGATACAACATCACCAACGCGAACAAACTCGTATAGTTCGTGTAATACCTCGAGAAGTCGGAAACCCAGCTTAATCCACCGGCTCGGCATGAACCTGGAGCCCGCATCCTCATCTTCACTGAGCGTTCAGGCCGTTGCAGCACAGCACGAAAAACCAGGCGTAATAACCCCCAGCCGCAAAGATGGAGTTCCTGCTGCTGCTCTCAATGACGAGACGCCGATAATCCGGCCACCAAAGGTCAAACCAGAACCACCGAAATCTCGTCGCTGGCGCGGGCGCCGTCTGGCCGTGGATGAAGAAGAGCACCACTCTACCTGCACAAGCAGCGACGGGAATACCATCCCCGAAGGCGTCGAATTCAGCCCTACCACCGTTTTTACCCCCAACACACCACCATCACAGGTACATATTGGTGATCGCCACGACTCCGAGTCAGGTTCTACTCTTGCGCCGCCGGGTCCACGGCCGCGGCGGTCCGTATCAAACCCACCCCCTGCCCCCCTCCACCACGCCGTTCCAGCCATACGACACCCTCTTCAAGTCACCACCGCCCTTCAGTCCCAGCAGCAGGAACAGGCAGACATGGGCAGGCTCCACTTCCGCCAAAAACACGCCGTTGGGGACGTGGCAAGCCTCAGCATGAACAGAGTGATTCGGTCGAGAGTGGGGCCAGCAGTGTTAGTCCATCAAAGGAACCGGAGACTGCTGAAAATACCACCGTGTCTGCTCAGCAAGAACATTCACCAAAGGACAGTGTTCTTTCGGACCCATTCTCGCCGAAGTCCCCCACAATGTTGATTTCGCCGTCTGAGATCACTGCAGACAAGACAGATGATCCAACCGATGGTGCTGGTGATGACCATGCGCCTGTTAGTGTAGAGGAGGCAGTGCAGAATGTCTCTCTACATTGAACCATGCTTCTCGATCTGTTCAATTCCCTTTCTTTTCATGATTCAATTGACATACTTGCCCGTGGCTCATTTTCAGGTTTTAATTTTTGGCATCAAGCGCGGCTGTTCGGGTGAACAGGTTGGGACATGATAGGATATGACTCTAGTTATTTTGCATGAGCAATCTGGAATTTTCAAGGGATATTGAAGATACCAGCGAGGACTGGATCCCATATTAGCAACACATAGTATTTTCGCTGACAAGAACGGAGTAATTTACAATAATAAAATGGTTAGGATAAAAGTACAAATCTATCTCCCGCCGAGCAAGGCCTGTTTCAGGTGAACTTCTCTCGACAACCTCAATCGTGGGCTGGTCATCTATACCACCTCAAATCTTCAACCCCCAGCTTCGTCCCAGCCCAATAGCAGTATTCCACCCAAATCCAGCACACTGTCCAATGCCAGTAAGCTTATCAGCAAGTGCCTTCCGATCCTCAAACCGGCGCTCCACAAACGCCGCCGTCTCCACAAGATCCGGCGTCGGGTCACGGGTCATCACAACCTCAGCACTGGCATAGATAGCCGACACCGCCAGACGGTGCGTGTACCAAGCGGCATCAACAGCATCATCACCAGAAAGAGTAAGAATATCCGAAGCAAGGGCATGCAGCTCCGCAAGAGAAATGGGGATGTTAGCAAGAAGCGACATTTGCGCCAGGGCCTAGCAGACATTAGCGGCAGTCCTCAACACAGCCATTCCCTCTTTATGTATCTGCCCCCCTTAAGGGACAGAAAAGAAGAAGAAAACTCACATCCTGCCAAACATCCTTAACCTCGGCATTCATCCTCAGTCTCTCTAAAAGCAACCCTCTCACCCTCTCCTCAACAGAAAGCTCATGAACATCCTTCCCCTTCTCCGCCGCAATGCGCCGGAATAATCCACCCTCCTCGACCTTTCCGCGTAGCAGACCCCGTCGACTCGCAAGCCAGAAGAGGATCAGGTCAAATTCCCGCGCGCGGGAGTAGCTGCACCGAGACATCGAGGAAGCCGGCATCGCGAGCGCCGAGAGTCAGTGCTGTTGCGGAGAAGCCGTGTGCGGGAACATGGGCTAGTGCCGAAGTTAGGATTGCTGTTTGGGAGTTTGTGTAGGAGTGGTCTGGGAGCCTAGCATGGAGGGCTGAGTGGTAGGTTCGGTGGGGGAGGGGGTTTCTGGGTTGGTTTGTTGGTGTGAGTTGTGTTGTGCGGGTTGTTGGTGTGGATTGGAGGACTGCTGTGCTTGTTGATCGGGTTTGGCGGATGGATTGGGTCAGTGAGGGGGTGAAGACCCTTTTTGGGAGAGTGCGGGCGAGATAGGCCATGGTTTGAGGGTGGTTGGAGGGAATTGATGAAGGGAAGAGATAGTTGGAGATGTGATGGTCGAGGGTGGAGTGGTCCGTGCGTTGTAGTATAAGATCTGCATGACAGGGCTTACATATACATACTTTGATTTGGCTATATAGATAGACTGGACGCATATACTTGGTCTGTATTGAGCTTATGATAATCTAAATAATGCTGGACTTAAGGTTCTATGCATCTTTTGTATGACAAACATTTGGCTTCAAATCGAAATATTACCAGATTCGGACAGCTTGCTACCAGCCAGGGGGGCCGTTCAACCCCAATTCTATAAAAGAATAAAGGTGAAATGGAAAGAGCGTGCGCGGAACGAACGGCTAGCATGGCGGTTTTGACGAGACCTGGAACCCTTGGACCAACGCCATATGCGAACATAACAACATACGAATTTCCTATTGGTAAAGACTACGAAGATTACAAAGTAAAGACATATGAGAAGAAGGCTCTCTCCATTTTGGAAGCAGTTGATCAGCCCAAACGGGCACTCGAAACCCATTTTGCGAGGATAGAAGCCTCGAAAAAAACTGAAATGGGAATAAGGGAATCATTGAATCAAGAAGTTGCGAGAAAAAAAAAAAAAAGCCAGACGCCCCCTGTCAAAGAAAATGACTAGGTAAAACAAGGACGAAAACGCTTTACATGATCTGGTCCTGGGTCAGACCAGTTGTCTCTTGGCCTTCCATTTCTTCAGGACCCGGACCAGCGTTCATGTACTTCACGAACGTGATGCCTAGAGGACGACCACCGTACTGGTAGCCAGAGAATTTGGCTGTAAAGCAGGATATTAGTATGTGGGTATCATAGCTGTGATCCAATGGAACGTACCAATTGCAGTTTCAGCAGTGTCAGGACTGTCAAATTGAACGACACCAGTACCGCGGGAGCGGCCGTTTGGCTCATACTGAATCTCAGCGCGCTCAACCTTTCCGATGGTGGAGAACAGATCAATCAGGTCCTCGTTGCAAGTGGACCAGGGCAACTGGGTTCGGGTTAGCATTCTTTATTGTTGCCCACCGGCGCGCATCTCAAAACTCACATTGCGAACATAGATGACAGCACTCTTCTCGCCATTGGAAGTGGCATAATCAGTGAAAGGGTTGGGGGGTCCCGAGGGAACAGGAGGAGCGCCCTGGTCAAATCCACCGGGGAAACCACCGTGGCCCCCAGGAGGACCTCCGAAACCGCCACGTCCACCGAATCCGCCGCCAAAGCCACCACGACCACCAAAGCCGCCACGGCCGCCCATAGGACCGCCGAAACCGCCACGGCCGCCAAAGCCACCGCCATAGCCGCCGCGACCACCAAAGCCGGGGCCACCACCAGCGAAACGATCTTCACGAACTTCAAGAGGACGACCCTGCCAATCATATCCGTTAAACTGCGCAATGGCGTTGCGCGCATCATCAGGGGACTCAAAGGCAACGATACCGGATCCCTTAGGACGTCCGGTAGGGTCGGTGTGCACATCGGCACGAATGACGGCACCCTGCTGGGCTGTACGGAATCCGGGTCAATTCTCACACTGAACAAGAAAAGCAGGAACTCCAAGTTCAAGGGGAGGGGGGACGAGGGGAGGAATCGGTCTGCACTTACCAGCTGAACGGAACAGATCCTTCAAGTCTTGCCAGCCAACATTGAAAGGAAGCTACACCGAACGGTCAACAATGCCTGCCAGAACTTAGCGTAACGGGGGTAAAAAGAGGGAACAAACGTTTGAGACATAAATCTGACGGCCACCGCCACCAGCACCACCTGGGGGCCTCCGAAACCACCACCGAAACCACCTCGGGCACCGGGGCCGAAATCACCGCGTGGGGGACCACCAATGAAGCGGGGCTCGGATTCACGGTCCTGGAGACTGAATCAGCCTCATGTAATTACAACACCATGATTTCTGCGAAGACATACCTCACGAACATAAACAAGACGACCCATCAGGCTCTGGTTGCTGAGCGTATTCACAGCGTTTTGTGCTTGGTCCCTGGTTGCATATTCCACAATCCTGGTAGACATGTCAGCAAGAGCGTCCGATTCGAATAGAGACAAGAAAGTACTCACCCGCATCCCTACAATATCAGGACAGCCAATGCCCACCCGTCAACCCTACACAAACCACGAAAATCGGGGGAATAGAAGGAACTAGCCCCTCTAGATGTAAGCGCCCACCTTCGACATTCCATTAGGAAGAAGCAAAACATCGGCAAAGAGAACTTCTCCAGCTGTAAAACACAGAATCACAACCCCGGTTAGCTTCAAACGTTCCAACAAATCATCATTCTAAATGCGCAACCCTGCTCACCCTGTCTCATAAAGTCCTTAAGGTGATGCCACTTGACATCATACGAAAGGTTGCCCACATAGACCCGGCGGTCTTGCTGGGATGAATCGCGAACGGTCTGCATCATATTCTCCTTGGCAACGGTGCGGTCCTCAAATCGAGCAGGGGGGGTATCCACTGCGTCCACCGAAAGGAGAGCCTGGGGCAGCTGCTCCGGAAGCACTCAAAGGGGATCGGGAACGACGTTCGGGACGGCGGTATTCGTCACGCTCACCACGGCTGCGGGAGCGACTGCGAGGGGAGTACGAACGGCGGGTGCGTCGGGGAGGACTGCGAGAAGAACGGCGACGGGGCGAGCGAGACCTCTCACGCTGGATATGGTCAGACATGAACAAAAGTAGATAAGAAAGGCGGTCGCGAAAGCGGTGCAGTGTTATGGGTTTGATGAATTGAAGATGGGAAGGAGCAAAAGAGGTGTTCAGAGGGCAGTCGCTACCGTGGAATGGCGCAACTCCGAGGGGGGTCGGGGTCCCTTGGTCAGGTGACCACCACCTCTGAGGGGGGATTGTTTGCCTCAGATGCACTGAGGACCTCTGGGGGATGAGCTTGGGGGCCACTGGCACACATTGTTTGCGCACACATTGCACTTATTTATTGGTATCAAACAATGCGATGGCAAAGTGTTTCCCTTTCAAGCCCACAGGATCTCCAGATCTGGAAGATATCTGATCGAACAGATATGGCGCCCACCCCCACCGCACTGACCACACTCTTGTGATCATTGATATAGACCTGAGAGCCATGCGCAACCTTGGGAATAGATTGTAGAATCGGCGAGAAATGGGAATATAAAAAACGAGTCGGTAAACTTACTTGGTATGGGCGATAAACGTCGGCTGGGCGGATGAACTGTCAGCGGAGAATCTCAAGAAACCAAGAAAGGATAGGAGGAAATAGGGAAAAGAGAGGAAGCGGGGGAAATATGAAAGGATCAGGCGTCAAGGTTCGACCTTTGGGGGAGACAAGACACGGTGATTGGGCGGCCTGAAATGACCGGGGACCTGGATGTACCAGATGAGAGTAACAAACGAGTAATACAAAGATACGAAAAAGAAAAGTGTAAGAGGACACGAAGAACATACCCATGATTCCGAGCTCGAGGGAGCGTGGAGGTAAGAAGTTGAATGTGGTACAAAGAAGAGAAAGGAGGGAAGATGAGAATTAAATGAGGAACAGAAGAGAGGAGTTGTTTGGATTCCGAGATCCTATAAAGACTGGGGAAATATCAGCTTGGAGAGAAGAAAATACAGAATTCTGATATGTACTTGAACGCCTCGGGCAAAACCCGTCACCGCCCGGCATATAGTTAAAGATCTATTGTTTGAGCTATATCAGTATCTATACTCTACAAGGAATAGATTTATGGGACAAATTAAATCTATATGCCCTCTTTCCTATATCAACAGACAATCTAATGGTTTCATTACTCTGTAGTGCACCTATATTATATAGCCCTGTCCTCTAGAGTCTAAACTAGCCTTATCCGCTCTTATCGTGCATCTCAACAGCTCCTGCGCACCAACATACCACCTGCACTCATGACTGGCTGCACGGTGTATTTCAGTTACTGAATTGCCACGGCCTGTATCCTATCGGAAGACTACATCAAACTAGATTGGACAATGTTCAATTGCGTCTTTTATAAAAAAAAAGACACTGAAGACTACTAAGAAAAGAAAAACCTCGAACAGAAAGTCCCACTGGGAAACGAAAGAAATGGGTGCTGAGTGCCCAGCACTGGGAATCAATAATAAATCCATGAAACAAGAAACAAAGAAATCCATTGCGCCACACCCTGCCGGTAAAACGAACGCCGACGCAGCATAACTTTTATGCTGTAAAACGGGACCTATGTGGAAACAGTCCCAAGGAGAGGATTCAAAACGCCTTTGAACGGATAAGGACGAATTGTATAAGGGGCAAGGAGTACATGTACAGACAAAAGAGAATATGGAAGAACATAGAATAGGAAAAAAAGGACAAATGTGGTGATGAAGATAAAGAGGGTGAGAGACCTATGCTGCCACATTGGTAGGAGGATAACGGCCTGGGATCTTCATATCCAGGGCAGTAACACTGTCTGTATGGGGACGCAGCAAGTCAGATGGGATCTTGGCTGTACTGTTCGACTCGGGACCATGATCCATATAACCGTTATCAATGTCAAGGCTATGGATCTTAGGAGGGTCTTGTTCATCTACCGAGGTAGGATTGGTATGGTTTGTAAACTCCGTTACGTTGGTGTTGGTAGGCGCCGTAGAAACACTTGCTCGACGATCAATCTGGGCAGGAGCCGAGTGATCGCGACGATCAGAAATACCGACGCCCGAGACAGCAGCAAGGGAAGCCTGGTCTCCATCAGACCGGATTTCGCGTTCATCCGGGGTGGAGTTTTCCAACTGCTGGCTCTGCCTCTGCTTAGCCACCACTACGGACGGTCCGATCCAGTCACCGTAGTAGCTATCGTGTTGGGCTACTTTGGGGCGAGACCTTTCGGAGGCCTCCTCGGACCGATAAGTTTGGTATGAATGGTCTGCTTCGCGGCTACTGCCTGTTCGCAAGCTACCATCGAATGCACTAGACCCGTCGGGGAAAGACCCAGCAGCTCCTAGCATATCTCTGCCGGCGGAACTGTCCCCGCTGGAAGGTGATAAGGCCGCCTGGTTGCTTCGATCAATTTGGACGTCGCTAGGGAACGCGCCTCCAGCTTGGCGAGAGGATGTGGGTCGGTCTTGAGACATGACTGCGGAGCGCGCGGCGTATGGGGTGCGATCGGCTTCGTCGTCCTCCATTACCTCATTGACCGACCTGCCACTCACGCTGCGGACGTGCTGCCGGACAAAGGCGTTTCGGGCTTCCCCTGTCTTGCTGCTTAAGCCCTCGATATCCTCATACCAGGACATCATGGTCTCGTGAGATTCGGCGCGGAAGACCCACGAGTGGCCTCGGTGCATTGCGCCGGTCTGTCGACCCTTCAGCATGAATTTGTGGGAGCTTGAATCTTCCTGTGAGTGGGAGCCGAGTTTCTGCTCTGGCAGATAAAGTGACATGACAGGCGTCTGCCATGCCACACGGTCCGCTGACTTGAACTCGTGGAGATGTGTTGGCGATAGAACATACCTGAAGTTGATTAGACAATGACTTCAAGCCACTTGAGAGAAAAAGGTACTCACCAGCCAGGGGTATAACTCTTGAGATACTTGCTCTTGCGTTCCAACATCCCAGCCCTGACCTCGGCAGCTGCCGGATGATCCTTGCCAGGGTAGGTGATGTTCTCCACATTCCGGAGAGGAATCCGAGGATCAACGAGCTCTTCCGTCTCGGAGACAAACTGGTTCCACTCGAAATCTTGGGGCATGGAGATGGGACCTGCCTGGAGCTTCTCAACGGTGTCAAGGGCTTCATTGGCTTCGCGTCGGAGGATACTAGCATAGGCGTTGTATGCTTTCTGGATCTCGCTCACAACAATGCCCTCCAGTTCACGCCCAGAGTTCTCCAGGTTCAAGAATGCCTATAATCCCAATATTAGACAAACAATTAGTATAAGGGAAAGGTTATCACAAACCCGATGCAAGTAATTCTCCTCCTCGATTTGTTTCTCGACCTGTTTCTCCACGTTTAGGCGCAAAATGAATGGATCCCCTTTGCCTGATGTCGCGGACGCATCGGTATCAACAAGTCCAAGGGCCTCGTGCAAGTTTCGTACGGACTTGCGTGTGCCGTCGATCTCCTTGTCGACAGTATTCTTGAAATCCCCCGAAAGACTCTTGATCTCCTTAGTCTTCTTCTGGAGATCGCTGCGGAGACCAGTCAATTGGCTGATCACCTCGGTCTCCACCTCAATGGCTTTATTGGCCTCGGTATAGCCCTGTCGGTGGAAGTTCTGGAGAATCTCCGTTGCGTCGGCCAGACCACCCGACGTAAGCAAACCCGGTGGAAGGGACTGGTTATTGATGACACCCGAGGCAGACATGAATAGCTTCGCTCTAGCTTCGTATGATTTCTGAACCTCCTTGAAAAAGAGGATCAAGTCCTTCAGGAGCTTGCGCCACGCTAAATCCTAGTCAGCAAAATCTCCATCACACACACATTGGAGTAAAGCCTCACCTCCAAACCGATTGGCCAAGACCTCGGTCGGGTTAGTGTTGGTAGGGATCGGAACCATGAAAGCACTATTGATATCGTCGGCACCATCTGTGTGATACTTTTCGCGATCACCCAAGCTTAAACTCCTCACACTCCCCGCGCGCATGCTTCTTCGGCTCCCATTGCGTCGCAGGCTTCCCTTCTTGCTCAGCGAGGCCTTCTTTCGCAAGGTGCTCGAACGGGATGGGGTCGGAGAGCGCACGTGCGACATGGTGGAGACAGACCGCTGCATCCCAGAGCCGTCCAACACCGAGCTCCGGTGACTGACGGTGTCGAAATCCTCCTTAAACCGAGGTTGGTAGGGAACCTGCGACGATTCGAGGGCGCCCGAGCTGTAGTGGTATGCGGATGTACCGGCGAAGGAGTTTGGTCGCGACGTGATAGAGCGCGGGCCGTACCCGCGACTCAAAGCCCCCGGGTCGTTGGGGTGCGGAATCATGTATGCATCCTGTGAGGGCGTCTGTGGCCGCGCGGCCATCGCCATGTCTGAAACGTGGGTTTTAGGGTTGTATTATCGGATGAAAATCTGAAAGAAGAGTAAGAAAAAGAGAATCTAGAAATCAAGGAATCAAGGATAAAGCACCTAGAGTGGCGTCTTTTTGGTTACCTGGCGAACGAGATTGTATGCGGGGGAGGTACAGATTTGCCCCACTCAGCTTGGAAAAAAAGGAGAAGATCAAAAGAGATTGGGCTCCGATATAGGGCAGAGCAGGGGAATTAAAGGGAGATTTTTGTTGATGACGTCTACGAGATGCGAGATGGTGACGGGCTTCTCGGGACGTCCGGAGAGGGGAGAAAAGGATATTAGACTTCTGTGATTTTTCTATATCTTTTGGTTGACGTACTGCATCGGAATTCAGAGCCGAACGCGATTTCTAGGGTATATATTGTATATTCCGGTGTATATCTGGATTACGTTGTATATGGTACTCCATAACGAGGACTCCCTATCGTATATGGTTGCCTGTCGAGTGGCTGAGGGACTCAGCCCCTGAGGGAAAAAAGAAGGAAAACTATTGGAATAAGATTATTACGTATGATGAACATGATCCACTCGATCTGTGGCTAGACGAAAATAAAAGGGGTGAGGATGTATCATCCCCCCCCTGATCATGAACAGTGCATGACGTTGGGATCTGGGGAGAAGGGGCATATGAAAGGCACTTGAACTCTGTCCCTTATACTTCTCGGCTTGATCGGAATACTACCTTCACCTGATTCTTTGCTCATACATATTTCATCTGCTTGGCTTTTACTATCTTGACTACCGAACTGACGAAGCTCAGAGGTGCCGAGGGATATCAGCACGTGACTGCCAGTGGGTACAACAAATGTGACCATGTGGAGGCAACCAACTCTCCAAGCAAGAATCCCTGTTACGGGCATGTCATCAAGCCATTTTCGATGTGTTCCCTGTTGGGACTTGTCCCAATGTCAGAACCTTTATCAAGTTCTTCGTCAGATCTTTCTAGGCCAATGGAAGAATGCTGATTGAATTCAACCCGGCAAGAATACTCAGCGGAGCGATTGAGTAGTTCGGCCTATTTGGCGGAGAGAATATAAGCCCAAGCTAAGAAGAGGACCAGAATTGATTCTTCTTCACTACGAGGCCGATCCCTATGAATATGACTTGCCGGAAACTCAACATTCGCTGAGGTTTGAGAAGCCAACAATAGCTTTCTGGGTAATACCCCAGGTTCAAGCGTATCATCCCCACCTGAAGTCCTCCATATTGACTACCCGTTGATTTGAAGGCGATCATTTTATCCAGGTGACAAAAGACGTATTCTCGGGCAAATACGGTGTTGTTCCAAGAAGAACTTTTAGATCAACACTTTCAGACGGAAAAAAATGGAGACCTTCCAGCGCGATTGAGATAACATAACCATTGTCCCAGATTCTCCTGGAGAACGCAGTCGAATTCATAGTCGCTCGGGCGAATTGCATCGTCCATAGTCAAGCCATGTCAGAGATGAAGTGATCCTCAAGGTTGAATAACCTGACAGATTGAGGGATGTTAGGAGAAGAAAGTTTGTTGTAATGACAAAAAAGTGTGTCGGTGGGCAAGGTAAGAATCTGCAATCGTGTGGGCCATTTTTGCATGATTAAAGGCCAAAGGTCACCAGTTCGGGCGCATACAGATCTTGACTCATTTCGTTCGATACTATATCTATAGACCTAGTTCACGATTACTTATTGAGAGAAGGATAATGAATCAACAATACAATTACACGTACTTTGAACTCATGCAATAACATGTATGTTCGAAGACAACCTTGACACTATTGACTAAGTTTCTTAAACCCCGGAATTGTGTGTGATGTGATACTACGAATTTCCTTTCCAGCTTGCCAGGTGGGAAGTAATTCGTTTTTGATATACATGTGCTGTCATTGGCTCCCGGGTGGTCCGGGGAGATCCCCTCATTTTGAGCTCAGATGTAATTGAACCCTGGTGGTTCATGCCTGGCTCTATATTGATTGATGTTGAAGTTTATGCAAATGATTTTACAGGCCCCGCAGTCTCCGATTTGATTGAGAACCTTAGACATCCTACATGTAGGTACGATTCCCTAGTATACCTGGAACCGCACGATTCTGATGTCGCTCCGAACTTGAAATGTGTATTGTTTTGAATTTCCTAGAGACTAAAGAAAGCCAAATCGGGTAGGCGTGTCCAGGCGATAGGCAGCGTGATATGGGGGGATAATTTACACAAAGCAACGGGAAAAGGTGGATTGAGAAGAATGCGGGCTTATGATGCAGGAACTGGGGATGTGGGAACCTCAATGCCATAGGTCGCCTTGAGACGCTCCCGGCGTCTATCTTCGTAGCCAGGGCCGTAGATACCTAGTGAAACCAGGGGAATTAGTACCGGTAGAATATATCGCTACCCAGACAAAAAGCACATACCACGTCCTTCACCCAACTCCGAGATGGTCTGCTCTCCGGGAGTCTGGAATGCCTTGCGCAACGCCGTCCGGCGGTCGAACTCGTCAACTGATGTGTCCTTCTGGTATCCAAACAGAGAGCCACCAGTGTACTCGAAGGCGGTCATGGCGGTCGACAAAGCGATACCGTATCCGAGCACAGCGGGGAGTGTGCGGACTGAGGTAAACGCGATGGTTAGCTCCAAATACATAAACATACACTCAATTATATTCAGCACTGACCTCGGAGACCGAGAATGGCACCTGAGAAGAAGCCACCCAGAGCGACGTTGTAGTGGTCATCCTTCTCGCGCAGGTTGGCGGAGGCGCTCTTGATGAACTCATAGGTACCACCCATGGCCGCTTTAACAAGTCTACTTTAGCAATTGATCCATCAAATTATGTGCAAAGAAGCCCATACCAAAGGTAGTAATAACACCACCGCCACGGACGAAAACGCCCAGAGTTCCGACGTTCTGCTTGGTGAGCGTGTTCTGGACAGCTGCTGCGAAAAGACCGACGCTTCCGGTCAGCGCAGTGGCCTTCATGGCTCCTGCAATAGCATCCTTGGGATGGTAGCTGTGCTCTTCGTCGTGGTGCGCCATGATGTGTGTGTGATAGCAAGGATAGACTGCTTGCGGTATTGGATGTGGTTGGCGATAGGATTTTGGAGTCAGCTTTCTGCCATGCTTGACCGCCACCGCCCGCCATTCCAATGGAGCTCTACATGATTATGTTGATGCCTCTTTCGCGTCGGACCCTTTGATTCATTTGCTGTCATCGAGAATCCCCTTAGATACTGCTTGCTGCTTGCTAAGAGGGTATCTTGATCTCAAACCTGTTCATTCTGTTGAGGAGTTAGTTCCAAAGCTTGCCGCTGCTTGCTGCCAAGTGCAGTGGGCTCCCCGCTGTCTCTCCGCATACAGTGGCAATTTCATCGTTTGACAACATTGTCATCACAGCTGAGCTGTCACCTTGCGCGCTTTTGTGAGCTTCGATAAGAATCAAGCCTTTAGGAGAAGCAACTCTCCCATAGCATCCAGACGAAGATCGACACTGTTCGAGGCCCTTAGGCCCAAACACTGTACTTCATGGCGTCTGCACAGAAAGCCGGTAAGGCAATATCATAGATTAGCAACATTCGGAATATAATTCGAGCAAATACTTATACCATTTTTACTCAATCATATAGGAAAGACTGCGCCGCGTCTCATCCATGATGTGCAGCTGTATGATCCAGCGCACGACCCAGATACAGGCCGTAATCTCCTATCAGAAACTCCGCCTATTTACCCAGAAGGCTACAATGGCCCGCCTGGATTCATATCACCGGAAGCATGTCGACACCAATATGCCTTGAAAGAAGACCAGACCTTCATGTCAGAGCCAGAACACCGGAGAAGGCCAGGCACATCGTCCAAGGTCTCAGCCATATGCACAAAATGCCGTTATCATCTTCAGATGGTGGTAAACTACACTAGCAACATTAGCACATTTGGTCAGCACCAGGGGAAGCACATCCATCATTTGGTTTACAAATCAGGACGACAGAAGAATGGCCTTGCATTGCCCGAAGAGACTCCCAAAGGGCAGCTTGCGGAGACATACCATTACCAATGTTCATACGCCTCATGTTCGGCTATGGTATCTTTGCGGATTCTTTCGCCGATTCTGAGCCCGGAATTCATCCACTTGATGACCGACAAAGACTTGTTGCGAAAACGAGCCAAAGAGGCTATGGCAGCGTATCCTGAGTCCATGGAAGGCATGGGTGATCCGCAGCCGATCAATGTATTGGATAATCTGCGTCTGTACATTACGAACGCCCTCCGAAATCCACAGCGCAGCAAGCCCATCTCCTCCGTCAATAAGAGGTTCATGCACTCTTTCGGCGTGGAAGGTGTTGCTTGTAAAGAACTACTTGAATTTTTAGAATTCGTGTACAATAAGGTTCGTAACGATTACACTGTTCTTCCAAATCGTCCACAATTCTTCTTGTGTGCCCAGGTTTGTTGTGTCGCTGACGAATCGACTCAGGATACTGGAGCATGGCACCCGCCTAAACCGACTTCCGACCCCGAAAAACCTTACCATGACACGATGCACCTCTTTCTCGACGACGTGATGCATGAATTGCTGATCCTAGTACTTCTTCGACCTGCCTCTGAAAGAAGAGGGTCTCAGATTCCCGGCCTTCCTCCCTCCGCCATTCCCGTTCTTTTCTCTGCTCTAGAAGCGCAAGACTGTTCGTATATTGCGACCCTTGGCCCTACGATTCCCAACTGATTTTCTCTCCAGATCCGACAGCTTTGCGTTACGAAGAATTTGAGCTAGCCCATGCCCCGTTTGTATACCCTATCGGTGAATTGATAGCACTGGACCTAACAGTCGTTTCTTTAGTTTCTATGAGGACCTGGGTGTGATGGAGGATATGTCCTCATTGGCTGTCATTGAAGCATACAATCGACAGATCTTGGCCGATCCTGATAGAACTCCAATATACTTGTCTGCTTTAAAGGCTATCGGTTTTCTGCGCGGTGGTGAAGACCAGCAAACTATCGACGCAGCTGTTCAGGCGGCTTATGAACAAGGAAAGTATGCGGTGGAGGACATTGTCAACGCGTATCAATACTTTAATCTTCACTTCGATGATCCAAACCTCACCGAGGATAGCATCATTGGCAAATTCTATGCATTTCTCAGCTCCACAAATCAGGATACCGAAGCGCGTCAGCAATTGTGGCGGATTGGCGACTCTAGAGGGAGTGCGCGCATCAAAGCGGCGTCAGAAGACCGTGTGTTAATCCAGTCATGCTATCTCCAGACTCGAACGCGTGCTAACTCTGAAAATAGGCGTTTCCACTGTCGAACAAGCCAATGTCTTCTTGGGGGTCGAGGATAACACCCCGGATGATTTTGTCATGACTATGTACACTGCAAAGGTGTGTTTACCGATCGTTTCATTGGTGAGTTGGGCGCGAGCTAACATTGTTATGAATTAGATCAATGACAATCCACTTACACAAGAACTGGCAAAACGCGCTGTGGCACTCATCGCCGAATCCCGTAAGTCGGTCGCGTTGAACCATTTCATCGATACCGGAGAGATGATTGCTGGTGAAATGGATATTGGGGATGCTTATCGCCTACTCCAAATCCCTGATCGAACTGCCGACGATGGGGCAATCATAGCCGCATATACAATCTGCGTCGATGAAAACCCAGGGGATGCCGAAAGATACAATCAGGCTCTCACAATTATTGCCAAACAACTGGACAGTCCTACATTGAGGAATATGGCAGGTATCTCCAACGAGCCTGATAGAAGCTTGCAAGATTGGCCCGTCGGACTACAAAACATCGGCAATACGTGCTATCTCAACAGCCTATTACAGTTCTATTTCTCTGTTCGGCCTTTCCGTGAGTTGGTATTGGATTTTGAACGCTTCCAGATGGATCTCAATGACGAGGAAAACCTCGCAAAGAAACAAGTGGGCTCCCGGAAGGTGACAAAGAAAGAGGTCGAGCGATCTCAGCGATGTAAGTTACTTTGTCGGCGCCGATGGCTATATGTCTTAAACTGACCGTTTCCTTCGCAGTCTTGAATGAGCTCCGGATTCTGTTCCGTAGCATGATAACTTCATCCCAACCCTCGGTCACTCCCGGTCAAGAACTTGCTCGGTTGACATTGATTAGCCCAAGCAATGAGGCGGCAATACGTCGTCGGTCAACGATCACTGCTACTAGGTCCGAGATGCTTGGTGACATCGACGGTGCTCCTGTTTTGGGGCCCCTTGGGCCTCCACAGCCTCTCCTTGGGGGTCGAATGGAGCCAGTTTCATCATCGAGCCAAGCTAATCCCGCGCCGATACAAAAGTCGACCGGCAGTGATCACGGCAGTGAAGCAACATTGGTCTCGGATAATAGCATGAACGATGCACCTGGACTCTTTGTTGAGGACAAGGAGAACAATCCTCCGGACATAGATCAGCTGTCGGACCAAGCAGAGGCAGGATCTGATCAGGAGATGAATATCGACCCAGACGACGATGTATCAGCCAATCTACCACCGCCCGTCCCCCCTCGCAACATTTCGCAGGTTGATCGGGAAAAGCAATTGAAGGAGGAAGTAGAAATCGGTGCTCAGCAGGACGTGACAGAAGTCATCAACAATGTTCTATTCCAGAGCCAGTGCGCCATCAAACCTCGTGGTATTGGCAGTGACGGTGAACAACTTGACCAAATCAAAGAGTAGGTTATGAACAATCGACCACTAAATTACCTGTGTTAACCTTCTCATCAGCTTGTTCTACGGTCAAACTCGCTCTTACATCTCCACCGAGAAAGGCACACGTTCGAAGGATGAACGATGGTGTGACATCAAGGTTGATGTTGCTCATGGATCTCGAAACATCTACGATGCCATCGATGGAGCATTCGACATTCAAAAGATTAGTGTCGACAATTCTGTGGCTGAACAATTTGCTTCTATCAGCCAACTTCCGCCCGTTCTCCAGATCCAGGTGCAACGAGTTCAGTTTGATCCCGTAAAAAAATGTTCGTTCAAATCTACAAACCATCTCGGGCTGCTTGAAACTATCTACATGGATCGATACATGGACACCAAGAATCCCGATGTTGTGGATCGACGAAATCAATGTTGGGAGTGGAAGGCATCTCTGAAAAAGCTTGAGGCCCGCCGAGAAGAGCTTCTTAGGACAAAGGTATCGAACGTTCTCAGTCAATGTGCCCCAGGTCTATATAACTAATATTTTTTCTTCTCTGCAGGACGGTGCTGGCGTCGACGTGGCAACATTGTTCCGTAGAGTCAAAACCGCACTGCAAGATGTGGACTCCATTGATAATGACATTGACCTGGGAGTCGAAATGGGATCCGACGAAATGAACCCTATGGCTAGTACGGAATTATTGGACGAACTTGAGAGCCTTGCCCATAAGGCAGAGAACGAATTACAAGGTAGGAGCTCCAGCATTGGGACTTGGCATAAGTAAGCATATTGACCCTTTCTAGCCATCGACCAAGAAATCAAGGATACGCAGATTATGATTTCCAACCAATTCGCCGATTTCCATAACCTCCCATATCAACTGTACGCTGTCTTTGTGCATCATGGGTCGGTGTCATTCGGTCATTACTACATCTACATTTTCGACTTTGACAAGAAGATATGGCGCAAATACAATGACGAGTACGTCACCGAGGTCCAGAACGTGGATGAGATCTTCAAGAGCAACTCGACCAGCAACCCTCCGACCCCGTATTTCCTTGTCTATGTCAACGATAGCATGAAAGACCGTCTGGTTAACCCGGTCTGCCGTGAGGTATCCGACAACATGACCGACATTCCTGGTCTGGAATCGGTCACCACCATGGAGGGTGTTCAGCCCACCAGCCCCGGGACGGACGTTAATATGGAACCTCCAAGTTATGAAGAAGCATTGGCCATCAATGGAACTCCAGGTACGGGAAACACCGAATCCACGGATGCGGCGACCACAACATGGCCCCGTCCTCGTCCTGCGACTGACTCGGAACAAAATTGGTAGATTCCAATGCGACGCCTGTCGATGCTGCAACTGTCAATCCTCTCAAACGCAAGAGTGTTGACGCCGAAATGAAACCAACACGTCCGACTTAATTTCTCACACAGTGTGGCACCCACCTGGACAGCATGATAACATGATTGCATGAATTCTCGATTCTCTTATGTCTGCACGTGGATATTACTGCATTGCGAGGTGCGAAATGTTTTTGTTATCCAGCATGTACATACACTGAAGATACCATGAAGTATTTGTAGAGTAAGATAGCAATTGATCTCTATGACATCCTACGTCCTGCGCTGTACTCCGTATATATGTTGTAGTATACCCCGGATGAACATATCAGATGACCTCAGCCATAGGAAGCTGACTCAGCACTGCCAGTTCCCCACTTGGGTAAGCCGCGGGATCGGATACGGATCGGCTGTGGATTTCGGCAGCCGCAAGAAGAAAGGTCAACCCGTCCAAACGGGATTCTGAAGGTAAGAGGTAGCTAAAAAAAAGAAGGCATATATGTAGAATTTGACATTACTTGGTCTGGCATGTCTCTAATAGTCAATCAGTTCAAAAGATCGAAATCAGGGTAGTTCATAGTAGGTGGACTTAGCCGGGAATCCACATTTCCGGGGAAAACGAATATCACTCGGGTATGGTTCCGCTCTCACTGCCGCTCGGGAATATAAGAAGTGGCTATTGCCGCTGCCATATGGCGTTGGCTCGATTTAATAACTTGCCGCGCACTTGGGGCAATTTGCTACTGTTCTTTTTGAATTCCAATTAGAAGTCATCCGCTATGCCTTCTCAAGTAGCAACATGTCTGCGCTTCGCGCGTCAGTTCTCAGCCAACCCCGTTCAGGTAAGTGATCTGCTAATGGCTCATATCGCCCATAGCACTTTGGAGTCGCGGAGACTGACATTTCTTACCTATCACCAGCACCAACGTTTTATGGCCCGCGCTTTCTCCAGCAGTATCCGCCGAAATGAGATCAACAAGGTGTACCCCTCCGCTGAGGAAGCAGTCCGGGATATGAAGTCCAACACGACTCTGCTCGCCGGTGGATTCGGATTGTCTGGTGTACCTGACTCCCTGATCAACGCTGTCCTGTCAAACTCCTCTATTACTGGCCTCACCGTGGCCAGTAACAACGCCGGTGTGGATGGAGCCGGTCTCGGTCTGCTCCTCAAGTCCAAGCAGATCAAGAAGATGATTGCTTCTTACGTCGGCGAGAACAAGACCTTTGAGCGCATGTACCTGACTGGTGAAATTGAATTGGAGCTCACTCCCCAGGGAACTCTTGCTGAGCGGTGCCGTTCCGGCGGTGCGGGCATCCCCGCGTTCTACACCCCCGCCGCCTTCGGTACCGTGGTGCAGACCGGTGCGGTGCCCCTGCGACACAACGCCGACGGCACAGTTGCATTGTTCAGCGAGCCGCGCGACACCAAGGTGTTCGATGGCAAGAGTTACGTCATGGAGGAGGCTATCAAGGGTGACTATGCTTTCGTCAAGGCCTGGAAGGCCGACAAGCTTGGTAACTGCCAGTTCCGTTACGCGGCTGCCAACTTCAATGGCGCCATGGGCCGTAACGCCAAGATGACCATTGTCGAGGCTGAGCACATCGTCGAGCCCGGCGAGATTGATCCCGCTGCCATCCACTTGCCCGGTATCTATGTCAAGCGTGTCATCCAGAGCACCTCCCCTAAGCAGATCGAGAAGTTCACCTTCGCCAAAGAGGAGGGCGCTGACACCTCTGCTCTCGGCAAGGGTGAGACCGCCAACAAGCGCGAGCGTATCGTCCGCCGTGCCGCTAAGGAATTCAAGAACGGCATGTACGCCAACCTTGGTATCGGTATGCCCATGCTTGCTCCCAGCTTCGTCGACCCCTCCGTCGAGGTGACCCTGCAGTCCGAGAACGGTATTCTCGGTCTCGGCCCTTACCCCAAGCAGGGCGAAGAAGATGCCGATCTGATCAACGCCGGCAAAGAGACTGTCACTCTCAAGCCCGGTGCCAGCTGCTTCGGCAGCGACGAGTCCTTTGGCATGATCCGCTCCGGCCGTATCGACCTGACCATCCTGGGTGCCATGCAGGTCAGCGCCAAGGGTGACTTGGCCAACTGTACGTTTTCCCACGCTTCCCCCGTCACATGGTGATAACTAACATTCTCTCGCAGGGATGCTCCCCGGTAAGATCAAGGGCTTCGGCGGTGCCATGGACTTGGTCTCCAACCCCTCCGCCACCAAGGTCGTCGTGACCATGGAACACACCGACAAGAAGGGTAACCCCAAGATTGTCAAGAACTGCGAGTTCCCTCTGACCGGCCCTGCGTGCGTCAGTCGTATCATCACCGACCTCTGCGTCTTCGACGTTGACTTCTCCCACGGTCTGACTCTCATTGAGATCGCCGACGGTGTCACCGTTGAGGAGGTCAAGGCTAAGACTGAGGCTCCCTTCAAGGTCGCCGATGACCTGAAGCCCATGCTGTAAATTTGCATGCAGATTATGTTTCTTTTCAAGCGTTTTGTGTATAGCAATTAGGAGTTAGATTGTTTCAAGTTTTATTCCCATGAATACATCCTGGATAAGCATCAAGAAGAACATTGCTCTGAACAAATTTCGTACATTGAGTAGAAGATATAGATATACAATAAACACAAACAGAAAACGGTATTGGTACATGTCATGCAACCCATCAAATAAAACCCCCATAATGCTCACCCAAACCCAACGAAACAATGATGAATCAAGTTTTCCGACGTCAAAAAGAAAAAGTCTATACACATAGCAAGAACAAAAGTATCACGTCAAGCGGATGATACCGGCCATCCTCTTCTTTAAACGGCCAAACCAATCGCGGTTCGGCGCCTCCGCAAACTCACGTACGACGTTGTCATAGTGGTCTGGATTACTGGCCGGCCGACGCAGCTTTTCCGGCATGGGATATTTGCGCGCGTAGCGGTTGTTTAGCAGCGATTCAAGTGCATTCACAGAGGACTCGGAGATTGCTGGGCTGGACTTGTCTGCTGACTTAAGACGAGATTCAATGTAGGATTGGACGGAAACCGAGGCTGGGCGGACTGCATCTGTGGGCCAGTGCTTGAGGATGTGTGTGAGGCGGGTTTGGAGAGAGCGCGGGTTAAGGCCCTGGATAGTTTGTTAGGGATATTGGTTGGAATTGAGCGTTGTTGATTTGTCGATGATATCATTTAGGATAATTGGGATGTTGGATTAGATACTCACAGGTGTTTTAGCCATGGTGGGCAAGAGATATTACAATATAATTGTTGTATAGGGGAAGGATATCTTCGGCGGAGATCTTTTGAAAGAGGCAAAGACGGGAATAGTCTATTTTCGCCTGGCGCATCAGGCATCCACAGCCACATCCATTCCTGTTGCCTTCTCATCAACCCCGACATTTTCCCATCCCCTTGTACTCTTGTTATATCGTTTTTGCATTTCGACCTAAGTTGTTTTTGTCTCATTTTACTCTCTGATTCTATTCAGGGTCGCTTCCCGCTCAGCTCGCCATGAGCTCGCAGCGCTATTCACGGGTACGCAATCCCCTCTGCTGATCCCCTATCAGAACAACCCCCGGATTGGACCCCACGGCAACATACTGATCTTTTTTTGTTTAGGTGAACGCCCAAGATGAAGAGGAAGGACCACATTCCTATCCGATGAACACGCGACCTGGAAATAACAACTCTTCACCTTCCTCTTTCCGTTCCGGATCTCGCTCATCGTCACCATCGTCGAGGCGGTTATTACACAACGATCCCCTTCATAACGATGATGACCAGACTCTAGCCGATGCTTTCGGCGACGAAGACGAGTCCGACGATGATAATGAGCCAGATGACAGACAGCGCTTGATGCGAGCCGACCCCGACTTCCGGGCTCCCCCGGATAATGGCCATACCACCACGGCATCCTCATCGGAGTTGATGGGTGCTACACAGGATCAGACTCAACCAGGGCTTCTCAGGCGACCCACGATGTTACCAACTTTTACGGCACCGCCTTTTGGAGGAAGTCGGCAGATCGCCTCATCGAATGATGGAGTTTTTGCCAATCTTGCCGCCAAGCCAGAACGGGGCGAGAAGAACGATGATCTTCCTCCTGTAAGTTGATGACTGGTATTCTTTGATATTGAAAGACTTGCATACTGATGCCCTATTTAGTCATACGAAGAAGCCGCCGCTGATGCGACACCGCCATACTGGGAGACCACCATCGTGGCTCCTGGTATCTCGTCCGACGAGGTTTACGTCGATGGACTACCTGTTGGATCTATTTTCTCATTTGTCTGGAACGCCATGATCTCAATGTCATTCCAGCTTGTTGGCTTCTTGCTGACCTATCTCCTTCACACCACCCATGCCGCAAAGAACGGCAGCCGAGCGGGTCTCGGTCTTACTCTTGTTCAATATGGATTCTATATGAAAGGCGGCAGCGACAGCTCGGGCTCCGATGGTGGAGGCACAGAGTATGTTCCTCCACCCGACCCCAACAGCCACAACTTCGATCCGAACTCGGTTGGTGAAAGCGCAGGCAGTGGAGGGAACGGCACCATATCTGGGATCTCCACCAGTGAATGGATTTCATATATTCTAATGATCGTTGGTTGGTTCATTTTGATCCGTGCGGTCAGTGACTTCCTGCGGGCACGACGTCACGAACAGCTTGTGTTGCAGAGCCCGGATCGTGGTCTGGGTGTACCAGTCATTGCAGAAGGTGAACGGTCCGAAACTGTTGTCTAATATCGATGTACATGGGATATCACTTCATTCATTTTTCTTAGGACGTGGACATGGACATGGAAATGTCAGGCGTTGCAGCATGGAGTTTCTTTTGTATCGACACCCCCCGAGGAGTTTTGCCTCCGGATTGCATTCCTTCTTCCCCCCCTTTCTTTATCGGACCTTTCTACTCTTATTTTTGACCGTGTAGCTATTCTGAAGATACCAAATATATGAACAATGAACAAAAGCAGGAATGTTTACGTAGTGAGGAGCTCAATAGCCTAGGTCGGGTTTTCTAGAATGCCGCTAACCACTTCAGCGGCTTCTGTAATCACAACCCTAGTTTCTTTGTCCAAAATCCCCTCTGTACTTAGAGCTCGCAGCCTCTCCCGCCACAATCGCCAACGCTCCCGCGTCAGCCCATCCTCTCTTGGCCACAGTTCCGTCGGACCATCTAACGCCGCCGCCCAGTGCTGTCGCAGCTCATCACCGTCCGTCTCCCATAGTACCTGGCCCCCATCCCGCATCCAGATCGCTGCTATACGGACATCCAGCGCCCACACCTGCTCCGATGACATTCTATGCGCTTTTGGTTGGCGGAGCTGGGGTCCCTCACGCTCTAGCACGTCACGGCACGCATAGAAGACGCAGATATGATGCACCTCGCCTTTGCCTTTCGTCGCTTTCAGCAGCGTACTCGAGAAGACGCAGAAGTGGAGAAAGTACTCGTCGCCGCTGCTACGTAACGCACTAACAGTAGAATTATCTCCCGCGCCCGAACGCACACCGTCCCAGTCACGCCAGGCCTCAAGGGTATCATGCACATCGCGCCACTGCGCGCTAAACAGCGGCAGTGTCTGCCAGTGCAGCTTTCCTTCGGCCCCGATGTATCTGCGGAGGCTGGATCCTGCGCGCACGTTAAGCTCTGTAGGTGGCTGCGCGTGGAAGGCGTCAATGAGGGTAAGATGAGGGTCATGCGATGCTGGAGAGGTGGCGACGGCCGTGAAAAAGGCGTCCCAGAGCTCCCAGAGCGCGTGAGCGGGGGCCGAAGATGAGGTCACAGATTTGACAAGTTGGGCAGCTGTCTCCTCTGGCGTTGGCGCCGAGCAAAGGTTGCTAGGTGTTAGAAAGGCTTGGATTGGCCTGGAAAAGGGATTTGGGGGGTTAGTGCCCGGGACATCCAGAATAGTTGTCATAGTGGAAGTTGGTAGAAGTGATGCTGGCTATTGGTGCATTTGCCCCAATCATAGGCGTCTGTTGGTGTTTTGGCGGCCATTTCTGGCCCCAACAGCGGTAACATCTGGCGTCAATTGCACTGATATCAATTTCTACCTTGTGTTCTGTAGGTGGCCATCCCAGTGGAATGGAGGCCCGAGGTGCCCACACACGCGTACTGCGCCACGATAGGCAGCATTCTATAGCCTTGTTCTATGCCCTTGCGTCCCTTTGTTTCTCGCTTGTGCAACTTCAACTCTGAAGAATAGAAAAGACTGAAAACCGAAAACCGAAAAAGAAAATAGACCAGGCCCCCTTCTTCCTTTTCCGGCGGAATGATCAACTCCGCCTACTGCCGAGAGACCCATTGTTTATTTGCCCTCAACTCAACATAACTTCTATCTTTCAGTATAAACTTGTGTTTCTTGCCGGGGTGGATCGCGGCCTTGTCCGCAATGTCTACCGTCCCCCAGGGCCCCATCGAGGCACGATCATTGTCGTCGGTCACCGCTATCGCATCGAATCCCCCCCGCCTATCCACGAAATCCCACTCATGAGAAGCATGAACCGCTGTCTCTGTACATTGTGCGTGTACCTGGAAGCAAAGGTATGATTCAATTCCACCAAGTCGTTACTCTGATCTCTATCTTGGCCGTGAATGTCCCATGGTTGCGCCTTATCGCGCTTTAACCAAATGAAGATAAACCAAAACTAACTGTTGATATGTACAGACATATTCCTCTCGCCTCTCAAACCACCAACCAAATCCAGTGTCTCTGCTGAGGCGATCAATGCCTCTCTTTACTATCTCCATGTCGCGACTCCCGAGGATGATACCCTACTCCAGGAAGTAGAGGAAGAGCGCCAGGAGGAGGCCCAATTGCGGAAGGAGCGCCTCCAACAAGCGGGCGCTGGCGATCCAGCACAACGCGAGTTCGCGCGTCTGAACAATGTGCGCCGGAAACCAGTTGGAGGAGGGGACCCCAATCCCGAGCCTTTGGTGGCACCACCTCCACAGGATACCACTGCTCCTCCGTTCTTACCACCACGTCCAACCCCAATACCGCAGGATGAGTCTGCCCCTCCAGCCTTGCCCCCACGTCCAGTTCCTATGCCGCAGGTTACTGCAGAGAATGTATCTTTCTCTGGGACGCCAGTCACCAATATACAGCCTCCTTTGAGCAATAATGTGTCTGGAAAGGCCCCGGTAGAATCGGGCGATCAAAGCACTGCCCCGCGGCGACCTTTGCCTCCCTTGCCGCCTGGAGAAGAGTCATGGACCACTTCAGCAGGCGAGGATCCATCTAAGAGAACATCGCGATGGAGTGCGTTCGCCGAAAATTTGCAAAACCGAGGAGAGAACTGGAGGGGAAAGTATGAGGCTAAGTACGAGGCGCTATCGGCTGGCCGTCACAGCCTTGACTCTCCTAGACCGCAATTCCGGCCTCGTTCCTCGTATGACCGTACCGGATCACCATTAGGGAGCCCCGGGCAATCTCCCAATCGGTATAGAAACGCACATAGCAACACTCCCAGCAATAATGGGTTTCATATCACGCTCATCCGACGTGATCCCACGTCGGGTACACAATGGAATGTGGCAACTATTTCAACCCCACGAATGGATCGCAATGCTGTTGATATCGAGATCTCCACGCCGGGATATAACAGGTTTGCAGGCTCCAATGAGATGCCTTCACTATCCAGCCTGGCAGCCAATCTCCCGTTGGGAATCGGACGCCTACCCAACTCTACCATGCCCCAATCCTTACCCAGCGAGCAACCAAAGGAGCAACCAACCGGCCCACGCAAATTCCACCGCCAGCTCTGCGTATCAAAGCCATACGACGACTCCGTCGCCACAGATTGCAGCAGCGGCCACGTCCCAGATAATCCATCCTCATCCTCCAAGCTCAAAAGCGGCTACTACGTCTTCACTTCTCCCTGGAATGGCATATGTACCTTCACAAACAGCGTGAACGGCCGAAGCCTCAAATGCAAACACATGATCCCAACACCCGGCGGTTTCGTCCCTCCCAATGGCGAGTCAGAAGCACCCCCCCGCCGTAACTGTCGCCGAGCTCCGCTTCAACACTCCCTTCCAAGCAGCAAACCTGCACTCCCACGCTTATCACGCAGCCCACAAACCCCATCCAAACCACCTCTCCCCCTTCACCCAAAGCCAAATCCAGTCTCTTCCCCGCCCCAACGACAATCAGAACGAGAACGCCCTCGGCCCCGATGGAGAACCTCTCCGCCCATCATCCTCCAGCAACAGCTACGCATCTGCAAAGCGCAACTCCCTCTCCTACCTCCTAAACCCAAACACTTACGCCCGTCCGCGCGCGCACACCGGCCCAGGCGCACCCCCACCTCTTCCCGTCTCACCCCCCACAGACTCGCGCCAAAGCTTCCACCCCTCAACCCTCCTCCGCAGGACCTCTCTACGTGCGCAACGCTTTGCGCGTCAAAGCCAGTTATACCCCGCTGCTCAGTCCCACTCCCACCGCAGTACGAGTAATAGTAGCGGTGGGGATGTGGATTATGACTCCGATGAGGATCGCTTGGATCTTTCGCTTGCGAGGGAGCCTGCTGGTGGTGGGTTAAGGGGGAAGAGTGCGAAGCTAGGGAAGTTGGTTATTGAGGACGAGGGGATCAAAATGCTTGATTTGGTTGTTGCAGCTTGTATGGCTGTTTGGTGGAGGGGCTATTATTACTGAGATATATTGGTTTCGGTACTAAAAATTCCTCGCTTGCTTTGTGGGCCTTCTTTGCTGGCTATGGTCAGTTAGGTTTGCGATAAAATCATACATGAATGCATGAATCTCATTTTGTCTACTTTATTCCTTTATTGGTTTATTTCCAAGACTTGTTATATACCACTTGTGATCGCTTGCATGTCTGAATTACCTACCGTGTTATATGTCACATTTCTCTCTCCGAGCTCCAGGATAGTAGCCTATTTGTAGTCTGGTCTTGAAAACTGCTCGTATGGCAGGCTGGGCTTATCTATAGTTCCCCTCCTGATGGTCGGTCAAAATATCCAGTGTATAAACCATAGTCAACACTGTACAATGTCATATAGATCCTCTACCCAGACAGTCTAAGAGATGGGGCATATTTGCACAAGTTCCAGCGTCAGAAAATATACGTAGCACAATCTAACAGTAAGCACATATACATCTCATAGACAAATTAGAAAAAACATCGACTGCGCGATCGCCCTAAATAGTGGACATTTAAATAAACCCAGACCCGTCGACAACGTCATTCGAACACCCGTCGCAGATCCCATACATCCACGTGACTTCCCAAAAGCGTAGGACCAATGATATACCGTTGCAGGACCCACATTAGTACACCCTCCATAATAGATCTGTAAAAAAAAAAAAAAATAGGTAGCTTCTCTTTGATTGAGCGTGTCATCCTTAGTGCAGGGGCCATGCTAATCTTCTCTGTATATTTTCAGTTGACCATATGCCCCGAAGGGCGAAATATCTATTCCTTCAGTTCGTTATAACCTCACTTTATGGCAGAAAGTAACCGCCTACTACTTTGGTGGAGACAGGCACGATATCGGGCACGTGGCTTGGCACGTGGGCATCTGCCGAGTTTGGGTATTGCTTTGTTTACAACCTCAAGGGTATGGTTCAAGGTACATATAAAGTGGTATTTAGTTCCTAGAGAATAAAAGTTTGGTGGATCAGGGTTGGAAAGGCCTGCTTTTGATAAGAAATCGGGTTATTTACCTGGGACTTATGATACGGCCGAATCCCTATGGAAATTGAGGGTAGTATTAGTGTGAGAGCTTTGTTCTTTGAAAGACATCCTCTTTGACACCTGATGAGAAGGGAGATTTCATTGGCAATCTATCTAATGATGAACCTACGTGTAAGAGATGTAATGCAGAGAGTAATGCCATAGTCAGAGACATCAGTATCATATCAAACCAGGAGCCACAATCAATATATCCTTGGAAACAGTCGAGGGATTCAGATATGAGCATGAAGGCCATATAAGAGAAAAGGGCACGCACAAATCCAAGCCTATGAATTTGGACGAAAGCCCGGACCGCAGAACAAAGGGAAAGGGGAAAGTCGTGTTCGAGATTGCAGTAAGAAATGAAGATCGAAAAGTGAGAAAACCCCATATAAATCGTCCCAGTCTTTTTTGTTTCTCAGGTATCTCTTGGCTAAATTAGATCAACATGCAGGGCGCGATAGAAGACACGATCGGATTCAACACGCCGAACAACCAACAAGACGAGAAGAAAAGCAGAAAGAAAAAAAGGTATCAACGGTGATGCACGTCCATGCCGCGCTGCAGCGAGGATTCCAAGTCATTAGGGTTGTAACCACCGCCAGCGGTAGCCTCCTGAGGTCGAGGATCTTCGGTCTTCCAAGGACCCTGGTGGTTATCTGGGATGGGGATGTTAGTCTGCTGAGCGATCTGCTGCTGCTGGGCAGAGTGGGCCTGCGATTGCTGGCGCACGGTAGCCCGGAAGCGGATGACCTCGTCGAGGATCATCTTACGCATGTCGGCGACTTCTTCGACGACCTCGAAGTGGAAGTCGAAGGTCGTGGGACAGTTTGGCTCGTCCGAGGCGTCGTGCCAGATGTGCAGGTAAGGGTGCTCGAGAGCCTCCTCGACGGAGATACGAGACGACGGATCGAACGCCAGCATGCGGTCTAGCAGGTCCAACGCATCGGGGTTGGCTTGCGGGAATAGCTGCTTGAAGGCTACCTTGGGCATGAAGGGCAGGTTGCGCACGTATTCCTGGGCACGTGGCGATCCAATGCGCGCCAGAGTCTCTTCATTGGGTGTACCCAGGTAGTGCAAGATCTGGTTCAGCTGGTCAACATAGTCACGGCCCTTGAAGAAGGGTCGGCCGCCAAGGAGCTCGGCGAGAATACAGCCCACCGACCAGACGTCAACTGCACATGTGGGGTTAGTGGATATTCGGTGGCAAAAAAAAATTACGCACGGTGTTACGTACTCGCTTTGGTATAGCTCTGGAAGCTCAACATGATTTCCGGTGCACGGTACCATCTCGTCGCGACGTATTCAGTCATGTATCCTGCATTCTCCTCCGGGTCGATTGAGAAACCACGGGCCAAGCCGAAATCGCAGATCTTGAGCTCGCAGTCGGCATTGACCAGCAGATTACCGGGTTTGAGATCACGGTGCAGGACGTTGGCGGAGTGGATATACTTGAGACCACAAAGGATTTGGTAGATGAAGGATTGGAAGTGGGCATCGGTCAAGGGTTGGCCAGAGCGGATGATAGCGGCCAGATCGCATTCCATCAATTCTGTAGGATTATTAGTCCGGCTCTATTCGAGGCAAAGCAGCCACCTACCCTCATAGAGATATGTTTCGTTAAAGTTGTCCGGTCGGGGAATATCCATATCGTATAGGCATGTGATCTAGAGGGTTGAGTTAGCTGGAACAGGTACAGTTGATAAGGATATGCTGCCTACATTGCGATGGCCACGGAAATGCTGAAGCAACTTGATCTCTCGCAAAGCCCGCTTAGCCAGGATCTTCTTGCTGAAGACATTGGTGACCTTCTTGATGGCGACACCCTCGCCGGTCTGGATGTTGGTTGCGGCGCTTGGATACTATCAGCATATGTGTCCGGTACCTTCGCGCATTTGACTGAAAGAATACCTACCACACGATACCGTAGGCTCCTTGACCAAGCTCTTTTGTCACATTGTATTGCTCGCTCACAATAAAGTCCTGGTTGAAAACTTTGAAGACCTTCCGGCCTTGTAAATCAGCCATGGTCACGGTTGGAACTATCAAGACAAAAGTTGAAGAGAAACGAGAGTGCAGGTACAGAAGATAAAAGAGAGAGAAGAGAAGAGAAGAGAGGGAAGAGGACAGAGAAAGGAAAGGGGAAAGTCGAGATGTGATGGGATTGAAAGAGCCCCGCAGTCCCCCGCGGGTGATCCGCCACGCTTGAGCGTTAAGGAAATGAAAGAAAATCTCCCAACTTGGGAGCGTTTGGTTGATTCTAAAGATGAACTGCAATTCAGAAAGAGATATTCGAAAAAGAGAATGCCCTCAAAGAAACTCGAAACTCGAGACAAAGACCCCCCCAAAAAATCAGATGTTTCAGTGGGTTGCCTCATACAGCGCTTATATGGGTCTACTATATTTCCTATCACATCCATACTTGTACACTTAATCTAATGATGAATTCTGTCTTGGCATAATTTCTGGGCTTATAATTGGTCATATTCTACCTTTCTTTCTTTTTTTTTTACAAAATTTATGCCTACCACATAGTCTGCATCTCAGCTGTGCCGACTCGCCCAGCATGTTAACTCGAATACAGTCACTACGCCAAAGTGTTAGCACCCCAGATTCTGCCGGCCAAATATCCACCAATGGAAGCCGATGAATCACGGGCGGTATATCCCATCAAGAGGGCGGTAGCGGACGTGTATTATTGTTGGGAAGGAATGAGCTACCCTAGAATGTAGAATGTAAAGAAAATGATCTGATACATGCACGTGAACTTATATTTCAATCTTGGGCAAAGCTGGACTGAAGGGAACGATAGGGAGATGCGTGAAGGAAGATCTCTAGACGGAGTATATAATGGGTCCCAAACATGTAAGATCATCAACTTGAAGTACCCCAACACAGATTTCCCAGATTGCTTTCGTCTCAGAGGACATAGTCACACTTGCTTTACACTTTACCAGGGGGAAGACTTTGGTGGGCTACAGTGTTTGCTCCAGTTGACGCATTCTGTGATCGATTCCTCAACATCCTTGAGAACCATCTTCCCTGGTGGTCAGCTGGAGGTGACAAACTTGAAGCTCGGGATGTGCTTTGAGTGGGTTCTTGATTCCCTCTCACACCTCTTATCAATTCTGGAGGCTCATCATCAGACGCGAAGCCGCTATTTTTCATTTCCCGGGATGCGTCTTCCCTGCCTGGCAGCCCCTTACTAGTAGCTTGCTTTTTTCTCTCTTCATCAAGCATCTCTTGACGTTTCTTGAGCTGCCTCTTGATTTCAAACCGAAGCATCCAGAAACGCGAGATCTTCTTGGAAGCATCTGCTCTGAGAACGAAGGGCACAGAGACTAAAAAGAAAGCAACTGCAACGCCAACTATCGCCCGGATGATCAGATATACGACATGGAATACTTTTTCCTGAGTCGAAGGACTTACAGATGATTGGAAATATCCACGAGCTCTTAAAAGCCACAGTTTCACCCTCATGAGGAAATTCCTTGACATTCAAGGCGAAAAGACTTGCCAAAAAGGAAGCCGGTAGCTTTTTTTATTATCGCTGGTTAGTAACTGAACGCGCAAGATTTCAAAGACTGACACTTACAAATATGATTGTAACAACTGTAAAGACCATGACACTGTCACTCTGTTGGCGTGTTGTCCGGGCTTCGATGATTGTGGCTTCCCTTTGCTTCAGATCCAATAGTGATTTGATGGCCTCTTGGACACCTTGTGCATCTCCAATCATTGTTTTAATCGTATCCAGCCTTTCTACCAGATGAGGGAACTTGAACCGGGTTGTCTTAGCATCTTGCTCGATGCCTCTCCAAAGGCTATACACGTGTTGTTGGTTTTCAACCAAATTCCGCAGTATGTTGAGCTCGTCCAATATGTCTTTCACGTCCACCAAAAGCTTCGTTTCCGTCAAAATGTCGTCATAGAGGTTTTCTCCATCTTTCTCTGTCAGGAGATCCCACAATATTCGAATGTAAACCCAAGAACCCGCGTGATCAGAAGTGGCAGGCTTATCCGAGTCCAAGATGCTATCGGTGTCATCTTCCGATTCATCCGTAGCACCAAAATGAGCTTCGCACTTTTCTTTTTTGAGCCTATTCTCGAATTCCTTGAACAGTCTTGCTTCTTGGTCGCGCTTTATTTGATTAGTATCATCTTCATGTCAGGGGTCGGGTTTCCTTTAGCGCAGTACATACTACGTGCTGAAAGGATTCTCGGAACACATCCAAGGGAGACTTCTTGCTGTTATAAACAGTTTCAATCTCTTGAGTATCGAACAGCTTTGCGGCTGTGTCCATGATCAATTCCGCAATATCTCTGGCTTCAAGATTCAAGCTACCATTCTGATTAGGAAGTTCCCGGAGGACCCGCTGGAGAAAAGGATACTCGACTCTCTCTGGCTCCTGTGTCGTGCTAGTTATAATGGTATCTAGACAATAGTTAATGACTGATGGAAACAGAAACCAGATCAATCAAAGCCCTTAGATAGTGCTCCAGCAGCATACCGTCATCAAGAACCCACAACCATAGCTGATCTACTAACAGGATCTGCTCTTTGATCGCTGCTTGTTTTTAGTACAAGACAATTGAAGATTTGTTAATCTGTTTCATACCTATTCTCCTCACATCTTCCTGCTTTGTAGTTCCGCGATCCACCTGCAAGTCCTCTTTTTTATCGAGAGTTTTGTTTTTGGCGAGAGCTTTGTTTTTGGCGAGAGCTTTGTCTTTATCGAGATTTTTGAAATATCGACTGAGGACCTGATCGCGATCTCTGGCGTCTGTGTCCTCAAGGGCAGCGTAGTAGTATTGGTCAAGTGTCAGAGATTGATGAATGAAGTTCTGTTTCTCAAGGTTAAAATAAAATTCTCTTTGATTTGATGCCACAATCACACACCTTGAGCCCAAAGCCCGGCCCTTCACTTCCTGAAGTTTGAGGGCCTTCAAGCCTGGTTGGTGACATTCCTTGTTGGCTCTTTGTAGGTTTTCTCCCCCAAGACAAGTATGGCATCTGAGTTGCACGATCAGCGATGGGAAATCAATAGAAGTGAGGTATTGCTACCCACGTAGAGTGCAGTCAGATCGATATGTTCCCTTGATACCTTTCCCTCCTTCTGGAAGCTACTGTCTATTTGAATGTTTGTGTCTTTTGATCGATTATTCGTGATCTAGAAAGTCAGGCTCCACTATAGTCAAAGCCATCGCTTACTCACTTGACAATGCGGACTGATGTAGTGGTTCCCTCCTCCTGCAGCAAGCTCCGATATGCTTTTCCGCACAGAAGCTGTCAACGCGCGATACGAGCCCACGTTTCTTTTCTTCTCTTGGAATAGCCGGACCATCAACTCCTACCAGAAGTCAGTACATCCAAAATGACCTCGAGCGTAGTGAGGCTGATGACCTGAACGTAATGTAACTGTATTCAGATCAGCAAAGCTAAGGAAACCCACTTGATGGCCGTTGATGAGATTTCATTCATTCTTACATTGTTCACAGGAATATGTATCCATCTGATTTTCTTTTTTGCAATTCGGGTCCCGGTCAGCCCCTCTCCTGTGTTCTGAATCTTGTTGTTCTTATTGCGCGGATGCTCAAGGCCTTGAGAAGTGTCTCCGGATCTGTCGGGGTGGAAGATAATGTTCTTCAATGCTTGGTAGGATGGGGCCGCCTTCCTCTCTTTCATAAGGCGTTCAGGCCCAGTATCGTATATGATGGCGTGCAATGACTTCCTCATCTGCTTGTGTATCACCTGGTTCCCTTCAACAAAGAGGTCTAGCACAGTGGCTGTTTGTTGATCGTTGACTAGAATCGAACGATGAAACCGTGGAGACTCTGTGTCACCTTTTCGTAGGCGCACCGGAGGAGGGCTCTCTATGAGCTCCTGGATCTGCCTCTCAACCTCGACTTTTCTTTCAATCTCCCGTTTCTTCGTTTTAATCGTTGCTGTAGACTCTCTAACAATTTCAATCCTCTTTTGAATTTCTTCAACCGCAGCAGCAGTATCTTTTTGACTCTCCGTTTCCACTTCATTTCCCAGAGACTGGTCAATTGAGGACGCTGAATTTTCAGCTATCTTGGGTCTTTCATCGAACAATGACTGCAGATTTCCCATCCGCTCTTCAAGGTCAGACTGTATCGAGTATTGCAACATGATAAATCCATCGTATGACTTTAGTAGGTCTCTATCGGTCTGATCGGAAGTCCATAATCCCATGGTCTTCTCACATTCTCTGATTTGGTGTTCAGTGAAATACTTCCCACTCGACAGCAGCCAATGAACAGCAACAGGATGTTTCTTGTCAACAGCCCAGTGCAGATGATTGTTTGAGTCGTTGAGTTTGAGTGTTTCTTTCAGACTGTGAAGAGATTCCCGGCTTCCTGCTGCTTGGTCGAGAAAGATAGTATCTCTCCATAGCACGGTCTTGATGACAAGCTCTGCATTCTCGTTGCAAGGGAGCTCGAAGTATGCAGAATCATTGACAATTGAGATCACTACCTTCCACAACCGATCCTCAAGAATTTGAAAGCAATTTTCCTTCGGGCTCTCGGCAACTGTCTTTGATGAAGTCTGCATTGCTTTTGCAACAGTGAGGGTAATCAGGTTATCTTCTCCTTCTGTTTCTTGAATAATTGCCTGCAAAACCTTTGTCCGTGGTTCCTGGCCTCCTGTCACCTGGTCGATTATATTTCGGACAATTTCATCCCCGGTTTCTTGTTCTCCGGATTTCGAGTGTATTCCAGCGAGACGTGAAAGGAGATACAAAACCAACTCATCGTGACCCATCCTAGCAGCAACTTGTAATGGCGTTATACCTGTAGCTGCTTCGGCCTGGAGGAAGTCATCCCAGAATTGGTCAGGCTTTTCTTTCCGTGTTCTGGGGCTCTTGACAACCAAATCGTGGATCTCATCCACAATATCGCATTCTCCGACAAGAGCAGCGAGATGCAACCAATTTGCACCTTGCTGAACCCCATTTTCGCCCAATGCAGGAAATGACCCTTCATATATGTCAAGTCTTAGCAAATCTTTGTCACGATTCAATATCGCCCAGCAGATGAGGGATTTAATTCGGCTATCTCTCTTGGTCTGTGCCATCTGTTCCTGGTTGACATTCTCATCCTGAGTGGCCTTCTTCTTTTGGTCGTGCTCTTTTGGTTGAACCCATTGTCGCAGCCAATGAGAAACCAAAATTATCTCCCAATCTGAAAGGTCTTTTGTTGGATTTTGAACAAAGGTTTGAGGAAAGTAGTGATCAGACTCCAAGATTTGAAATATGACATCCTCTTCATCAGAGTGAATCGCACTACACAATGGTGTCTCGTCATAAGAGTCTGTCGCAAAGATTGAAATTTTCACGCGGTCTGGTTGATCACCCAAGAGAACTCTGACAATCGAAGTGTCTCCGTTGTAACAGGCCATATGTAACGCATTCCTTCCCTGGTCATTTGTCGCCGCTTGATTTGCTCCACGTTTCACAAGAGACTTGACAATAAGCTCATGTCGTTCTATAACAGCCCTGTGCAATGGTGTCATTTCCCAGAGGTCTTTGGCCTCAATATCCGCCCCATTATCGCATAGGTAGTCAACAACATCAGTGTGTCCATTTTCACATGCGATGAGAAGAGCAGTTTTTTCTCCTTCGTATCGATACTTTATCAGCCCATTCCAGCCTTTCAAGAGCTTCTTGATGAGTTGCAGACACCCTTTGTTTGCAGATTCACAAAACATGCTGGCTGTATCCATGTCTTTGGTGTCAAAATCCTGCTTTCTGGTTAGCAAATAGTCAAGAATTTCAAGCTGGTTCGCCTCAATGGCGAGGTCCAGTGCTTTTCTTCCAGACTGATCCTTCTCGTCTAGAAGGTCATTTTGATTTTGCAGAAGTTTCTTGAAAAGGTAGACATAACCTTTCTTTGCAGACTCAAAGAAATCCTTTTGCATATTCTCCTCCGGTACTTTGATATCTTTCAGAGAAGAGTCTTTGTTCAAGGAAAGCAGATACTCAAGGACTTCAAGTTTTTCTGCCTGAGCTGCAAGATTGATGGCAGTGTCACCGTGCACGTTCAGGCGCCCTCCCAGTTTTTCTTTGGCGAGTGAGAGCTCCCTGACGATCTCAATGTGTCCATGCTTTGAAGCAAGATGCATGGCAGTGTTTCCTTCGTGATCCAAAGCCTCAGGATTTGCTCCATATTCAAGCAAGGACTGAGCCGCAGTCTGTTGACCGCATCTGACTGCGATCAAGTAGGGAGTCTCTTTCGAAGTATTTGTCGCTTCTAGTAGGTCGGTTTCAGGAGGTTTCTGGTCAAGCAAAATCTCGACGATATTTATCCTCCCAAAGCTCGCAGAAAGGTGAAGTGCAGTATTGCCTTCTTTGTCTCGTGCTTGTAAGTCTGCTCCATGATTGACCAAGAACTGGAGAGCGTCACCATCTCCCAATTTGGCCGCGGTTAGGTATGGGGTCTCGCCAGAAGCGTTTTTCATCTTCAGCATCTTGTTTTCAGCTTCATTCTGAGAACATAGCGCCATTAGCATACTTGAGTCCGGCCCTCTTGTACAGCTCACAGCAAGGTGCAGTGCTGAGTTCTCGTACGCGTCAGTAGCTTCGAGACTTGCGGCATTCTGAAGTAGATATTCCACCACCTTATATTTGTCAAATTGAATTGCCGCCAGAAGAGGTGTCTCTTCGGCTCCATTTTTTGACTCACGAAGTTTGAGTTGCATTTCATTTTCCACAAGCAGCTTGACCGTTTCAAGAGAGCCTTTCCTCGCAGCGAGGTGCAATGCGGTATCTTCAGTTGCATCCCGCGCTGATGCATTTGCTCCCTTATCAAGTAAGAATTTAGCAGAAGAGCCTGCATCAAACTTAGCCGCGGTGAGAAATGGGGTTTCGCCGAGTTTGTTTTGCATCCCCAAGAAGTCAATTCCCTCGGGTCTCTTGGAAAACATTTTCTCAAGGCTGTCACGTTGATCATGCTGGGCAGCGAGATGCATTGCTCCATCTCCATCGGCATTCTGCGCTTCTAGCTTTGCTCCGTTCTTGAGTAAAAGCTCAACCATAGCCACTCCTCCCCACATGGCCGCGATGTGAAGAGGAGTGTTCCCAGAACTGTCTTGTTTGTTCAATGCTGAAGGATTTCGTTCTATGAGCTTCTCGGCGATCTCGGTGTACCCCTGCATGGCAGCCAGGTGAAGCGCTGTATCACCATCAATATCGGTGGCATCGGTATTTGCGTTGTATTCAAGTAGGAGGTTGACGGCATCCAAATTGTTATTGAATGTCCTATCAAGGAGTGGTGTCCACTCATACCGTCCCTTTCTCGACTCTAAAAGCTTAAGTGTTTGTTTTCCCTTGAGTGTCTGTTTTCCCTTTTCAAGAATCATTCTTGCAATGCTCTGGCTTTCTTGCTCAAGCAGAAGAGCAAACTCAAGTGTACTCAGATCCTCATCCTTCGCTTTGGCCAAGATATCGGCATCATAGTCGAGGAGTACTCTCACAATTTCCGAGCGGCCTAAACGTGCGGCAAGGATCAATGGAGTCAGATTTTTGTCAACAATGCTCGGTTCTTCCGAATTGAATGCATAACTGAAGGTTTCCTCGACGAGGCTAGGGTCTTTCTTAAGCAGTGATTTCAGAGTTTCTGCGTCGCTGTCACGAATTGCGTCTTTGACTTTTTCCGTCTCACTCCTTTGATCTTTAGGGGAAGCAGGAGATGGGTTCCCAGCTGGGGGATCTATTGCCAGTGATGTTAGCAAAGCGCCTGATCCGCCTTATACATGTAACTTCTTACCAGGTCCTTCAGTAGGATTGTCCATGGCGTAAAACTACTAGCAGCAAGTTTAAGATTGAGATGGTGATAAAAAGGTAGGGATCGAAGTTGACGATAAAAGACCACGGGCGCTTCGCTTTACTGATATACTACGCCCTCATTAGTCACTGAGAAACAAAAGCAAAGGACGTTCAGCTGAGTGCTGTCTCACTTGTTGATTGGTAAGGCGAGAAGCCACTAGCCCTGCAGCGAAACGCAGATGTCTACACAGGGCAGCCAGCATGTGGACTTGAGATCTGTTGACGTGGACAGAACCCTCTGGTCACTCCATATGCAATGTTTGCTATCGATCCGATTTTCCAACCGCACTCTTGCAAAATGGACTGTATTCTCACGGCTCCATGGAAGATTTCCAATTTTCTATTAGATATTTCAACACTTTTTCAAATCCCCAAGACTCTCGAAATACAAAATGATTTTGAGCGATGAGATCTGCAACAGAGATAAGTTCATGCAGCTGCATCACAGCGTTCATGCGGCTGGTAGCACATTTGCTCCCACGCGACACACGGCCCATCCCGTCCCGTCCAGCTCAATACTTTTTCTCCTTGATGCCTGGCCATATCAATTGTCGTTGAGCACTTCTTCAATAGAAGTCGAGGGCTTCAAAGTAATTGAAGAGCCACACATGAAAAATTACCCCTGTGTGCACTGTCTATACATTTGTGCTCGTCTTATCGAGCATTTTGACAGCGTAGCTGATATGCCCTAGGATTTGATCTTCGGGATCATTACAGGAGTTATTCCCTGGACGTACCCAGCCACTCCACCATGGATCTACAATCCTATATATCTTGTATGTGACTGCTCACACGAGTACAATAGTGCTTGGTACGAACACATCAGCTTTACGGAGCTCCCCGCATTTACTCCGTGCTCCGTACGGAGTACTCACTGACAGCCATACCCCGTACAGGCGCCGAGTGTCTCATTTCAAGACACTAGTGCCGACCTCACAATGTTTGTGAGTATCAGCAGCCGATATGCTCCTAATGTCGGGACTAAATCTCCCAAATACGAAGGGACGTATCTGAAGTACCAATCATCATTACACATGGGTAGCTTGGATTTTACGAGGCCCATTTTATCTTGCGAGTTCCAGGCTACCAGTGCCAGCTTATCATGGCTAAAGCTTGGAGCGTTGAATGCCGGAGCAACTTAAGTATGTTAGAATGTATATAAAGCTCTGAGATGCAAGACTCAGATTTCAAAAAAGGACCAGATAGATGTCCTACCGTGACGCATCATGCACGCTAGATTAGTTCAACCTCGACTACAAACCGTACAGCAGCCAGATCCAAACTTACGCTTTGGAAAACATTGGGATCAGACTATCCTGATCAACAGGAGCTACAGAATAGAATGAATAGAATACTTCACAAGAATAGTCATGTGCCACCCACAATGTACCAAGGGGGGCTGAGTGACAACGTGCATTCATCGCTCGCCTGCAATATCTAAGGACAGAAGACCAGGATCTCAAAATAGATCTGAAAAATCTGAGTCATGAACCCTGCTCGCTATCAGTAATACCATATTGGTCTCTCATTTTCTTCGTATGTTTACACTGAATGTGAAATAACCTCTGGTTACTCCGTACTACTAGTAGAGATGCTATAATCAAGCTACTCATCAAGGCTACTTGATTCAACCTACTATCAGCTTTTCTTCAATGCCAGTCCCGTTTTAGATTCATTTTGTTGATCTAGCCTATCATAGTACGACGATCATGGACTGAAATAGATAAGAAATCATATAAACGACTCAAAAACGTGGTAGTCCAATAACTACGACCTCGGGGTAATTTGATCACTTTTTCACCAGGCCCAGGCTATAGAGGCTTTCCCTAGGCAGCAATCACCGCATCAACATTGTAACGAGGCGTCCAGCCCAACACACTAGTCCCCTTGTCCACAGGCCCCAAAGAAGTTCGACCCAACATGTAAAAAAGCAACGCAACACGCGGATCAAAGAAACCCGGGATCTTCATAACAAACTCACAAGAATACTGCATGTAGAACACTTTTGAGCCCTAGCACCCAACCGCTCCCGCAAAACCAACGAACATTATCCGACGACAACATGTATAGAGGACGTTTCCCTCGCTTTGGGATCCGTCATAGCAAGAGGATGCATATTAGCCACATCTCGAACATCCACGAGCGGCCATTGCAAACTCGGACATCCCGGAACAGCCCCCTCTGAATAGGCAGGAGATCATCTCGATGGATGAGGTGTCCAGCGCTAAAACCGGACCCGCAATCATGCCGGGATCAATTACCCACAGCTCACCACCTTCATTCTTGATGAAACCCCAAGCAGCGCGCTCTGCCAATGGTTTGTTTTTCGCGTACGCGCCGATATCCCAGGTGTCAGCATCTGTCCAATCTTTCTCGGGGGAAACCTTTTTTCAATCCTGACATCCATATCATGCTTGGATAACTGCAATGGATGAAGTTACAACAACCCACTTCACCTTGGTGTCGTGCGCGGCTCGGAGGACACGTAGACTCTGGAGTGCCTTTGTTGGCGGGGGGTTTTTATTTTGTCCTTTCTGGACCCCGAGAAAGGCGTCACTTTTAGTGGTGCTTAGATGAAGTCACATGGATTTGAGCGATGGTGTCTCGTGCGGTGGCGGAGACGAAGATGGGTTGGGACTCGAGTACGAATGGCAGGTATGAAAGATGACTGTTACTGCGCATCAGAAGGGTTGAAGTGAGCTTTGCGACATCCATGTGCTTCGCTTTTAAGTGTAAGCGTGTTAACATCGCCAGGAAAAGTCCGGTACATAGGGAGAGTAGTTATCCTTCCCACTTTCTTTTCGCTGTCGACTTACGAACTTGAGAAGCGGGAAAGGTTATCTTGACTACATAGAACATCTGAAAAGATCACTCGAAAGACTTGACCAAGCTGTACAAGCGTCCAACTGTCCTCATTCGTTGTTTCTTTGTTATGGGAGGTCATCCATTAGGCTCAACTTTGAAAAGACACTCTCCTAAACAGGGACTCGTCGATCTGAGGTATCTTCGCTCTTGAGGATACCACGTTCCACTTTTGAAACCCAACCCCTAATTACTTTACTACATTATATATGTGGAATGTCCACGGGTATGTGGGAGAATTAGTAAGATATCCGCATGTAACTTCATTTCACTTTTCGTAAATCGGGAGCGAATAGATCCCCTACAGAGTGTTCTCCAACCGACGCTCCTTGCGCAATGCCCGGAGCTTGACCCGCGCCTCCTCCAGAGGAACCATGATACCCTTGTTTTGGGTCGAAGGATCATCACGGTTGCGAATGTTGACAGTGCGTGCCTCCTTCTCCTGGGCACCCACAACAAAGATGAAGTTGTACTGGGCCAACTGGCCGGTACGAATCTTCTTCTGCAAGGTGTTGCCACTAAGATCCACATCTGCATTCAACTTGTCACCCTGCAGGATACGCTGCACCTCCTCGGCGTAATCGTTCAGAGCGGGCATCACAGGGACAATGAGGACCTGGCGCGGACTGATCCAGAATGGCCACTTGCCACCAAAGTGCTCGATCAAGATACCCAGGAATCGCTCGAAGCTACCAATGATAGCACGGTGGATGACAACAGGGCGGGCACGGCCGGCGGGCAACCCGTCGGACTTTACCTCGCCCTCCTTCGCGCCCTGCTCGCTGTTTTTATCCTGCTTTTCGTTGGTCTGGTACTCCATCTTGAAGTTCACCGCAGCCTGGTAGTCCAGTTGAATGGTCGCGCATTGGAATTCACGCTGGAGAGCATCCGCAATGGTGATATCGATCTTGGGTCCGTAGAATGCACCGTCGCCCTCATCAATGGTCCAGTCATTGCCCTTAAACTTGGTCAAGGCCTCCTTGAGCTGGTTTTCGGCGTGGTCCCAGGTCTCCAACGCACCCATATACTTCTCGGGGCGGGTGGACAGCTTCAACTTGAAAGTGAAGCCAAAACGTCCATAAATGGACTGCAGGAAATCAAACAGACCCTCAACTTCAGACATAATCTGCGAGTTTTCAGCTATGATGTGACAGTCGTCCTGTTGGAATTTCCGAACACGGGTTAAACCGCTCAGAGCACCTGAGGCCTCGTTTCGGTGCAGAACACCGAAGTCTGCGAGACGCATAGGAAGTTCGCGGTAACTACGTTCACGGTGGCCGAACAAGATGAAGTGTCCAGGGCAGTTCATGGGCTTAAGAGCCCACTCGCGCTTCTCGACATCCAACTTGAACATATCATCCTTGTAGTGGGCCCAATGCCCGGAAGTCTTCCATAATCCAACATCGAACATGTTGGGAGTCTGGACCTCCTGGTAGCCTCGCTTGCGGTATTCAGTACGTAGAAGGGACTGAATCTGGTTGAAGATCTTGGTGCCGTTGGGCAGAAGGAATGGGCAACCGGGGGACACCTCATCGAAGAAGAAGAGCTCTTGCTCCTTGCCAATTCTCAGGTGGTTCCGCTTTTCGGCTTCTTCCAAGAACTTCAAGTGGTCAGCCATCAGCTTCTTGTCTGGGAAGGCAACACCACGAATGCGCTGCAGAGAGTCGTTGGACTGGTCGCCAAGGAAATAGGCCGATGAGTTCTGGAACTGAAAGTTAGTACAGGCCTCCCTCGGTCAAACAGCCATGCTTACCTGCATAATCTTGAAGGCCTTGATTTTGCCGGTGTTCTGGATGTGAGGGCCTCGGCAGAGATCGACAAGGGTGCCACAACGGTAGACGGTGCTACTCTCGCCGGTGACAAGCTTGTCAATATAGTGCAGCTTGTATTTGCTGTATCCGAACATCTTCTTGAGATTCTCCTTGGATACCTCCAATCGGTCGAAGCTTTGCTTCTCCTTGAAGATACGCGACGCCTTAGTCTCAAGTCCCTTCCAGTCAGACTCCTTGACAACCCGTCTAGGATTTCACAATTTAGCATTGACACAATTGTAAATGATGGGTGGCAATGTGACATACCCGTCGGGCATAGCCATATCGTAGAAGAAACCTTGAGGAGTGGGAGGTCCGTGTGACAGCTGTGCATGGTAAGTACACTCACTTGGGGTGCCGTTCATTAGCAAGACCATACAATGAAGCGTTCATCAAGGGTACTTACCATGCCTCACCGAGGGTGTGGGCACTAGAGTGCCAGAATACCTCGCGGGCCTCGGGGTTGCTGAAAGGCACAAGAAGCACACTGCAGTCCTTCTCCAGAGGCCGGTTCAAATCCCACAACTCTCCGTCAACCTTAGCGATAACAATATTGGCACTGATGTCCTTGGGCACATCGCGCAGGAAAGCTCCAGGAGTAGTCTCGAAGGCCTTGGCGGGGACCGAGGAAGGAGGGTTGCCGTCGCCAATGTCAAGGGTAACACTGATTTCTGGGTGGGGACGATTTTTGATCTCTTCGAGATATTGTTGCCAGAGTTCCTCAAAGAGCTCGTTTCGCTCAATCATGACATCCGGGAGGGTATCGGGGCTCGGGGCCTGATTAGATTTCGCATTCGCATCTTTTGGAGGGGCAGCGGCGGCTTCAGAGGCGGTTTTGACCTGCGCGTCAGCGGCAGGCCGCACAGGGAGATCCTTGGGGGTTTCAGATGCCATTTTTCAAACCCCTTGGAGCAATGGTACAAGGGAATTGGACTGCGAGCAAGAACTCTGATCGTGGTATGCTCCGCGTGGAGGGGAAAATGACTCTTATGAGGGCGGTGAAACAAACATCACGTGATGGTACTGCCCTTAGCCGACACTTTACCGCTTCAAGTTTCCACCGAGCGAAAACTTCTCCAGCTTTGTACAAGCCGTCAATAACCCTTATCACCACAAAATGTCTTTCCGTGGTCGTGGTAACGCTTCTGGTGCCAACCGGGGAGGCTTCGGTGGTGGCCGTGGTGGTGAGAATTTTCCAATGTGAATGCGATGTGAGAAGTTGAAAGGAGCTAACGAAATTTTTTTGTTTGCAGGTCGCGGAGGCTTCCAGCAGTCATTCGGCCCCCCAGCCCAGGTCCTGGGTAATTATTTTCCTCAAGTCGACAATGATTGATTCATATCGCTGATATTCTGATAGAGTTGGGTTCCGTGATGCACTCTTGTGAGGGCGAGATGGTCTGCGAGTCGGTCAACCCCAAGATTCCTTACTTCAACGCTCCTATCTACCTGGAGAACAAGGTATGTCACCACTCCACCAACATACCATCATCTACAGTCCATGACCTAATTGGTTTTTATAGACTCAAATCGGCAAGGTCGACGAAATTCTCGGTCCCATTAACCAGGTCTACTTCACCGTCAAGCCCCAGGATGGTATTGTCGCCACTTCTTTCAAGCCTGGTGACAAGGTCTACATTGGCGGAGATAAGTTGCTTCCTCTTGAGAAGTAAGATTTGCTGTTCTACTCATCCTTCTACGCCCTGACTAACTCACCTCTTAGGTTCCTCCCCAAGCCCAAGCCTCCCCCAGGAGCTGCTAAGCCTAAGCGCGCCGGTGGTGCTGCCCGTGGTCGTGGTGGATTCGGCGCTCCCCGTGGTCGCGGTGGATTTGGTGCCCGTGGTGGTGCTCCCCGTGGCCGTGGTGGCTTCGGTGGTGGTCGTGGTGGTGGTTTCTCCCGCGGCGGCGGCGGCGGCTTCTCTCGTGGAGGTGGTCGCGGTGCCCCCCGGGGTGGTGGTGGCTTCCGCGGTCGCGGATATTGATCGGTCCAATGTACTGTCTCTTTATGGCGTTTTGGGGGATCTGGGAGCTTTTTCAGGAATATCTTTCCGTCTTCTTGTGCATCCTGCGCAATTGCAACTTCACTGGCTGCAGGCTGTAGAATATCACCAGTCAAAAATGTTTCTGTTATTTTCATTGCACTTTCCGGAACTTAAAATCGCATATTAATTGTAGCAACTCATTTTAAGAATTGGGACAAATCGTCGACTCGTCGAACTTTTGGTTGTGATGTGGCTAGTGGATGTGGCGCAGCTGCACCGCCCCTACCTGCAGTTTGAAATGACGTTGACCGCCCAGCGAATCTGTGCGTCTTGTCAACACTCCAAAGCAGGATTGACAGCATTCTTATTCTTCTTACCCCTCAATTTCACCCTTTAGAGATATTATTGAGACAGAGTAGCCTTTTCCATACATTTCTTTCGAATCTGCTATTCATTTGAGCATGTCTCGTCGGACATCGACCATGGCATCAAGCGATGCCTCCAGCAGCGGTGTCCCACCTTCAGGCGATGGAGGTGCGTTTGAGTTCCCTCTGATCCTCCATGGGCAACATAGCTTACATTTTCTAGGTCAGGAGAAGCAGAAAATGCTACTTTCCCAGGATCATGGGCATTTCAGCATGGTGAAGTAGGTTTTGCGCTTTCCGCGCTCCTTTGCCCTCGGCTCAGTCTTAACACTCAATAGGGCCATGCATCTCGCTGATTTGATTACTGAAATGAATGGTAAGAGATCTCATACCTGGAAGGTGTTGTTTCAATTGACTTGCTAACTCTTCGTCCTAGGTTTCTGTGGAGGCAAGCTTATATTTCCCAACCGTTTCTCCAACCCACGACTAACATGTTGAGCAGTCATGTCGGTCTTTTCGTCCATGCGCTACTGTCTTGGAGACCCAACTGAATACGGTGCTATCTGGGCAGCCCTCGCATTCATGCCTTTCGGTCTGTTTTTCGACTTCATGGATGGCAAAGTCGCAAGATGGCGCAAGAAGTCGTCTCTCATGGGACAAGAACTTGACTCGCTAGCGGACTTGGTAAATGATCCCGGGAAGTAACCACAACCAGATTTTCGTTAACACTGTTGTTCCACTAGATCTCCTTCGGTCTCGCTCCCGCCGCTGCCGCATTCGCTCTTGGTATTCGCACTTCGCTTGATCACGTCTTCCTCACCTTCTTCGTTCTCTGCGGTCTAACCCGCCTCGCTCGATTCAACGTGACTGTAGCCGTTTTGCCTAAGGACCAGACTGGCAAATCCAAGTACTTCGAAGGCACACCCATTCCAACCACCCTGTCAATTGCCTCCCTCATGGCCTACTGGGTCTCTCAAAGCTGGACGCACGAGAACATCCCTCTTGGTCTTTTCGCAGAAGGTACCATCTTCGAATTCCACCCTGTGGTCCTGTTGTTCGTTCTGCATGGATGCATGATGATCAGCAAAACGATACATATCCCTAAGCCATGAGCTCAACCCAAATTTGGCCGCGCATTTACTGTTGGAAAAAGAATGCCCGAGTCTGTTGTCTCTCTCAACTTGGACAACTGAAAATCAATCGGGAGGGTCATTGTCTGTAGGCAAGGCATAGCATGATCTCGATGCACTTAAATAAGGATGCTTAATTGAATTTCAATTGCATAGATTGCCTATAGTCATTGTGGCTGAGTTTGATTGCGTGATTGTGACCAGCACGGTCAGTATTGAACCTGTATATAGCTTTCATCAACAGCGCTACTCGTTGTCATCAATCTCAAGTACATATACAAGCCGAGCCGTGGATCCCTTGATCAACTTTAACAACGAATAAACGTACATGGAATTCTAACGGACATACTCGCAGTCTTCATACTACCGTGAAGGCCAAATAGCCCCTGGAATCTCTCAGGCACTTGTCTGCTTGGGTTTCCTCCGAGCCAAACAACCCGCTATATTTGTTTAAGACTGTCGCCGCAATGAACCTGACCATATTGAGACACACAGAGTGCTTTGAATGCCACTATGATGGCATAGGACAAATTTTTGACGACAACAACCCAAACGATACTGCAGGCCGCCCGGATCACAGATGCTACACAAGTGGTCGATTTACTCGCTTCGACGATCAGCGTGTCATCAGCCCTGGTTACTCATTGTGCGACTGTGGTCGGAGCCTCATTGCAATCACCGGACTGTTCACTGTCTCTGGTTATGTCTGCAATTGTAACTTTCGAGGTTTTGAGAGGGAATCCAAGATCGTGGTGATTCAAGTCACTGTCCACCGACCAAAAATCAGGTAAATATAACATTGTTATTCTGGCCAGGAAAACTTCACTACGTAAAATTACGCACCGTTCTCTTTCGGGGAGTATATCTCCTGCAATGGGGGCTGTGTGAAGGGTTGTTGCAGTCTTCTATCCCGATATGTTCAAACTAGGTATATATGTACTGCCGTGTATTATCCTCATTCTTGGGTGGGAAGGTGAACCACGGATATACTGTCAATCGATAATGTAGACAGAGACGCAATATTGACCTATACAGATCGTCATAATGACCTCTTGTCTATCCCAGACAACCTCCAGGGTTGTCGATGGGGACTTCGATACGACAATGAACAAGGGTTGAATACAGGAAACAAAAAAGGCAAGTTCATACCGAAGTCCCTCTAACCAGCTCACGAGATCGCTGAGCCACTTGTAGCAGACCAAGCTTATCGCAACTACAGCGATGACCATCAACAGACACCATCCACCAACGTGCCCCGAATGCTACGAAGTTGCTATAAGACTGAAAGTCAAGGAAGACAACCCAAATGGCAATGCGGGTCGCCCATATTACAAATGCTATCCGTGTGATCGGTTCATCTGCTTTGCTGACCAACGTGGGATCAGTCCTGCCAACCCGCTCTGCAAATGCGGCGAGTACACTCGTAGGCAGATATCGGGGGCCTCGAAAGATGTGCAGCATGGGATTCATTATGTTTGTGCTCGTGGGAGGTGTCGCTTCTACGAGGAAGAAGTGGATGACGGTGGTGCCCAGCGACGGGTGCCGCATAGGTCGGTGGGGATGTGTGCAAGTTATTCTTATATTTGAGACCTGAGGCTTGGGTTTGATGGTGTTATTGGATTTGTTTCTACGATCTGGTTTGTATTGAGCTCTAATAATATGCTTCTTCTTTCCCTGTGTGAGGCTTATGGTGAGCTGAGTAGACACGGCCTAGTGTATAGCGCTCAGCCTCGGGTCAAAAACATACAGATCTATATTCCTAAGCAGAATTATAAATCTCTTCCCGAGGTAATCAAGCCGGCCGTTCCGCATGTCTAAAATGATATGGTAGATTGAAGGTCACAGGTAATATCAGAATTTTTAGGATTTAAAATTAGATGTTAAGTTCCTTGGCCAGACCGCAAATACATCGTGGGTCAAGCACGCAGGTTCTAGACCCGGACGCGAGTTTCAGTTTGATATCGAAATTCGAATTTTCGCCCACAGTTTGGACGAATCGAACTGGCGTTCTCACCGAGATTTCCAAATAACTACGAAAGATTCAGGCGAATGAGGTCAATTCTCTGTTAATTGTGATTGCTACAAATCCCGGGAAAGGGATACATTTCTACATGATTCCTTTGGCAGGTGGAGAATCCAACTGGTCTAGTGGACGCCACTGGTCCCGGAATATCTCTGTGTGGTCCGGCCGGTCTCTCCGTCTGGACAAGTCTAGACATGTTGAGGAATTACTGTGTATGAAGTACGGAGTACGTAGTAACGACCGGTAATGCCTGTGCATGTGTTTTTGGAGGCTCTGGGCTAAACTCGGATGTCGGGTCTAAGCAGATCGACAATGTCTCACTGTTGGACGATCGCTCTGCATTGAGCGTTTACTGTTTGCTCTGTGGGCTCTGTGGGCTCTGTACTCCGTAGCCGGGTCTTTAGAAGGGTATTGAGTCGATATTAAATTGGCTGTAATTATCACACGTGTGCCGGCGAGATGCTTACTTGCATAGGCAATTGTGGTGACTGTTAAACCGATTTTGATTCCCACATAGATCAGACGGCTTCTATTGAATGTCCAGCAGTTGCGATAATAATAGAATTGCTGGCTCAGAATGGGTTGCAAGGGACTCAATCTGCAAGGCACAGCCCATGCATGCTGTATACACATTCGCTGCGGAGTACTCCGTCCTTGGTGCGCACTTGGTCACATATTGACCATTAACTTTATCTGTTCAGTAAAGGGTCTGTGGATGTCTCGAACTCAGCTCTCGCATGACGGTAACGTGGGATTGAACTTCCGAGATCTCTTGAGCTGTTATATAAATACTAGGCAATGCTAATCATACCACGTCATATAATGCAGTCAAGTCAAGAGCAATTACTCAAGGCTCACCAGTCTCGAAAAGAAAGGTCCAAGTTACTAGCAAAGCACAGAATACCTAGGAGATGCCATTAATAGACATGCACATCATAGAGTAGATCATAAGCCACAGTGTCCTATACAGTAAAGATTCGGGCTGAGCATTTTGTCATCAAAATACCATACATACGGAGTAAACAGATCAGAATTTGGTACGCTCGGGAGTGGCCGCTCGTTACCCATGGAAAGAATTTTACAATATAGAAGGGGGTGGGAGATACCTAAAATACCTACCTTGTATAGACATTGAGTACCACCCGAAGCACAAGGCTAAATGTTAATCCTTCATGTTTCATGTTTCATGTACGGAGTACATACGGATGACTCCGTAATCAGAATGTTCTTAGCGCTTATACGGTGTATGGAAATTGGCTCCGCCTGGGAAATTACAGAGCAGCCCGCTTCATGAAATGGTAATTTCTTTTTAGAAAAAAAACTCGGCTGTAATCTGTCGACTGGAGATCTGAATTTCCACTCAAGCCCGAGACAGCCAAGGATGCACTTGTCAGCCACAAGGACCGTGGCATACTCCGTATATCGATGGGTCATTTACTCAGAAAACACGATCAAGGGAACAATTGGGACAAAGTGGTAGCC